ACCCAGGGACCCCTCCCCACTCTCTTGCTGCCGGCGGCCAGTCTGGGTTTGAACCAGGGCCCAGGCACCAGCTCCGCGCCCAGCGCAGCCTCTGAGACCAGACAAAGGCCCCAGCGTGAGGCCCTGGCACCTGGCAGCCTTTTGCCAAAACCCAGGGCACTCTGTGCTGAGGGCAGGGGGCCCCATCGGGGGCAGGGGCTTACTCCGGAGAGCTGGGCGGTGCCTCCAGCCAGAGAGAGGCATCCATCCAGCAGACACAGGTGCATTGTTTGTTCGGATAACTCGCCTATGGAAGCACTGAGCTTTGCTAATCTTCACTGACCTTCCCTGTGTCCCGGACGGTAAAGAGTCTGCCTGCAATGCAGGAGACACAGGTTCGATCCCTGGGTCGGGAAGATCTCCTGGAGAAGGGAATGGCGACCCACTCCAGTATTCTTGCCTGGAGAATCCCATGGACAGAGGAGTCTGGTGGGCTGCAGTCTGTGGGGTCGCAAAGAGTCGGACACGACTGAGCAACGACCACTACTACTAAGCCTCGCTAAACGCAGGAGAAGGCAGGCGCTCGCACAGCAGAGAGTGTGCCAAACGCCCGCAGATCGTGGGCTGGGCTGATCTGCTCCCAAAGCCCTGCCCCCCCCACCCCACCCCCGGCTCCACGCAGTTTGGGCAAGGTTGAGCAAACTGCCGTCCGTGCACAGCTGGCTTCTTTCTCTGAGCGGGGAGGGTGGGGTCATCGTGGCTCTAAATCACCGTCCTGGCCAGGTCAGCAGAGAGGAGGCTGCCGGAGGGAATTCTAAGAATCTGCTCTCCCGGCTGAAGGGCAGCTGGAGCCACGGGTGGGCCCGGCCACCACCCAGTGATAACCGCTGACTCGTGTCCTTTCGGGCACCTTCCTCCTCCTGCCCTGCGTTGCCCCAAGGAGGGCTGGGGGCTGACGCGGGGCAATCCCAGGGGTCCTCCGCTGTCCTCACCGGGCTGGTGAGGGTGACTTGGGGGTGCGGGGGTGGCTGGAGCAGTTGCAGGCCTGAGCACGCCCCGGTTGGCCCCCCGCCCCCCAAGTGACAGCCTCACGCTTGGGACAAGCCCCGGCCCCTGCCGTCTGTCCGACCTCATCCCCACTGTGGGGACAAGGGTGTCCCTGCCCCCACCTGTCGTGGAGTGAGGGGCCAGTCAGCGTGGCTCGGCCTGCTCCCCCGGGGCCCCCAGCCCTGCCATCCTTCAGGGCAGTTCTAGCAGACCCCAAATCCTGCCTTCTGCTGCCCCCTGTGCTGTGGCCCCTCCCCGAGTCCCAGCTCGCGGGTGCCACAGCTGTGCTCTGGTTCACCGTTTAAACTCCTGCCCCAGAGGGCAACAGGCCCTTCCCAGGGGGGAGACCCCACAAGATGGGGGGACAAGGACAGTGTTCCTGCCCCTCGTGACGTGACCCCAGGAGAGCCGACACGGGGTGGGGAGGGCCTGAGAGCCTCGGGGACCCCCTGCTGTCCTGGCCCCCAGCGCCCCCAGCTCCTCCTTTCTCAGCCTCAGGGGGTCGGGCTGATGTGGGGGGGGAGTAATTGAGAGCCTCGGGGAACACCCCCCTGCTGTCCTGGCCCCCAAGGCCCCATTCTCAGCCTCAGGGGGTCAGGCTTTGGGTTGCCACCCTGTTTCCCACATCAGCCCCCTGGTCCATGCCTGCCGCACTCACGCCAAGCCGGGAGTGAGACGGGAAGTGCGGGTGGGTGTGCAAGGGCTGCTCAAGGGACAGTGGCCAGGATGTGGGGTGGGCCAGGACCATCCAGGCCCCAGGACCGCCTTCCGGAAGCAGCACAGCCAGGCTGAGTGGGGAAGGGGTGGGGGAGAAGGTGGGCTGGGCAGGGGGCCGTGGGGAGGGGGCAGCAAGGGGCAGTGATCACGCCCAGAGGCCCCGTCCTGGATGTGGACCCAGGCCCTCTTTGGGGGTGACCTCGCCCTGACCTCAGGGGCCCCGCCCGTCAAGGGTCGGTTGGTCCCTCAGCCAGGAGGGCGAGGCTGTGACCCGGGCACTGCCCCTCAGGTCACCTCTGCCCCCTGCCGACCCCGTGTCCCCGTTTTCTCTGCCCTCCTTTCTGGGCCCCCATTCCTGAGAGCTGTGTGGACTGGAAAAGGCAAGTGCCCCCCTAATGGGCCCTCGACCCAGGAGCTCTGTCGCCCAGCCCAGCCGGGGAGGGCCCAGGAGTGGGTCCAGCCAGGACCGGGTCCCTTCACTGGCGGCTGCTCCTGGGCTGGCTGGCGGGACTGGGCAGGAGCTGCGGGGGCCGGGCAGGTTACTGGGGTGGCGGGGGCAGCGGTCCCTGGCGCCTCATCACCTGGCCAGGGCTGCTGGGGGTCCTCAGTTCCTGGCGGGGCGCATCAGGGAGGCCCCAGCACTCTGCACGGCCCCCTCCCAGCAGCATTGAGACCCCTGTGGTTCCCCCAGGCTGAGTCTGCCGCTCGGGATTCGGAGCCGCCCTGGACATGCCATGAGAGCAAGCACGCGTCCCTGAGTTCAGCAGGGTCTGCAGTGCGGCATCAGAGGCGCTGGAGCAGGGGCCTCTGCATCAGGCTCCCCACGGATGAAGCCAGCAAGCCGCGCTGCCTCTGGCCAACTGCCCCTCCAGGAAGAGTGGGAATGAAAGAAGCACCTTAAGAAGTAGAAGCAGTGCTGTAAGGAGCGCCGTGAGAAGGGCGGCAGGGGCTGCACCGGGGTCCTCACTGGACACGGGGCGGGCCAGGCGAGTGACACAGGGCACGTACACGTTCACTCTGTCACACTTGCGCACACAGGGCATGCGAACACACACTGTCAGGCAGCGTCACATCAGGGCATGCACATGCTCACTGTCAGGCATACATCAGGGCACGCACACACACACTCTGTCACACACACACAGGGCATGCACACGCTCATTCTGTCACACTTGCACGTGCAGGGCATGCACACGCACACTCTGTTACACTTGCACACGCAGGGCACACACGGACACTATCAGGCAGAGTCACATCAGGGCACACACACACACAGTCACACTCACGCACACAGGGCATGCACACGCTCATTCTGTCACACTTGCACATACAGGGCATGCACACGCTCACTCTGTTACACTTGCACGCACAGGGCACACACAGGCACACACACCTGCTAGAAGCTGCTTTCCTGGCAGACAATTGCATTGTATTCTGTGCCTTCTATGGAATGACTGTTTGTGGTTTTCTACTATTGTATAGAGTATTTTAATGGCATTGTTGAGGTACAATTTACATGTTAAAAATACATTCAAATGAACAATAGAGTGAGTTGGTAAATGCACAACCGTGCCCCCACCGCCTGACCGCGGCACGTCGCCCACCTGCGGCCGCCTCCAGCCGGGCAGCACGGACCTGCTTTCTGCCTCCGGTGTGGCCTCTAGCACGTGTCATGGACTCGTGTAAATTGTGTTCTCCGCTTGGCATGATTTTTTGACATTTGTCCACAAACCAGTAGTTTGCTCCTACTTACTGCTGAATGGTTTTCCCGCGTCGCTCTGTGAAACCTGTACTTTCTGGGCCTGTGTTTCGGAAGCTTTATTTCTGAAACGCTCTTGGCAGGCCCGTCTCGAGGTAGAGAACAAAGGCCAGGATCCAGAACCTGGGGCAGAGCCCCTGGGCTGTGCTCATTAGCTGCCCAGTGGGGGCTGATGTACATTCCTGGCGCCTTCCCTGGGAGAAGCCCCACTTCTGCACCCCTGGCTGCACCCCCAGGGTCCCTGTGTGTGCGCATGCGTGGCTGCCGCTGCTCAGACACTCGTGGAAAGGGGCCGTGCCCGCGTCCGTCCTTCCTCATGGCAGGACGGTCTGTGGCTCACAGGGCATCGCAGGCGGTGGGTCGGGCAGCCAGGCGCAGGTGCAGGGGTCGGGTTAGTATCCGCTTCCCGGCTCTTCAGCCGTTGGAAAAACCCTCAAGTCGCAGGTTAAAGGGACACGCACATCTCGGAGGAGAGCAGGGCTGCACTGACCCTGGAGACAAAGGGCGGCAGGCTGTTCAGAGTCCCCGTGACCCCCCAGCGAGGGGCAGACAGAGCCCAGAAGGGCTTTGCATGTCCCCACCCATGGCCCAGGCCTTCCAACCCCGGTGGGGCCGGATGTAAGGACAGCGGGAACCGAGTTTCCCAGGGCTGGCCAGCCGCCCTCCCGGGGCCTCGTGTCTGTGGCCTGGAAGCCTCCCCCAGTCCCTCTCAGAGGCGGCAGCTCAGGGCCCCCCGGCTCACCTGGGGACAGACACCCGGGGGGCGGGCCGAAGGCAGGGATGGGAATCACCTGCGGGCCGTCCCATTCCCCCGCGCTCTCCTAGCAGCTGGGAGGTCAGGAGGTCCGCTCACCAGGGGCCCCTGGCCAGCAGGGGGCAGGGACCCCGGCCTGATGGGCCAGGGCAACCTTCGGGGAGACCTTGTCTGGGGACTGGCCTCGCTACCTCTGGGCTCACCTCCCTCCAGGTGTGAGAGGAGGCGGGGAGCCATGGGGACCCGGGGCGCCTCTCCAGCCCCTCTGGCTCCCCCGTGGGGCCTGGGTCTGCGGTCCACACGGGGCCTTGGGGCCACGCTCGGTCCCGATCTGGAGGAGGAGGCGGGCCGCTGGGGCGAGGGGTCAGCGGGAGCGGGTGGAGCCAGCCGGCGTGTTTATCTGCATTCCAGGCATCGCGGCTACTTAGGAGCCCGGGCCTTGTCCTGGCCCCAGTGCCAGCGCTTTTCCCAGCCAGGAGCTCACAGGGCACCCATCCCCAGAAGCCGGCAGCTGGGTGAGTCTGGGTGCGGCACCCCGCCTGCAGCCGGACAACAGAAGACGGCCCCATGTGTGGGGACACACGGCCCCGTCCCCCTGGGGACACACAGCCCCATCCCTCTGGTGACACGCAGCCCCGTCCCTTTGGGGATACGCCGGCTGCCAGCCCTTCCCCACCCTGACGAGTCCTTCCCGCAGTAGCAGACGGAAGGCCCCGGTCCCGAGAACCGTGTGCGGCCGGCGGGATGGCTGCGGAGCTCCGGGACGTGCTGGTGCTGCTGCCTACACGGGAACGGCTGCGGCTGTCCGTGGGGGTGAGCATGGAGGGGAGCAGGGCCTGGGGACTGGGTCCTGGGGTGAGCGTGGAGGGGAGCAGGGCCTGGAGACGGGGTCCTGGGGTGAGCATGGAGGGGAGCAGGGCCTGGGGACTGGGTCCTGGGGTGAGCATGGAGGGGAGCAGGGCCTGGGGACTGGGTCCTGGGGTGAGCGTGGAGGGGAGCAGGGCCTGCGGACGGGGTCCTGGGGTGAGCGTGGAGGGGAGCAGGGCCTGGGGACGGGGTCCTGGGGTGAGCGTGGAGGGGAGCAGGGCCTGGGGTCAGCAGGGGCGGTGGGGTGAGTGTGGAGGGGAGCAGGGCCTGGGGACGGGGTCCTGGGGTGAGCGTGGAGGGGAGCAGGGCCTGGGGACGGGGTCCTGGGGTGAGCGTGGAGGGGAGCAGGGCCTGGGGACGGGGTCCTGGGGTGAGCGTGGAGGGGAGCAGGGCCTGGGGTCAGCAGGGGCGGTGGGGTGAGCGGTGAGAGTCAGGCCTCCCCCGCCTTGCCTGTGGGTGACCGTGAGGTCCTGCCCCGGGGAGCAGACCGCGGTCGTCCTCCCAAGAAGGGGAGAAGTTGCGTTTTCGCAGCAGGTGTCCTCCCCAGACCTTAAACCTCCGTGATGCTCAGAGCAGATGCCGTCACGCAGCCCCAGGTCCTTCCTCCCCTTGACCCTTCGCGGTCCACTTCCGGCGTCCGTCCCGAGTGGCCAGGTTGCCCCGCCCAGGTCTCCGCGCGTCTTCAGGGAGGGGCTCTCACACAAAGCCGCCTCCCAGCCCCGCCTCCCGCACAGTCCCCGCCCTCCACAGCGCCGGACCCAGGCTCGGCTGGACCCTGGAGGCCCCGCCCGCCCTGCGAAGGGCCGCCCCTTGGCGCTGGGCCGGGGGCGCGGGGCGGGGCTTCACTGGACGCCGTCCTGGGCTCACACGGCTCAGGTCGTCCTCTCAGGAGCGGTGTGGACCGTCAGTTACGAACGCCTGGCCGCGCTCAGCAGGCACGGGGCGGGGGCACCGGGCGGGAGGCTCTGAGGCAGCGAGCGACCCGCGGGCTCCCGGCTCGCTGCACCGCCTGCCCCGGGTCCCGGCCAGCCCAGGGACCCTCCTCAGGCGTCCTCGGGGCCCCTGCGGGCGGCCAGCACCGGGGGCGCGCAGGCGGGACCCTGCTTGCTCCGCCCTCCCTGGAAGGGGCTCCTGAACACACGAGGGACCAGAGCCCGCCCCCAGCGCCCCGACAGAACGGCCCGGGGAGCTGCTGGGGTGCGGGGCGCGTGGGGCCTGGCCTGAGGACGAACAGCGTGGGCACATACTGGGCAGGTCGACGGGGCAGACTCAGAGCCCGCCCGCGGGGCCTCTGGCGTCCAGCCTGGCCCTCGGCACTCAGGGGCGGCTAGGGGGTCAGTGACGGGCGGGCGGTTCCAGCCGGGACCTCGTCGTGGCTGCGGTCGGGGACGGGGTCTCCCACTGGCCCAGGTGCTGAGCGGAAGTGACGCGCCTTCAGGTTCTTCTGCGCCCGGGGTTCTGGCCCTCAGGGCGGCCGCTCTCCCGGGGGTCTGAGCTGCAGGCTCCTCTGGCCCGTCCCCTCTTCGCTGTGCGGCCCAGGGCGGCCCCTTCTGCACTGCCCGGAGCCCTGATGTGGCGGGCTCTGCCCCCTCCCTTCACCCTCCCCACACGTAGCCTGGGGGCCCTCACCCCCGTTGGCCTGACTCCCCAGAGGGGGAAACTCGAGGCCCAGGGCTGGGGGGAGCTGGGGCCCAGCTGGGGCTGCAGCCTGAGCCCTGTCCCGGAGCTTGTGTGCGATCTCGCTGCTGCAGGCGTGGCTGCCCCTGCCCGCAGGGGTGGGAGTGGAGGCATGGGGGAACGAGGGTGCTCCGGAGGCCCCGCGGGGCTGGGGTGCTGGGAAGGGGGAGGCAGCCCTCACCTGGCCCATGACTGGAGTGATTCTGATGACCATCCCCAACTGTGAGGAGGAAGCTCCTGTTTCTGCATCTCCTTCCTGGGAACGCGGGATGGAGGGGGCCTGGGGGGATGGGGGCCCAGGAAGCTGCCATCCACAGGACGTCTCGCGTGCTCAGCTGTCACGGATGCTCAGGCCCCATCGGAGGAGGACAGACTCTGTCTCTCTGTCCTTATTGCTCCCCTCATGGGCCTGTCTTAGTTGAGTTCAGAGGTGCAGAGAAGCACCTAGAAAGCTGGCTGTTCCCTGAGGGGGTGTCCTCATTGGAGGGGTTTTGGTGTTGGTGGTGTTCTGTCGCTCAGTCGTGTCTGACTCTTTGTGACCCCATGAACCGCAGCACGCCAGGCCTCCCTGTCCATCACCAACTCCTGGAGTCCATCCAAACCCACATCCATTGAGTCGGTGATGCCATCCAACCATCTCATCCTCTGTCATCCCCTTCTCCTCCTGCCCCCAGTCTTTCCCAGCATCAGGGTCTTTTCAAACAAGTCAGCTCTTCGCATCAGGTGGCCAAAGTATTGGAGTTTCAGCTTCAGCATCAGTCCTTCCAATGAACACCCAGGACTGACTGCCTTTAGGATTAACTGGTTGGATCTCCTTGCAGTCGAAGGGGCTCTCAAGAGTCTTCTCCAACACCACAGTTCAAAAGCATCAATTCTTCGGCACTCAGTTTTCTTTAGAGTCCAACGCTCACATCCATACATGACCACTGGAAAAACCATAGCTTTGACTAGATGGACCTTAGTCGTTAAAACGATGTCTCTGCTTTTTAATACTGTCTAGGTTTGTCATAGCTTTACTTCCAAGGAGCAAGCGTCTTTGAATTTCATGGCTGCAGTCACCATCTGCAGTGATTTTGGAGCCCAAGAAAATAAAGTCTGACACTGTTTCCGCATCTGTCTGCCATGAGGTGAAGGCAGTAAAGGATAGCTGTGGTTTGTGAAAAAGCAGAACTTACCATGGGAGGGGCCTAGTGAAGAGCCGGCTCCCTGAGGGCTGCCCTTGGGACAGGCCAGGAGGGACCGCAGTGCCCCAAGGCTTCTCTGCTCAGGGACGCTCTTCTGGTTTGGAGCCGAGGCCCCAAGCCCTTGTCCGCATCCAGCGAGCTGGTCGTGGGTCTTCAGGGGGTTCACTGTGTCCTGAGAGCTGCTGCAGGCCGTGGGGAGGGGGCAGCAGGAGGACTTGGGGGAGGTGGGAGGGAGGTGCTGGGTGTGGGCCCTGCCCACGTGAGGGCCTCAATTCCCGAGTCAGGGCCGTGTGTCTCCCTGCACTTTCCAAGTCTTGCTCCCTGGCTCTGCAGGGACCCTCCAGGGCAGGTTCCCTGGAGGACACACGGCCAGAAGGAAGGTGAGCCCGTGGATCCAGACACGGAACTCAGTTGTGATGGGTCCCACAGGGCGGCCTCCTGCAGGCTCCCCGCCTGGCCCCGCAACTTGGGGCCAGCTTAGTTCCAGGCGTGTGCACGCCGCGCTGAGTGCACGGGCGGACCCCATGTTTACCTGCACCGCGGCTTCACACCGAGCGTCAGGAGACGATGGCTGGGAAGACCCAGATGGTGAGTCACCGTCATGGCAGGCTGAGGGGCCGATCCTCAACAAGTCAGGCTGGACCCCCAGGAACTGACCAGTGAGAAGCGGGACGCCCCTCTGACTGAAGACGGTTAGGCGCCCTGGTGACAGACCGTCCCGAAGTCCCAGGAGCCACGGCCTCCCCAGGAAGCCTGCAGCAGTGTCCTCGGACGCCCCGGGCCAGGCCCCATGATCAGCACCCAGGGCCACTGCACTCCAGCCCCACAGCAGCCCGGGGTGAATGGGTCCACCACCTGCGGCCTCCTCAGCCAGCCTCCCACACATGGACTCAGCCCCGCACGGGAGCTTCCGTCTGTCGGCCCAACCACCAGCCCGGGATACGCAGAGGACGGAGGCCCAGAGGCATCCAGGAGACGTGTTGGCCATGGGGAACAGCACCCAGGTGCCCCAAAATCAAGGCCTTGAGCTGTGTCCAATCAACAAAGCAGGAAAATGTTGACCACTGGAAATTTAATCTTGGGGGATGTTTTGTATAATGGACTTTTCAGGAAGACTGAAGCATTTTTGGACAATGGAAAGCAGAGTGGCCAACAGTTGAGCGAGCATTTTTGGACAATGGAAAGCAGAGTGGCCAACAGTTGAGCGAGCATTTTTGGACAATGGAAAGCAGAGTGGCCGACAGTTGAGCGAGCATTTTTGGACAATGGAAAGCAGAGTGGCCAACAGTTGAGCGAGCATTTTTGGACAATGGAAAGCAGAGTGGCCAACAGTTGAGCGAGCATTTTTGGACAATGGAAAGCAGAGTGGCCGACAGTTGAGCGAGCATTTTTGGACAATGGAAAGCAGAGTGGCCAACAGTTGAGCGAGCATTTTTGGACAATGGAAAGCAGAGTGGCCGACAGTTGAGCGAGCATTTTTGGACAATGGAAAGCAGAGTGGCCGACAGTTGAGCGAGCATTTTTGGACAATGGAAAGCAGAGTGGCCAACAGTTGAGCGAGCATTTTTGGACAATGGAAAGCAGAGTGGCCAACAGTTGAGCGAGCATTTTTGGACAATGGAAAGCAGAGTGGCCGACAGTTGAGCGAGCATTTTTGGACAATGGAAAGCAGAGTGGCCAACAGTTGAGCGAGCGTTTTTGGACAATGGAAAGCAGACTGGCCGACAGTTGAGCGAGCATTTTTGGACAATGGAAGGCAGAGTGGCCAACAGTTGAAGCATTTTTGGACAATGGAAAGCAGAGTGGCCAACAGTTGAGCGAGCATTTTTGGACAATGGAAAGCAGAGTGGCCGACAGTTGAGCGAGCATTTTTGGACAATGGAAAGCAGAGTGGCCGACAGTTGAGCGAGCATTTTTGGACAATGGAAGGCAGAGTGGCCAACAGTTGAAGCATTTTTGGACAATGGAAAGCAGAGTGGCCAACAGTTGAGCGAGCATTTTTGGACAATGGAAAGCAGAGTGGCCGACAGTTGAGCGAGCATTTTTGGACAATGGAAAGCAGAGTGGCCGACAGTTGAGCGAGCATTTTTGGACAATGGAAAGCAGAGTGGCCGACAGTTGAGCGAGCATTTTTGGACAATGGAAAGCAGAGTGGCCGACAGTTGAGCGAGCATTTTTGGACAATGGAAAGCAGAGTGGCCGACAGTTGAGCGAGCATTTTTGGACAATGGAAGGCAGAGTGGCCAACAGTTGAAGCATTTTTGGACAATGGAAAGCAGAGTGGCCAACAGTTGAGCGAGCATTTTTGGACAATGGAAAGCAGAGTGGCCGACAGTTGAGCGAGCATTTTTGGACAATGGAAAGCAGAGTGGCCGACAGTTGAGCGAGCATTTTTGGACAATGGAAGGCAGAGTGGCCAACAGTTGAAGCATTTTTGGACAATGGAAAGCAGAGTGGCCAACAGTTGAGCGAGCATTTTTGGACAATGGAAAGCAGAGTGGCCGACAGTTGAGCGAGCATTTTTGGACAATGGAAAGCAGAGTGGCCGACAGTTGAGCGAGCATTTTTGGACAATGGAAAGCAGAGTGGCCGACAGTTGAGCGAGCATTTTTGGACAATGGAAGGCAGAGTGGCCAACAGTTGAAGCATTTTTGGACAATGGAAAGCAGAGTGGCCAACAGTTGAGCGAGCATTTTTGGACAATGGAAAGCAGAGTGGCCGACAGTTGAGCGAGCATTTTTGGACAATGGAAAGCAGAGTGGCCGACAGTTGAGCGAGCATTTTTGGACAATGGAAAGCAGAGTGGCCGACAGTTGAGCGAGCATTTTTGGACAATGGAAAGCAGAGTGGCCGACAGTTGAGCGAGCATTTTTGGACAATGGAAAGCAGAGTGGCCGACAGTTGAGCGAGCATTTTTGGACAATGGAAGGCAGAGTGGCCAACAGTTGAGCGAGCATTTTTGGACAATGGAAAGCAGAGTGGCCGACAGTTGAGCGAGCATTTTTGGACAATGGAAGGCAGAGTGGCCAACAGTTGAAGCATTTTTGGACAATGGAAAGCAGAGTGGCCAACAGTTGAGCGAGCATTTTTGGACAATGGAAAGCAGAGTGGCCGACAGTTGAGCGAGCATTTTTGGACAATGGAAAGCAGAGTGGCCAACAGTTGAGCGAGCATTTTTGGACAATGGAAAGCAGAGTGGCCGACAGTTGAGCGAGCATTTTTGGACAATGGAAAGCAGAGTGGCCGACAGTTGAGCGAGCATTTTTGGACAATGGAAAGCAGAGTGGCCGACAGTTGAGCGAGCATTTTTGGACAATGGAAGGCAGAGTGGCCAACAGTTGAAGCATTTTTGGACAATGGAAAGCAGAGTGGCCAACAGTTGAGCGAGCATTTTTGGACAATGGAAAGCAGAGTGGCCGACAGTTGAGCGAGCATTTTTGGACAATGGAAAGCAGAGTGGCCGACAGTTGAGCGAGCATTTTTGGACAATGGAAAGCAGAGTGGCCGACAGTTGAGCGAGCATTTTTGGACAATGGAAAGCAGAGTGGCCGACAGTTGAGCGAGCATTTTTGGACAATGGAAAGCAGAGTGGCCAACAGTTGAGCGAGCATTTTTGGACAATGGAAAGCAGAGTGGCCGACAGTTGAGCGAGCATTTTTGGACAATGGAAAGCAGAGTGGCCGACAGTTGAGCGAGCGCACGCCCTCCTCTGGGCACATGCAGGCGAAAGGGCTGCTTGGGCTCTGACCGTGCAGGGTGGACACACACCCAGGACAGGCCGTGCAGAGCTGGGAGGGGCCGGAAGGCGGCAGGGCTGGGGACTCGGCCTGGGCCCTGGAACCCGGTGGGACGGCCTGCAGCAGGAGTGGGACATGGGGAGTCACAGACCCGCCCCCACACGACCGGCTCCTTTTGGGGGTGCCCAGATCCCAGCCCCACTTCCAGGAGTGGCCTGGCGACGTTGGCTTCGGGTGGGGAGGCGTGGGGGGACCTAGCCTCTGTCCCTGGAAGGGCAGGCTCTCTCTGGAGCTGGCACCCCCTCCCTCTTTCACAGGAGCCCCACTGCAGGGAGGGACGCCTTGTCATCAGCCCGGGAGCCTCCGGGGACCCTGCGCGCTGACCCCGCTGGTTGGGGAGCCCGCCGAGCCAGGCCCCTGCCTGCCAGCTCTGCTCGGTGGAGCCCCTCCTCCTCACCCCCCTCGCGGGCACTGCCCTGCGCTGTGCCCTGAGCGCCTCCTGCCCCCTCACAGGTGCATGCCACGGGGCGCGAGCTCTTCCAGCAGGTGTGTGACCTGACCGGCATCAGAGAAGCCCACTTCTTTGGCCTCAGCGTGGTCAGAAGTAAGCAAGCATCGCCTCGTGACCCTGGGACCCTGGCCCCTTCCCAGGGCAGGGGTGGGGGGTTCTAGGGGCAGACGATCCCAGGCCTCTGCCTGGTGCCCCCCTGTGCCGTGTTCCAGGGGCATGGGGCGATTCCTCCTCACCACATCAGAGCACACATGTGCTCTCATGGGTACAGACACATGCACACTCGCACACGCACATGCACACTCAGACACACACATACTCAAGTATCCATACACATATGATCATACTCATGCACACTGTCTCACATGCTTACATGCTTACACATTCACACCCATGCACCACGCACATACTCACATTATACTTACATGTACATACTCACATGCACACACTCACATGTGTTCACACACTCACACTGGTGCACACATGCACACACAGGCACAGGCACATACACACTCGCACACTCACACGCACACTCAGACACACACATACTCAAGTATCTACATGCACACACATATCACACTCACACGCCGTCTCATGTTTACATGCTTACACATTCACACCCATGCACCATGCACACACTCACATGCACATTATACTTACATGCACATACTCTCATGCACACAGTCACTCACACGTGTTTAACGCTCACACTGGTGCACACACGCACACACACACTCTCACAGTCCCAGCATGCTGTGCTCAGGCCCTGCCTCTCTCTGTAGACAACGAGCACGTCTTCATGGATCTGGAGCAGAAGCTCAGCAAATACTTCTCCAAGGACTGGAAGAGAGAGACTCGCGGAGTAAGTCAGCGCGCTGGGCCGGAGGCCGGGCTGCTGGCCCTCAAGCGGCCCCATCCCCCAGGTTGTGGCATGGAGCCAGCCCTGAGGGTGCAGGCGAGTGCCCCAAGTGTTCTAGATGCTTGCTTTCACTTCTAACAAAGTGACAGAAAGCCACGAGCTGCCCGCAGGACGCACATGGGCTCAGGCTGGTCTGCGGGGATGGGGGTGGTGGCTCCGTCCGGCGCCCCAGCCAGCGGTCAGCCCCCACCCCAAGGCCTCATTGCGGCCTGCGCTCCACGCTTCCAGCCCCAGGGCGGCGGCAGGCCGGGCGCCCCCTTCGTGACCTTCCTCGGGGTGCAATACTACGTGGAAAACGGAAGGCTCATCAGGTAGGAGCTCGCTGCTGTCACGCCTTCCCAGAAGGTGATGAGCTGTCAGGATGCCGCTGAGGCTGGAGGGGAGGGTGGGGGGCAGCCGACCTTCCCAATCAGAGGCGTGTGAGGACCGGGGTACAAACAAGTGCATTTCAAGGGCAGGCATTTTTATGCCCCGGGGTGGGGCTTTTCCCTGGCAGGGGCCGTGGGGGCAGGGCCTGAGGGCTCCTGTGCAAGTGGGGGGCCGCCCTCTTGCTGGTGCCCTGCCCAAGGGAAAGGCGCTGGGCAGGCTCCTCCAGAGCCCCTGGGCTGCGTTCCCGGGAGAACTCCTCAGAGCCTGTGTAGGGTAGCAGGGGCCCTGGAACCCAGGCCTGGGGGTGAGCAGGGCCTGGGTCCAGGAACCACCCCCAGCAGGTGAGCTGGGCCCCCACAAGCCTGCCCAGTTGTGTGAGGTTCTGTTAAAGTCTCAGGGGGCGAACAGGCAGGTTGGGGGGAGGGAGGGTGGCCCTTTGCCATGGGGCCAGTCGCTCCAGTGGTGTTAGGTGTGGACTTGGCCCTGGGTGCCCTGCCCCCCGCAGGGCGGGCAGTGAGCAGAAGAAAGGGACCCACCCCGGGGTGTGGGCGGCTGCAAACTGGGTTGGCCGGCTGGGCCCTGGGCCCTGCTCACCTGGCTTCTCAGGAGCCGCACACCCACCTGTGCCTGCCCCGCCGCCAGGCCCCGAGGGCCTGGGGGTGACCAGTTGGGGTCCAGGAGGCCGGGGGACGCGGGGACGGCCCCTGAGCCCGGCCGCCGGCCGCCCGCAGGGACCGCGCGGCCCGGCACCTGTACTATCGCCACCTGAAGGAGCGCGTGCTGCGCTCGCAGTGCGTCCACCGCGAGGAGGCCTACTTCCTGCTGGCCGCCTACGGGCTGCAGGCCGACCTGGGCAACCACCGCCGGGCGGCGCACGCCGGCTGCTACTTCCAGCCGCAGGCCTACTTCCCGCAGTGGGTGAGGGTTTCTCTCCCTCCCGGGGGCGGGGTCCGGGGGGGAGTGGGGGTGAAGGGCAGGGGAGTGGGTGGGGGGCCGAGCCGGGGGAAGTCCACGGTGGGGGAAGTCCACTGGGGGCGGGGGAGGGTGGGGCATCCACAGTGGGGCAGAGTCCATGGGGAACGGGGTCCACGGAGCGGGGGGCGGTGGCAAGTTCACGGGGGTGGGAGGGACGGGGTGGGGAAATCACCTGGGGGGAGAAGCAAGGGGGGTTCACCGGGGAACTTGGGGGGAGTCCACGTGGGCAAGGGTATCCACTGGGGCAGGGTGTCCACAGGGGCCGGGGGGCGGGGGGCGGAGTGGGAGGAGTCCGGGGGGGCGGAGCCCACTGGGGGCCGCCGGGGTCCACCGGAGAGGGGCTCAGGCTGGATCAGGCGGCGGCTCCCCCTGCAGATCATCGCCAAGAGGGGCAGCGCCTACGTCCTCAGACACGCGCCCGCCCTGCACCGCGAGCAGCGCGGCCTGAGCCCCCGGGAGGCCGAGCTGCGCTTCATCCGGGAGGCCTGCCGGCTGGAGGACGTGCCAGTGCACTTCTTCAGGCTCTACAAGGTCCCTGCGGGATGGGGAGGCGGGGGGCACGCCTCCAGGGCCAGGACCAGCTGAGCCACCTGGGCCCACCAGGATGGGGAGGGGGAGTGTCCCCACGGCCATCCCAGGACCGCGACCCTGGCCCAGACCAGAGGGGAAGTGGGAGGAGGCCTGGGGACCCTCCTCAGCCCGCAGACTCCCTGATCCACCAGTGAGGGTCGGTGAGGAGGTCCACGGGCCTAGACCTCACCAACATCATGTCCCTTTAGGATAAGAAGGAGGACCAACCTACCGTCATCCTGGGCCTGACGCTCAGAGGGGTGCAGGTCTTCCAGGTGACTGCAGGGGCACCCCCACCCCCGCCCCCAGTGCCCCTTCTGCCCCTGCCCCACCCCCAGTGCTGGTCTTGCCCCTCCCCTGGCTGACTGTGGACGTGGCCAACCCTGCTGTCTTGCAGGAGGTGAACCGCACCCCACAACTTCTCTACGACTTCCCCTGGCCCCACATTGAGAAGCTGGCCTTTCTGGTGCGTGTCCGAGGGGGTCAAGGTTAGGGGGTGGGCCTCTGCCCCCAGGGGAGCCTGGTAGACGCTTGTCCTGCAGGGCATTGACCAGCCCGTCATCGACCACGAGTGCAGGCCCAGCCCCCAGCATCTGGGGGGTCAGGCCGCGGAGACGCCCCCGCCCTGGAGGCGGCCTCCTGTGCGGCCAGCTGCCTGGTTCTCCTCACCAGGAGAGCTTCTGACTCCTGGGTGGGGACAATAAAGGGGTCGGGCGGGGGGTGGGGAGCACGGAAACCCTGCACCTCAGACTCTACTTCCAGGCCTCACGGCTGGGCCTGGCACCCTGCGGGGGGCGGAGGGTGGGCGCTGGGCGCGGGCTGGCCATCAGCTCCTTCTCTGGCCTCAGGCGCCCCACACGCCGTGGGCCCAGGGGTCCAGAAGCCCCCAGCCCAGCACAGAGGGCCCCACGTTACAGCCACTCTCAGGCCCCCACCCCCAGCCAGGCGAAATCAGACGGTGAGACAGATCCGGGAGGGAGCCTCCCAGCCCCAGGCCTGGCGATGCCGCCGTCTGGTTTCCTCGTGAAGTCACAGCCGGGGCTCCTCTCTGCTCAGGGCGAGAAGTTCGAGCTCTGGCCCCACGGGCAGCCCGCAGGCCGCAGGCTCGTGTACCGCACGGGCTGCGCTTGGCGCTCCCGCCACCTGCTGCGCTTGCTCCGCACCAGCCACCAGCTGCACCTGGGCCTGCAGCAGGCGCGCCAGCAGCTGCAGCAGCTCGAGGAGGCGGAAGGTGGGCGCCATCCCTGCCCAGCCCGCAGGACCTGCGCGCGAGCATACGAGCATGCGTTGTGTGCGTGCGCCTGTGTGCGTGCGCCCAGGCTGAGACGCGATAGCCCCTGGGGCAGAGAGGACGAGGTCGGATGACAGCTTCCGCCTGGGGCCGGGCAGTGACAGTGGACACGGGGGCCCTGGTCTGGGTGGCACTTCCTTCCCCCCACCGCACCTCCAGGGAGGCCATGGTTCACAGGGCCTGGCGGCAGGCCAGCCCCCAGGGCATCCCCGCAGCGTGCGGCCCCTCCACCCCCCCGCGCTGTTCTCACGGCCGCCGCCCCTCCCCACACAGAAAAGCAGTGCTACCGGGAGTCCTATGTCAGCGACGCACGGGACGCCGAGCAGGACGCGGAGCCGGCAGGCAAAGGGGACCGCGCGGGGGCAGGCGGGCGCCCCCCGAGTCTCCGCTCGCGCCTCTCGGCTGGCAGCCGCTGCGGCTCCTTCTCACTGGGCTTCGACGTCAACCCCCAGCGCACAGGGCCTACGGAGGCGGAGATGTCGGTGGATGAGCCCGAAGGGGTCGCGGGGCTCCCTGCAGAGGAGCCCCCCAGCAGCCCGAGCAGCAGCCGGAGCAGCCCTGGCACAGTCGACAGCGGCAGAGGTGGGCGCGCGGGAGACACCTGGGATCAGGGGACGGGGAGCCTGCCTCCTGGCTAGACTCCGGCTGAGCCTCTGGGGGCACCGCTGGGGGCCAGGGCATGCATGACCCTGGCTCCTGGACACTTGGTCACACGGGAGTCCCTGCACCAGGGGGCGGACGGGGAGGGTCAGGGAGGACCGGGCTCCCTGCAGACATGGCGGGTGGCGGCCTGTCGGCCCCCTGCAGCCGGTCCCTCGTAGGGAGCCCGACCCGGCCAGCGTCCCTCGTTAAAGACCCCACTGCAGGAAGGAGTTCCGCCAGCTTCCTCTCTTGCTGCCCCCAGGGTTAGCAGAAGTCACATGACAGGAGGCCACTGATTGTACTTGGCCACTTGTGGGAGTTCCAGGACCAAGCGCCCACCCAGCTTAGCGTGGGCTCCTGGTCCTCGGAGATGCTTCCGCAGTAGGTCTGGGAGTGGGGGGCCCTGAAGGGGTCACCCCAAGAAGGTTACACAGACTCTGCTAATCCTTGGGCGTCTGTAGCACCTTGGAGAGTGGATGTAAGCCTCAGGGCCCGGCCACCCAGGTCCACCTAGAGTCACCCAAGGTTAGGCAGGGCACCCAGCATCACCCAAGGCCTCCCAGAGTCACTCAGGTCATGTAGGGTCACTGAGCATGATTCAGGAGCGCCCGGGGTCACCCGGGGTCACACAGCGGGTTTGTCCACTCTACCTTCTGAGTGTCTGGTCCTCCGGTAAAGGACAGACTGGCCTCCATCCCCGAGGCGTTGTCCGAGCGTGAGGTCTGCGATCCAGCATGAGCAGTAATGTCAGTAATAGTAATACGGCATCTTCCTGAACGTCAGAACTTGGACGACCTCAGCGGCCAGTGTGGAAGGATGGGCAGCGGGAACTGGCAGGCGGGCGCGGGGGTCGGGGGGTTCCTGGAGGACCATCTGAGGGGAGGAGCCCAGGTCGCCCACAGAAACCATCGTTTCTTGAAGGGGTTCTCACCCCTCGCGTGGGGGGGCCGCAGGTGGCCTGCAGGCGGGGGTCTGAGGTCACAGCCTGCCACTCTGCGACTCCAGGCCCCAGGAGGAGTAGGGGGCGTGGAGCCACAGATGTGCCCAGTCTCATCTTCAAGGTGGGTCCCAGGGGTGGGCCCCCCTCTGCTGGGAGCAGAGGGCTGTCCCCAGGCCCTGCTCACACCCCCTTCCCCCCTCAGCCTCCCCGCAGCAGCCGCTGGCTGTGGTGCAGGTCACGCTGGTCAGCATGAGGGCCCCGAGTGCTGAGGCCACCCTGCACCAGGTAGGTCCCCCCTTGGGCCTGGCAGCCAGCTCTCTCCCTCCTCTCCCATCAGGCCAGGGGCCCCCCAGAGGGCCCACTGGAGACTTCGTTGGCAGTGGGGGGTGGGTGAGGTTTTGGGGGACAAGGCAGGTGGGGGACTGAGAGCTTGGCCTGGAGTAGGGGGTCTTCCTGGCTGCGTGTGTGAGTTAAGGGGGGCGGGAAGGGGAACAGAGCTGGACTGAGACAGGGGGCAGCTCCTCGTCATCTCTGCCTGCAGATCCTGGAGCCCAAGGTGGCAGCTGGACACGTGGACCAGCATAGCCGAAGCCTGGACCACACGCACCCCAAGCCCGCCCCGCGCCCAGCACCCCGTGCCCGTGCCCTTGGCCGAGCGCTGGACCCCGGGCTGAGGAGGTCCGTGAACTCCCTGTTCCCCAGCCAGCTCCGGAAGGACCAGCTCCCGGAGGAGTTTGTGGTATAGACGCCCCCAGGGGCTGCTTCACCGCCGCAGGGCTCGGTCCACGCCATCCGCTCTACCTGCTTGGGTCTCTGTCCCTGCAGTGCAGCTCCATCCATTCAAGGCTCCGCCCGCCCCCCCCACCCGCGCTCAGTCCCTCTGTCTATCCGAGCCGGCCCCCCAAGGCCCCCACCTCCCTGGCCTTCACCTGGGGAGGTGTGGGCCAGCTCTGACGGCCAGGCCTGGAGGTGCTCAGCAGGCCTCACCTGCCCTGCTGAGGGGACCACGGCCGCTCTGAGCGCCTTCCACCCGTGCCTCCAGGAGGCAGGAGCCAAAGTTTGGGGGTCCGGCCCGCACTCAGTGGGGTGTGGGCTGACTCCAGCCTGCAGGGAAGGGGTCTTAGCAAGCTTCCCGGGAGCCTGGAGCTCAGGGTCACTGTCGTGGTCGCTGCACTGGCCACCGGCTCTCCAGACCACCCTGTCCACAGTGCCTCCCACTCACAGTCCTGGGCCCGCTGGACAGAGGCCCCTGGGGGAGGCATGAGCCCAGCTGCATCGCCCCAGACCCCCGGAGGACCCCACCCTGTCCGCCGTGTATACACAGGAGGCACTGGGCCTGGAAATGTGGGGCTGCATGGACACTCGTCCCGGGGAGCTCGTGAATCTGGCAACAGGAAGCGGGAGGGGCAGGCTCAGCCACGGTCCCCTCTGAGGGCACGGAAGTAATGTTCCAGAAGGAAACCCTGAGCATCCTCCTTTCGCGTCACAAGTCAGGCTCTGAAGGAGGTCCCTCCCCATCTCCAGCCCCAGTGTCCATCTGGCCTCAGGCTGTCTGGATGTCAGGCAGCCCTGGTCTCTGGTCAGGTCAGCACTGGTCATCACCACCCCCGGGCCATTTGTGGCCACCGCCCCCTCTCTGCATCAGGAGGCCAGACGGGAGGTGGGGGGAGATGGGGCGAGACCTCCCCCCAAGCTTCACCACCTGTCCACTTGGTATCCACTGGCAGCTGAACGGCTGAGTGCAGTCTCACAGGGATTTCTGGAAAGCACTCTAAGAGACTTTGACCCAGGCTGGAGGCTGCCCTGCGGGTGACTGAGAGGCGGCCGATGCCCAGCGTCCTGCTCGGGGTTGGGCCCGCCTGGTGAGGGGTGCCAGGGAAGTGGGCCGCAGGTGTTCTGTCTCCCGCTAGAGTCAGGGCGGCTGCCCCCCGGGGCAGAGGCATGGCTCCCACCATCCCACCCGGAGGGCCCTGCGTGCATGGGCCCTTCTCGAAGCCGTCCACCTGGAGGCCAGTGCAGAGGGGCTGGGCTGGGCCTGGCTGGGGCAGGGACCGGTCTCTGTTCTCCCTGACGTTCTGGTGCACGTCTCACCTGCCTCCTGACTGAAGATGGGCCCCTGCCTCCCTTCCAGAGGCTCTGGGGGCCCGCTCTGGACAGGTGGGACTCCACGGGCATTGCCAGCCTGAGGCAGGTGACAGGCCCCTGGGTGCGGGCTGTGTGGCTTAACCCACTGCAGGTCCTCCGGCCTCCCCCTTGCACCCCTCCACCCTCTTTGCCTGGTTGCACGACCTATGTGGTTCTGAGCACTGTGCCCGAGATGGCACCGTCCCCCCGGTTCTGCCCATGTGTGAGGAACCACACAGGGACAGTCGGAGCCTGAGCCCAGGGGGCAGAGGGTGCAGCCCAGTCTTAACTGGGCCTCTGGGTCCTTTCTGTGAAAGGAGTCTTGTTTGTGCACACACTGGGCACAAATAAAGAGCTGGATGCCGGCCCGTGTCTACACCTGGACAGCCCGTGCTGGGTGGGCAGGGAGGCGCGGCCACTGGTGCCCAATTGCCCTGGTGAAGGTTCCTGGGCTTCACCCCGTGGGGAACCAACTCTGCATGGCCTGAGGAGCTTGTCAGGAAGGCCAGCCCCGCCATTGGAGCTCACGTTGATCTGTTTCCTTTTTTGAAGTGTGACAAGAAAGCCGCCCTCACCTGTGGTCTGGGGTTGCTGAAGGGGCCGGCAGGCAGGATGGCCTGGGCCAGTCAGGGCGGCCTCTCCCCTAGGCGGGGGTCCCCCATGAGGTCAGGTGCGGCCCCAGGGAGGTGGCACACGGGGGCAGCCCTCCCAGCGTGCAGTGCGGTCAGCACTAGGGTCCACCCATCAGTCCTGGGAGCAGGGGGTGCCCATACGCCCGTCTGGGCTCCCGCAAAGAGGGCTCCCGAGGCCACCCAGCCTGTGGCCACACGAGCAGGCGGCGAGGATAGTGAGGCGAGGGTCTGGAGGACGGGGCAGAGCACCCGGAACCCTCAGATGGGCGCAGCCCTGCTTCCCTGCGAATTCCCGAGGTCACATCTGCCCCAATCCAGCGTCCACGATGATCTTTTTTCCTTTAAAGGAGATTGTGGGAGCGAGCCCAGCCCGATGAACTGCTTTGCTGTCGCGCAGAGCTGAGTGTCAGGTTGGGGCCAGGACCCACACACACCCCTAGGCGTGCCCGTGTGTGCACACGAACGCAGGCATACGTGATGAGTGGACACGGCGCAGAGGAGGGACGTCCCCTTAGAGCTCCGGGCCCAGCGCGTGGAGTGGGGCGGCCAGCACAGGGCACGGTGGCCCTGGGGGCGGGGCTGCCTGTGGAGGGGGCGTGTCTCAGTAAAGAGGCGGGGCTCGGGGCGGGGCCTGTTGGGAGAGGCGCGCTGTGGGCCTTGGGGACAGGGCTGCCTACAGAGGGGGCGTGTCTGGAAGGAGAGGGTGTGTCTGGGCGGAGGGGGCGTGTCTGGCAGAGGGGGCGTACCCGGGGCGTGGCCTGTTGGGGGGCATGTGCAGTGGCCATGGAGGGGGGCGTGCCTTGACGGAGGGGGCGTGTCTGGGCGGAGGGGACGTCTGAGCATAGGAGGCCTGCCCAGGGCGGGGCCTGTTGGGCAGCCTTTGGGGGCGGGGCTGCCTGCGGCGTGGGTGTGTCTGGGAGGAGGGGCGGGGCCTGGGGCGGGGCCTGTTGGGGGACAGCGCGTCCAACCTGCCCTTCTGTTATCCTGATCCAACCCAGCCTGGCGGAGGATGGCCGGCGCCAGGGCCGAGGGAGTCCGGCCCAGCACCCTGTGTCCTCGCAGACGGAAGCACCACTGCTGACCCAGAAACCACCAGAGCTCCGTTCCTATTCCTGCGCTCCCTCTGGGCCTTGTGGAGACGCAGAAAACTGTGCCCAGTGTCCACTCAGCAGCAGGCCATCCGTGGTGGTTGGGCAAGTACAGGACGGTCAGAGGCCGGGAGGGGCCTTGCTTTGGTCGCTAGCCCCTCCCCCAGCGGTCTCCCTCCGTCTCTGCCCACCAGGGGGCAGCAGAAGGCCAGGGCTAGAGCAGGAGAGGAGGGAGGCTTCTTTAGGACATCAGAAAAACTGTCCTTTCATTTTGCCTAAATTAGACCAAAGGCCTTTCAGGCAAAGCAGATACTGGAGAGACCCAGGAAGACAGCTGTGAGCGGTGGACGGGCTGTGGTCTTCCCAGAGGGCCATGAGGGCTGCTGGTGGCCGACTCACGGTCACCCAGGGGCTGTGCAGACCCCAGGGCTGTGGGGAGGGGGCTCCCCCACGCCTCCCTCCACACTTGTCAGGACCGACAGGGAAGCCCCCAGGTTCCCTCTGGACCCTGAAGCATGGGCAGATGGCTCAGGAAGTACCGGCCGGACATGACCACAGCTCCCCCAGCCCTGCCAGCTCGCTTTTGATGGAGGCAGAGGTCACACTAGCGGGTCATACTCACGAGAAAGCCGAGGGCTTGCTCAGGGCTCACTCTGGGCCAGCCACCAGCTGCTGGGGCCTGGGAACCTGCATGCTGACGATTCCCGCTCATTTGCCCAGGGGACTCGGTTGCCCAAGGTGCCTCTCCGTGGGAGAACCGGGAGGCATCCCCCCACTGTGCTCAGGGCACTCTGGGGGCGGCCACTCCCCCACCCAGGGCTCCTGCGGTGTAGACTCCCCAGAGCTGGCAGGCGGGGAGCCTCCGCTGCACCAGGCGGGGCAGGGCGGGCCGCCAGGCTGGCAGGGTTAGGCATTGGGCCCTGCTGGCATATTCACGTGGTGACACCATTTGGAAAAATTTGCAGAACCAGGACTTTTTTTAACCATTAAGTGATTAGGCTGGCTGTGTCTCCACCCAGCGCACGCTCCATGACCCTCCCCATGGTCACAGTTTGGTGGGAAATAGCCGTGGGGTTCACAGTGACCACCAGGATCACCCCCTGGCCACAGGGGTGGCCTGGGGATCCAGGTCATGTCTCGTGAGGACCTTGACCCCCGGTGCCAGGCTGGAGTGGCAAGAAGGCCTTGCAGGCCCTCCCATGGGGGTAATGGGAGCTAGTCCCAAACCTTAGCATCAGGAGACACGGGAGAAAGCAGTGTTTTCCTGGGTCAAGGACTCGACAAGGACACACCAGAAAGGGTGGGGGTATGGTCGGACAAAGTGGCGGAATGCTGGGCTTGTTTGTGCTATTCGAAGGCTTTTTAGGAGTTTTAAAGTTGTGACCTGATAGTGTCAAGCTTTTCTCTGTGCGTCTGCAGAACCCATTCTCTTCCTCAGGGGGCCGTCACCCTCTGTGACGTCACCCTCACTCACGGGAGGTCAGGCAGCAGGCCCAGCCCCCCAGGCCCACCAGGACCCCAGGTCTCAGCCAGGATGGGTCCCAGCGCCCTCTGCTTCCTGCTTCCCCCATGGGGCTGGGCTCCTGTGAACACAGACCCCACTTTCCTCCAAGAGCAAATGTAGAAACATACCCACTATTCAGAGACCTCGGCCACTGGGAACGGCCATGGTGCCTTAGGAAGCTCGTGGGCGTGGCTGGAGGTGGGGGCTCGGGGAGGTGGGGTGGGGTGGGGTGGGGTGCATCACAAGGACATGGGCGCCGGGCGGGCAGCTCGGCCTGGCGCTGGGGGAGCGCGTCCAGTAGGCAGGCATCGCCAACCCGAGGGCGGGCAGCTCCTCCCTCAGCCGTCCCTGCGCCAGGCCCTCCCGGGACGGCAGGACGGGGGCACCTGGGTCTAATGGGAGGTTCGGTGGACATGCCTGCCCCAGGCGTCTGCTGTGCCGTGTCCCCATGGAGGAGCACTGGAGGGTCACTCAGAGCCTGGCCCAGGGCCGCGCTGTCCCCCGGGGACACAGACCGCTTCGGCAGCCCGGCACTGAGCGTGTTCCGTGGGCGGCTCCTTGGCCCCGCGGGGCCCGGGGCTGGCCTGTCCCCCTCTCGGGGCGCCCGCGGCCCCAGCTCCCCCTCCACAGCAGATGCAGGACCGGCAGCAGTCCCGCCCAGGGCCGTGAGCGTGTGTCCTGTGGGCGAACCCAGAGCCCGCTGTCCTGACTATGGAGGCTTCCGATCGCCCCCAACGCCTGGTCCCACTGGTGGGATTCCGAGCCTGGGCCAGCAGGCGCGTGAGAACCGAGCTCCCTGGAGTCACTTCAACCTGCTTAGGGCCGAGCCTTGAAGCCTTCAGGGCACATCTCAGAGCTGCGGGTGGGGTCTCAGACCTGGCGGGGCTGGGGTCCTAGGATCTGCAGTGCCAGGAAGGCTTGTTCCTCAAGCCCCCCCATCCACACCCACTGCTCACAGCCCGCCTGACACTCCTGGGTGTGGACTATGCGGACGCGGAGCCCGGGGCACCGCCCTGCAGGAAGTCAGGCAGGATCACGATGGCCATTTCAGCTCCATTCTTGGCAGGAAGGCCAGCGTCATGTGAATCAAGGGAAGTTGACACCAGTTCACTTGTCACATTACTGAGTTTGCACCGTTTTAGAAAATTCTGTCTCCATGGCTACACTGCTCAGAATACCTGAGTAGTGAACAAGAAACGCTCCCGTGTTGTTCTGCTTTTGTAGCCACGTTTGTGGCGATGCCGCACACAGAAGCACGTCCGTGTAGCTCTTCTGTATAAACTGTCCTATCTCACTGATCCACCTACCGTCGAGCTGATTGTCCATATTAAAAACCGCTAGTGCAGACTGGTCCCTTCAGTTCCAGCCCAGCCCTGCCATTGGGGGCCCCTTCTCCCCGGGGCAGCCCGGCCCCCTCTGTCCCGGTGTCCCTGTCTGTCTGCCCGCTGCCCTGAGTGGGCCTGGCCTGCTGGGCTCCTGGCCTCCTGGCCTGCTGGCCGTCAGCTGGGCGAAAGCACAGCCTGGAGCAGCAGCAGGAGGGCTGAGAGGCCGGCCAGTGACCTCGCCCTGGGCCCGGCCCATCCCACCGGGCATCCTCGGGGTGGTAGCTTCCATCAGGGCCCTGCAGGGCACACCTGCACCCAGACAGGCTCAGACTGAAACACTTTCCCCAACGCTCAGCGGGGACGGGCTGGAGACAGGATGCACTGAAACCATTTGGGCCACCAGGGCCGCCATCGGCGGCAACGGCTCCAAGCCTGTTTGGGCCTCACGTCCACTCCAGAACCCACCGCAGACCCAGGGCTGGTGGTGTCTGCGGTTCCCCCAGGCAGCCCCCTTCCACCCCCAGCGCTGGCCCCTCTGGTCCCCGGGGAGCCGCGTCCTGGCGGCCGGGACATGAGGGAAGCAGCCCCTGGCCGTCCCCTCCAGCGGCCGCCACCCTCCTGTCGTGGGAGCGCCGGTGGAGTCCAGCCTGAGACACTGGGGGTCACGGTGGAGAGGAGCCCCCCAGGCTGGGCCAGCGTGTCCTCCCTTCCCAGAGGTGCTGGCTGTGCCGGGCGCTGACCCAGGCCCACATCAACCTGCCCCCAAGCAGTCGCAGCATCTCTGCCGGGGCCCTTGGCTTTTCACTGCATCACTTTCCCGTGAAGAAAAGGGTGCTGATCTAAACCACAGCGGGACTCCGTCAGGCTCTCAGATCCTTCTGTCCCAAGCCTGGCAGCCCTCGGGGGGGAGGAGGTTCTTCCCACCTGCACCCCCTCAACCCCTCCCCCTCCTCCCTCCCCCCTCCCCCTCCTCCTTTCTGCTTCACCCATCTCCCTCCCCTGCCCAGATTCCAGCTGCCTCGATGGTCTGTCCACACTTGGCTCAGCTTCACAAGCTGCATATTCAGTATGTTTATTTTTACAGCACGTACATTATAAGGAAAAGCCAGGAGCACATTTAAGGGAGAAAAGCCCTGAGCGCACCACCTCTCCTTCACCTGAGTTTTCTGGGGGCTGGACGGCCTCGCTCCACTTGCCTCGCTCGGGCGCCAAACCGCAGGCTCTGCAGCGTCTCGGCCACGTGCCTCTGGCCTGGGGACACGCACACGATCACCTGTAACTTGGCGTCACCTCCTTGGAGAAAGAAGTGACAAGGTGCAGTTGGGAAGAGCCCCAGTGAAAGAGGAGGGTCTCTGAAGCCCGGCTCCGGAGGGGTCGGCCCGGCCCCTGCGGCTCCACACGAGCGTGAGACAGGGGCCTGGGTGCACCCAGGGAGGCTGGGGCCCCGCCTGCTGCTCTGCAGGCCCTTGGCCCCCTCCAGGCCCTTGGGAAGGGGCCACTGGGCCTCTCCCCAAAGTGGAAGCCCCCTCTCATGTTGCCTGAAGGGCCAGCAATAGGGGAGGCAGTTTGGAAAAAGACCTAAGGCGGGAAGAACCGCAGCTCGGCCGTGGGGATGAGAACGTGCGGTGTGGGTGCCCACCGCCACCCCAGCCCCACGCATCCTGCTGAGCACCGGTCCCAGTCGGCGTGGATCAGGGGCAGCAGCAGAGCTGGGAGCGGCCCCTTCCTCGTCCTGTGGACTGAGCAAGAGGAGACCCTGAGACCAGAGATGGAGCCGCGTGGTCCCACGGCTCAGAGAAGCCCTGCAGGTGCCGCCCCAGGAACATGGGACCAGCTGGAGGGACTGGTGGTGCCCACGCTGCCCAGCGACCCAGGTCAGACAACCCTCGAGACAACGACCGTGTTAACAGGAGCTGCAAGTCCCGAGGAAGGGAGGCAGAGACCCCCAGAGCCAGCCAGCCCCCTGGGCGGGAGGAGCAGGCCAGGGGGCAGGGGCAGGGGGCAGGGGCAGCTGCGGCGCAGCAGTACCAAGCACGTCCTGCAGCAGGTGGGTGAGCCGGCTGTTCCGGTAGGGGATGTGGCTTCTGCCCTCCGCCAGCGCCCCCAAGACGTCCGAGAGGGCCGCCAGGCTCCGGTTTATGCAAGAGGTCTCCCTCAGGGCTGGCCCCGTCACTCCAGACACACCTGGGGAGTGCAAAGACCCCCTCATACAAGATTCGCATGAATCCTTGCTGACATCAAGAGGCATCAGAAAAGCAAAACAGAGGCATTGTAGGGAGAGTGCCCTCTGCAAGGCTGAGTGGAGGAGACCCTGTCACAGGACGTCCCCCCATGACCACCTGTGGCCCTGGCAGGGAAAGCCTTGGGGGGCGGGGCGGGCTCCCCTCCCTGCTGGGAGCCCGCGGAGCGGCATCTGAACTGACACTCAGGGTCTTGGTGCTGAGACGGCGCCAGGAGGGAGGGGCAAGGCTCAGAGGGCACTGGGGGGGACGCAACCCCTGGGAGCCCCGTAGACTCATGGTCAGGACCCCGAGGCTCCCCGCGCTCACCCGCACACTCGCTGCCCGCCAGGTCCACAAGCTGCAGGGTGGCGTGCACCTGCCCCAGGGGGTCTGGGGCCACCTGCCCGAGTCCATGCCCGCGGGTCCTCGGGGGCACGGGCGGGCTCTGCCTCTTCCCGGTGGCCGGCGACCGCGGTCCAGGCCGGCAGGGCTCTGTGGACGCTGACTGATCTGACTGTGGGGCTGCAGCAGGGGCGTGACAAGAGACAAGAGATAGTGCCCAAGCTCCCTGGGCCTCCCCCCCAGGCGGGAGTCCCCCAGCTCCGCCCCGCAGGCCCACACCGCACGAGAAGTGAGACCCTTCCTCTTAAACACAGACAGGAAAAGGGCCCTGAGACCCTGAGGGGTCAAACGTGAATTAAAGTCTGTGTGCGTGCTCAGCCGCTAAGTCAAGTCTGACTCTTTGTGACCCTGTGGACTGCAGTCGCCAGGCTTCTCCGTCCATGGGCTTCTCCAGGCAAGAATCCTGGAGTGGGTGCCATGTTCCAATCCAGGGAATCCTGCACTGGCAGGCAGGTTCTTCACCACTGAGCCACCCGGGAAGCAATGCCTAATTCGTCCCACGAACACTAAACAAGCTTTCCGAGGAAGATTTGGTAATGCCCTGGGCTTCAAGTGGCCTTGTGACAAGCTGGGTCAGGACGGTTTCCGCCTCCCTGCCTGAGTCTGGAGTGTAGACACCCTTTGGGGGTTGGCCCCCGGGCCCGGGGCTTCTCCGTGACCTTCATGGGGCGCTGGCTCCCTGAACTTGGAGAAGCATGCGTCCAGGGCCCCAGCCGTGCCCCGGGGTCCCAACGGCTGGAGGGGCAGGGGGCGGGAGAGGGTCCGCGCTCCCACCAGCCCCACAGGTGATGCCAGCGCACTGCTCTGGACCTTCCGGTCAGTGAGGACCTGGGAACACGCGCGTGATTATCTTACACAGCTGGAATTGTTGTGTGTGTGTGTACTGGTGTCTGCCTTCTTAAACCCAGGTCACAGTCAGAGTGTCGTTCGCGATGAACGCATCACGTTTCCCAGGAAGACACGCTGTCTCTATGCTGGGCCCCCCTCATCCTCGGCCTGGGTCCCCTGGCTCCTGGGGTTGGGCTGCAGACCCTCCCCAGGCTCTGGGCGTGTCTCAGAGCCTGCAGCAGGCAGACTCCTCCCGTCCCCTGTGCATCTCTTCCATGGGCACTGACCGGGTGCGGAGGGCCGCCCGCTGGGGCCACGGGGGGAGGTGGCTGTGGCCAGGGTCACGGTTATCACCAGGTGAGATCGGGAGGACTCGGCATGCACCGCAGTGGGCTGCTTCGCCCGCAGCTGCAGACCCCTGCCCACAAGCGTCAGGAACTCCGCGGCACTGCGGACCGACCTGCGGGTGCACACGCGGGTACTGAGGGGCCGGGGGTGGTCGGGGAGGCCGGCCTGCACGCACACCTCGGCAGGGGCCACGGGTACCCGGCTCAGGGAAGCAGTGCACCTCAGACAAGAGTAAACGCGAGAAGCCCAGTGTTCCACTTGACGGGGTCTGTTTGGCTTGTCGTATCTCTCACTGCTTTACCCTGAAGTAATCAGCTGTTTTCGAACCAAGTGGAGCTTCCCAATCTTCTCTACATCATGCCTGCTTGTATTTATGGTACCCTCAAGGACCCTGAGATTTTAGAATATTTTGCCTATCAAACCAAATTTCATCAAATTTTTGAAATGCAAATTTAATTTACTTTCTTCTTTTAATTGATGAGATAAGCAGAACTTCTGATCTGCAGGAGAAAACGTTTTGATCATGACATCTATTAGTGAAAATCTGGCAGTTTGGGTTAGCTCGCGTAAACTTATCATGGTCAGACATATGACTTCCTTTAGGCTTTTTCAAATGTTAGAAACACATACACATGTATGGTCAAGTCCCTCTGCTGACCCCTTGAAACTATCGCAACATCGTTAATTGGCTATACGCCAATACAAAAACAAAAGGAAAAGGGAAAGGGAATAGTCTGAAGACCCTTCCTCTGCTAACTTTGAGACCCCAGAATGGGCGGCATGACCTCGACCCTTCATGACTTGTCCACGTGGGTCAGTGACCCCTGCCCGAAGCAAACCTGATTCCTGAACGTGAATCTAACAACATGGACCTCTGGAGGAGAAGCTGATTCCTTGGTGTATTTGGTAAAATTCTGATATGCCAAGGGACACAAGTACACCAGTGCCTAACCCAGGGGCTTCTGGCGGGTCCTGGGGCTTTTCCACGCCCGTCCCTCAGCTGAGCCTCGGCATAACGCCTGTCCCACCATCTCTTAAAGAAGATGTTTTAAAGCACCGTCTAATTTGTCTTCATTATGACGTTAAAAGATCGTTTCTAAAGCAAATTGAAAGTGGAGAACTGCACCCTGGGTAAATAAACACAGTGAAACCTCTCTAGGGAGGAGTGCTGACTGGGACGCCTCGCCTGGCTCTACATGGGGTCCCCTCAAAGCTGCGGCCCCTCGCAGAGCTCAGCACCCGGTCACTCACTGGTAGGTCAGCCCGCAGACCGCCTTCTTCCCCTGCTGGGTCGTCAGCACCTGTCGCTTCATCCCAGATGCCACTCGACAGCTGTCATTAGCCAGAAGGTCAAAAATGTCATTGTTATAAACTTCCACTATGGAAATGTCCACCTCGGGGCTCCGTGACGCATCTTCTGAAATAAGCCTGGAGGAGGGGTGAGACACACAGACACCAAACCATCAGAGGAACGTGGGTAACCCCAGGGAGACAGGGCTTAAAGAGTGACTTCCAACATGAGGCAGTCAGAGTCTGAGAAACGGGCTGCAAAACTCAGGATTCAGGACCACTGGGCACCATCTCACCGGCCACGCAGGAAGAAGGGAACACCCTCTTTAAACTGCAGAGAAAATGACTGTCTTGGGAACACAGTTATTTCATCCGAGTTGTATCTAAATCAATGCTTTCTGCCCTCAAACTCTAAATACACTGTAAAGATGCTTGAAGAGCCCACAGTCTTGACCCAGAAGTCACCACGCCCAAGCTGAGTCCCCCACAGAAGCCCAAAGCAGGCTTTGAGCACTGGTCCAGCAACCAGACTTGTTTATTTTAAAATCGGTTCCATTTCAGGAGCTTGAGTCCGTGGTGTTGAGTCAATGCCCCTCCTACAGCGCCTTTCAACTAAGCCCTCACCGTGGCCTCTCTAAAACCCACTAGACTCTAAAGAAAACCACCACACATCTTACGTTGTTTCAAGTTTGAAAACACTACATGCAGACTGCAGGTCAATTTAAAAGTAAAGACAGGACACACTTAGAGCAAAACCCCACGGTCCCGCCCCAGGAAGCGCTGACCACTGAGCCCAGCTTCCTGCCCCCGCCCCATGTCCCTGCTCCGTCCCTTTGACCTCACGCCCCGCACCGTCCGGTCACCAAGGACCAGGCCGTCTCCTCGGGGCATGACCGTGTCTCTAACGCTGGCCCAGGAGAGCCAGTCTGATGCTGGCTCTGCTTCTCTTGTCGTAAAGACACTCTGGGCCCCGGCCTGGGCGAGTCCTACTCAAGTCCTGCTAGGTGGGCTTTGCATCCGCATCCATGGGACATCTATGGATAAAACCAGGCATTCACGTCGTCTAATGATAATCAACTAAGGAAATCACAAAGACTGCAACGAAGGAAAACGTGAGCTAAGTTCTCTTGTGAAAGTAATCGCTAGCAAAGAGTTCTGAATATCTGCATAGTTCTCAGCACTGGGTTTTGCTGAGAAAACTCTAAGTGACTGTCTGAAAAGTGAAAAACCAAGAGAAGCTAAGCTAGAGATGGTATGTCCCCTCCTGACACGTCAGGAAAGATGCACTTGGCTCCATCTCTCCGAGGTGCCCCAAACCGCAATGAGATTTCTCATCTCTACAGTACCAGGGAGCTCACGGAAACGCTTTTCTTGTTTAATTATTTGATTTGTTTAATGCATCGATTCACTTGTCCCACAAGAATTACTCAATTGGTAGCAAATTTCTGCAAACAACGTTAAAAACGAGTCCTCAGTCTTGGCTTTGAAGAAACTATGTGCTTAGTAGGCAAATGACTCCAACAGAGTGTGATACGTTTCATATAAAATACGCACAGGCTTCCTGAGACGTCACCGCGCGGAGGTCGCTGGGCCCAGAGGCGGTGGAGGGAGGTGACGACCCCCGCCCACGAGCGCCCCTCCAGGTGCCCCGGCTCGGGGTCCTGTCCGTCCCTCCCCACGCGTGTGTCCTGGGTCCTGACGGCTTCCGCTCTGTTGAGGGCTGAATGCTCTCACACGCACGGCTCATGTTCCCTGTGCCTCCAGCCGTGTCTGTGCGTGCTAGGCGCTCAGTCGTGTGTGGCTGTTTGTGACCCCATGGACTGTGGCCTGCCAGGCTCTTCTGTCCATGGGATTCTCCAGGCCAGAACACTGGAGCGGGTTGCCATTCCGTCCTCCAGGGGATCTTCCCGACCCTGGGACCGAATCTGTGTCTCCTTCACTGCAGCCAGATTCTTCACCAGCCAGCCAGCAGGGGAGCCCTCAGCGGTGTCTAGCTGGTAGAAAAGTGAAAGTGAAAGTCGCTCAGTCGCGTCCGACTCTTTGCGACCCCATCGCTGGGATTGGAGTCACGCACAGACTCAGCCGCCAGCACGGCTACACGCGTTCCTTCCCGGGGTTTGTCCACTCTGATTAGAAACTGAAGAGGTAGAAAGCTCCACGTCTGGACCTCTAGTCCTGTTCTTGCAAGCGATGGCAGTGGGCCCTGGGTGGGGAGCTGCGCCCACGGCCCCCCACGCGGGAGAAGAGTCAGCGTTGAGTGGGGAGGGCCTGACTCGTTTCACTCCCAAGGCTCAAAACGTGAAACACCCGCTCTGGGAGCAGGGGATCTACATGCCCGTTGACGGGAGGCCGCCGTGAGGCGGCGCCGTGTGCCCTGTCTCTGCGGACGCTGACTGCCCCAGCGTGGCCCGAACAGCCTCCCTCCAGCGCTTTCAGGGGCTGCCGTCCGGCCCGGGACCCTCAGCCTCTGCTCGCTGCCCTCGGGGACGCGCTCCGCGGCTTGCCAAGTGAGCACTACCCACGCTGGGCTCATTGGACATCGTGTGTCTGCAAGTTCAGCTTCGGTCTGGACCGGCCCTGCGAGTCCAGGCATGTGGCTCACACTAGGATTCAGTGAAGGCAAACTCGGAGGAATGCCGTCGGCCCGTCTCCCTGCTGGGCAGGGCTTTGCCTGCCCCCTGGGGCCCCTACTCGAGACGAGAGGACGGCGGGGGTGTGAGGCTCAGAGCGGGCGTCTCTGACTCCTGCTGTCCCGGCCCTGTTTCTGGCCTGAGCTCACTCGCTCCCCTCCTCTGTTTCTGGGCCTTGATGGTATGATGGCCAGGGAGGCACCGCCGGGTGATGCTTTGAGGCCTGCCCCAGCCACGCTGTCTCCACGGGCCTGGACGGTTGTCTTAGCAACACGGGTGCAGCCACTTTAAATGAGGGCAACCCCCAGAGTTTGACGGTCCGCACCGCCCTCCCACGCACTCCCCATCTCTCCGGGTCCCTCTCCCTGGATGCCCAGGAGAGCCGCGCGGTCCTGCCTGGTTCTCACACGGCGCCACCCAGCTTCCAGCCAGCTGCCTGCTAGGCGGCCCCAGGCAGGAACCAGGCGACTCCCTGGGCGTCCCCGAGGCCTCGGTCTCTTGAAATAGAAACACTTCCCGTGGCCTGCGTCCCCAGCAGGAGGCCTTCGCCCAGGAACGGTGAGCCCTGTGCGAGAGCGGCTCTGCTGCTCACAGACGTCCGCCCACGGAGCTCAGGCATGGCCGTCACCTGCTTGGGCTGATGAAACAGAGCAGGGTCCCCAGGCTGGCCTTGGTCCCCCGGCCGCCTCCGTGTGCTCTGACGGTCGCCCAAGCACTGCCCTCGAGGGCCACATCCCATGGCGACCTGCAGGACGCTTGTGACAGCTGCAGCTCTCCAGGGCTACAGCCTGACCTCCTAAGAAATGGTCTGATCCCGAAAATCACACGCGTCAAGGGGAGAACAAGAACAACCAAAAACTGGGAGATATTTTGCCAAGGTGTATTTTCAGAAAGGGTTTGTGGAAGCGAATTAACAAATGCGTCTTTTCTGTGCACTAATAATGAAAGAATATTGGTTTGAAGAGGCACCAAAACATCGAGCTTTTGTGGGAGTTGCGTTTTGCCCTGATTTTGAGACACTGAAGGATGACGTAAGGAGATACGGAGACAAAACCTGAACTCCAGGGGTTGGGAGCTCAGAGGGCACCCAGCCACACGGCTCCCCACTGCGGGAGACGCCTTCCTCCCGGGACTTAGGACGCACGCGCAGGCTGCACCCGCGGCCCTGAGAAAACGCACAGAAGCAAGGCCCGGCGGTGCACACGGGGCTCCCCGGGGCAGGAGGTCACGACCCGCGGGAGGAGACCTCGGGACACGGCCTGGGCTGCTGGGGCCAGCTTTCCCGGTTTCTCCTCGGAGCAATGGTCAGAGGAACACCGTGACAACCAGAGGACGCGCCTCCATGACTCCCAGGCCCCTTAGTGGCACGGGAGCCTCTGCAGTCGCCCGCAAAGAGGACTTCGTGTCTGCTCCCCTGGGCAGGAGACAAGGGCGAGACCACAGGCTTCCCTCTGTCCCCTCAGCTACAGACGGGAAACCCCACTCCCCAGCCTCCCTTGACACAAGCTGTCCGACTGGGGAGCCCTCTGAGAAGCGTTGCCTTACTTGCAACAGTCAGAATGTCAGCATTACTGATGAATGTGCCGTAAGGACTCGCAGCGTCCCTGGTGGTAACGCCGGGTTCTGACCGTGTCCTAAAGGAGGACGGGCGTGGCCCCCGTCTCACGCCCGCGTCTGCCGCACCCCGGCCTGGTCCTCCCTGCCCGCCCGGTACCTGAAGAGCTCTCCAGCCGCCCTGGGGATGATGCCCGCGTCGCCGCGGGGTTCCGACGGCGGGGCCGGCTCCTCCTGGCAATGCGGGCCCAGCATGGTGAAGCTCTTCCCGCTTCCCGTCTGCCCATAAGCCATGATGCAGACGTTGTACCTGAAATGCAAGCCAGACTTCAGGGCAGAAAAACAGGCGGAGGGCCTGGCGCCGTGACCGGACCCTGAGACGGGTGTTCACGTGAGTGATTCCCCCCGAATCTGCTCCCTGAAAAGCCCGCCCTGCGTTTAACCACACCTGTCTTGGGCATACCCCGCCCGCGTGGCTGAATGGGTGCACACGGATGGTCATATCCGTGCTCACACACACGTGCCTCTCGGGACACCTGTGTCTCGTAGGCAGCTCTGCGGTTCCTCACGGGAGGCCACGAGGAGCCCACAGCCGGCCCGAGGAGTCCTTCCCGGGCCAGGCCCTCCTCCTAAGTTCCACTCATTCCAACGTCTGGAGTCGCCTGAATTAAGTTCATCTTCATAAAATCAGGCTAACTAGAATGCATATGAAAGTTTGCATATTTTCTTTTGATGTCTTAAAAATACTTCCCCCATTCCATTTTTTAAAGATAATTTCATCTGTTTGTTTTTGGCCGTGCTGGGTCTTCACTCTGCTCCGGCTCCCCCTGGGTGCAGAGCGCCGGCTCCTCCTGGCGGCGGCCTCTCGTGCAGCGGAGCGTGGGCTCGGGGTGCGCAGGCTTCAGTACCTGTGGCCCCTGTGCTTAGTTGCTCCGAGGCTCGTGGGACCTTCCCGGACCAGGAGTTGAACCTGTGTCCCCTGCATCGGCCGGCGGACTCTATCTCCGAGCCACCAGGGAAGCGCCCCCATTACATTTAGGATTCCTCGCAGTGCTGACTCCAGGTGGGCGACGTTCTTACACCTTGTTTCCCGAAGGGTCTTGGGGTTCTCATTTCAGACCGTGCCGAGCCTCTTGGGGCCCAGCTGGCCTGCCCCCACCATCCTGGTTTGGGGTTATTTTAGTGCAGCTTCCTTCACAGAGGATGAGGACCACTGAAGGATTTCTCTTCCACCTGTGCTATTAGCCCAGGTCAGTGAGAAGAGGGGAAGCATCTGAAGGAATACTTGAAGCAAGTCTGCAGTGTAGCTTTACACGCGTGGCCGTGGAGGTGCAGGGGAGCCTGGCCCACAAGTGGCTGAAGTTGAGCCCAGACTCCCATCTGCCTCCTGGGGGAGGAGACCCCCGAAGGCAGGCCCCACCCTCGGAGGTTCTGATCCCGCTGCTCGAATCCGCTCAGAACCCTCCCCTCCTCCAGCCAGACAAGGGCCATGCTCCGGTGAAGTGACTCTGAAGAGTGTTCTGACGGGTTCACGCCTTGAACATCGATCCAGAAAGTCCTCTTCCTCCAAGGGCAGCTGTTCCCTCGATCGAAAAGACGCCGGGAACCAAATGCGAGGGTGAAAACCCATCAAGGGCCTCTCCGCCATCACCCTGCGTTTCTCTTCTCCCAGAACCGAGAAGACGCCAGGCATCCCACCTCTCACACCTTCCCTGAGAGGCGCGTGTCTGGGGGTGGGGTGGGGAGGGGAGTGCCTTTGCGGGGACAGATGAGCGCCTGCAGGGACCTTCCAGACCACTGAGGAAAGGACAGGGGGAGATGCAGCCCAGGACTCGACACGCGCATCTGTTTCACATTTGCAACAGGCAGAGACCATGTTAACCACGATGACATTTTTTATTTCTGGAATCTGCTTACTTGAAAGATGCATACTTAGGGGGAAAAAAAAGAGAGAGAGCGAGAGAAAGATTCTCCTACTGTTTTCAAAGGAAGAGCTCTTTTTGTCAGACGGTCAGGAAAATTCCGGTCCCAGCAGGCGGGCCAGGTAGGCGTGAGCAGCTGGCGACATGTGGCTTCTGCGCTGACCCGACTGTTGGGGCCACGAGCCTCCCCGCACCCCTGAGGTCAGAGGCGGCCACGCTGTGGCTGGGTCCAGCCCTGTCATTACAGTCCTCATTTCACTGGCGCTGGGCAAACACAAATATGTCTTCTTCTGGACGCTTGATGTCAACATCTGCATCAAACCCAGATTCTTCAAAGTGGAAAACATTGCTCTACTGGGTCTCAGCTAAGCCATCAGAGCCGTGCACGGTGCTGCCGAAAAGTGACCTCTGTCCCTGGGTGATGGCCACTGCCTTGGAAGCCAGCAGCAGCGTCCACGGGGAGAGACTCCTTCCCCCCGGGACAAGCCCCTCGATTTGGTGTCACTGTTCTTAATAGACTCACGGAAGGGCCTAAATGTACAAAGAATCCCGGAGAGAAGGCAGCTGCCCTCTCAGTCTGAAGACGACACGTGACTTAACGGGATGACCGTCAGAGCTCCTGCCTGGAGGCCCTCATGGACAGAGGAGCCTGGCGGGCCACGGGGCACAGGGTCTCAAAGAGTGGGGCCCGACTGAGCACGCACGCTCTTCACTCGACCTAACAGGACGATCGTCTGGACCCAGGGCACCCGAGTTCCCTTAACAGTCACTCCTCAAATCATGTCTCTGCCTCCTCCCGGGGAAGGGCCGTGGACACCGGGCCATGGGTCTGCTCTACACGCGCACAAAATACCTGGACACTGATGCCAGACCCTCATCTGTAGCAGGGATGACGTCTACTTACACTGACCTCCCACTGCGATAATCGATCTCAGAAATGTTTGAACTCACCCATCCAAGAAGGACGTAAGAAGGGGACACACATCTTCAAACACCACTCTCTGAGATGCTGCTGGGCCGTAAACTCTGAGAGGCAAAGGGAACATGATGCATTATTGGAAGAAAATGTAAGTAAGTTAAGTAAGTGTGAGTCAGTCACTCATGTCCGACTCTTTACGACCCCACGGACTGTGGCCCATCACGCTCCTCTGTCCATGGGATTCTGCAGGCAAGAATATTCAAGTTAGTTGCCATTTCCTTCTCCAGGGATCTTCCCACCCAGGGATCGAACCTGGGTCTCCTGCATTGCAGGCAGATTGTCTACCATCTGAGCCACCGGTGAAGTCTTGAGGTTTACTTTATTATCCAAATACAGAAACCTGAGAAAAATATCCTTGCATACTTCTCATAGGAACCCCAACACAGTCAACATTCATTTTTTTTTAGCAATAAAAGATCAATTTTATTACTTTTCAAGCTAACAGAGGTTAAAGAAGAATGACAATTGCTTCCTCTGTTATAAAAATGTAATAAGCATAAGCAAAGTTATAAATGCTTGCAAAGCAGAAAGAAAAAGCAAGCAAGAAAAAAAGGATATCATATAATTATCCCATAACTAAGTTAGTTCCACTTAAGTGGGTCCAACAACAAGGATGTAAAAATCATACTACGGCAATATTTGATATGTAATACTTAATTTTTATGTTCATGCTCTTAAAAATGTTTTCCTAGACCTCAGGTTGGTTCAGCCAAATGTTAATACACAAAATGGGACTGGAATGCTGGCTATGACAAGGCAGTCCAGTGCGGTTATGTGTTTATAAACATGTATGAATAAACCGAAGTAGGAAGTGACTTCCAGAAACTGTGGTTCACTGCACAGCGTCGAACAAGATGGGAACAGCGCCGGCGGGGAGAGGCAGGGCCGGCTGCCCAGAGCTGACGCGGCCACGGTGAGTCGTGTGTGAACTGAGCGAGCTTGGATTTTAAGCTTCGTTTTCTGAAACACGGGTTTTTATTTAGCTGGAACCAAAGCTTTCTCTTCTTTCACTTTCAAACTGTGTCCTCATGCCCAGGGGAGCCAGTCCATCTCTAGAAGCAGGGCTGGTTTTCCACTTCGGGGGCCTTCCTTATAAAATGCTGCTCGCTGAGCACAGCGAGGACGTTTAGAGCAGCGGCCGTCTGAGCTCTTATTTAACTTGTCACCAAAAAAATCCCACCACATAACAAAAGCAGGAAGAACAGCGAACGAGCCCAGCCTGTGCATCGCCGGCTCCGACACTCACCCACCACCTGGTGAGCTCACCTGAGCCCCCGCCTGCAGCCCTCTGCGGCCAGCTCAGGCCCAGCTCATCCATAAACGCTGGCTACCTGCCTCCAAGGGACGACGCCTCTTTAACAAGTCACCACAGTGTTACCACCGTCACACTCTTAAACATGAACACTAACTCCTTACTGTCATCAAGAAGAGGGCAGTACACACATCTCTCCAGGGTTCTGACAAGCTTGTTTTCCCATCAGTTCTTAAATGTCATTGCAGCTGGCCAAATGTCTGCAGAGATGTTCATGCGTGGCAAACTTTTTCTGGGTGGGAAACATTTTAGGCTTCATGCACTTCCTATTCAAAGAGACACTGGAGTCTTTCTAATCAAGGAGGAAAGGCCTCTCACAGGCCTGCCGCCTGCTCGCTACTCAGCATAGTACCGAGCCCTGTTCGCTAACTCAGGGACCCTAGTATGGCTGAGCGGATCGCCTGACTCTGCTTAGAGCTGATTCGGCCAGACATCCAAGCAATCCGAAGCTGAATGGTGAGAAAGTTACCAAATTAACCAGAGAGTTTAGTAAAGTAGCAAGTGGTACAATTCGTGTGCAAAACCCAACAGCATTCAGATATACTAACTAAACGACCTCCCCGATATAACGGGAGAAAGATGGTACACGTGATAGGAGAACGAAAATAAAAAGATCCTGGGCAGCAATTTGAAAAGAAACGTCTAAACCCTTTATGAAGAAAATCATAAACCACCCCTGAAAGACACGGAATTCCACCTGAATGAGCAGGCGCCTGGCACCGTGCTCTTGGCGATGAAGTCTCACCATGGAGATGTCCCCACCTCACCCGGTTCACTAGGTCCCGTCCCGAATGGGTCATGAGGTCTGATCCATGTAAGAAATCTGACCGTGCAGGCACCAGAGCCTGTGGGCGTATTCCCGTGTGACCCAGGAGGCCCCCAACTGTGATTATGGTAAACGGAGTTAGACCTTTTACATGGCTGAACGCTGCCAGACGCAAGGAAAGAGATACAAATGACTAACTGAGAGAAATAGAGGCAACTTAAATCACAGACAAAAGGTTGATTTCCTTAATGTGTAAAGTGCCCCTAAAAATAGAGAAGGAAAAATTTAGAGTGTAATAGAGCATTCCTTAAACATCTAGTCAATTCCTTATATTAGAAATCCTTTCTATACTTTTACAGAAAAACAGCTAGAGACAGGAAGACTGCAGAAACACATCTGAGTCACATGGAGGACATTGGACCCGACCCCCAGGGGCACAGAGAGGCGCCGTTTCTCACCGCGGCCAGCAGCCAACCTGGGGCCCACACGGGCCAGGGACGCTGAGGGTCAGGACGGGCGGGCGGAGCGGGGGGCGGAACGCAGGCCGGCCGGGGACCCTCCTCTCCCGGCTCCGCCCGGTCAGCTGGCCGCGGGCGCCCAGGGCCCGCGCCTCTGCTCGTCCCGCCCTCCCCTGAGCCGGACTCTGGCCGCGGGGACCGGCCTCGCCTCGCCCTCCCCGTGGCCCCATGCAGCGTCTTGCCCGTAGCAGGCGCTCAGGCAATGCTGGGACGGCCACACATAGACAGCGCTACACACATGTTAGCAGATACATCGCCGCATAAACACCACACAACCCCCCCAGATAAACACAGCCAAGAGGCCTCCCGCTGCCTGCTGCACACATTAGCCTCAAAACAATACAAGTGACGGATTTTTTCCCACTGCGTTTTGGGTCAGTTCCTGTCACTTTAAAAATAATAATAATATTTTGCTGTACTCAGGAGAGACCACTTTCTTCTGACCCTGGATCCATCCATAGTTTCCTGAAAGGCAAGGTGAGTGCTTTCCCCTGCATGCATTTGGTTTTCTTTTTTTGCATTTGTTTTTAAAAGGAGTTAAGTGGGGCTTCCCTGGTGGTCCAGTGGCTAAGACCCTGCATTCCCAGTGCAGGGGGCCTGGGTTCCATCCCGGGTCAGGGAACTAACTCTCACATGCTGCGTGCCTCAATGAAGACCAAGGATCCCACGTGGTGCACTAAAGCCCAGCACAGCCAAATAAAGAAATAAATTTTTTAAAAAAAGAAAAAAGGAGTTCAGTGCTGAAACTGTTGAGGTTTCCCTCCAGATGGAAATAAACCATTTTGACATTTACTCCTCCCGTGAAAAGCTGCTAAGAAACACACCGTGCTGTGACTTGCTCAGACCCACGTGCTCCACCGCCTGTGAGGTCGCCAGGCCCCGAGGCCCTGACCGCCCAGCGTGAAGGCTTCAGCTTCAGCTTTTCCTCCTTGCCGAGCCATCAGCGCATTTCACAGATGGTTTCCTTTCTCTCTGGGCTCAGCCCAAGTCCCACAGCGCGGACCTCCCCTTCCATCCAAAGCCCTCACGTGGCCAGCGTGGCGCCAACGAGCGGGTGCTCATGTCTGAGCTGACGGCCCACTGCCAGCTGCCTACTGCCCCTGCCCCCAGCCGAAATGGGGGGCCACGGCGACTCCCCCACCCTCCCCGCCCATCCAAGTGCCAGCCGGTGGGATGCAAAGACCTGACCACGTTGGGCCTGCCCGGGGCTGGGGTCTGCACCTGCCTCGCCCTCCCCAGAGACCCCCCGAAGGCCAAGTGACCTTAGGTGCACGAATGGTGAAGTCGGACCTGCTCGTGCCCACGAGGGGGTGGTCAGGCCCCGCCTGGCACAGGGCGGGCGGAGTCAGGGGCTCCTGAAGCAGGTGGGGCTTCAGAGCCCCGGGGCTGGGACGTGACCCTGGAGCCGGAATGCAGCTGCTTCCGAGGAGCCCTGAGCAGACAGCACGGGGACCACCACCCTGAGGTCCCCTCACCCCACCCGAGGGAGGCAGGGAGACGGCTACCCTCCCACTTCGTGAGGGTAGCTCCCAATTCGTGCTGAGCTCTGCGTCCCCGCCTGTCCAGGACTGACAGAGGAGTGCTAGCATCTCTGGTTACACTGACGGATTTGCCTGATTCTTCCCAGGCTTTATCACATTTGTCTCTTATTCTGAAGCTCTGTCACCACCTTCAGGGCTGTGGTTCCTCTCAACGTGGATTCCTTTGTTATTAGGAAGTGACCCTCTTGCTCCCAGGTAATATTATTATTAATCTGAAATCAAGCCAAGAGAAAATGGAGACCCTCCTGATGAGGGTGAAAGAGGAGAATGGAAAAGCCGGCTTAAAACTCAACATCCAAAAGGCTAAGATCATGGCATCCAGTCCCATCCTCTATGGCAAATAGATGGGGAAACAGTGGAAACAGTGACAGATTTTATTTTCTTGGAGTCCAAAATCACTGTGGATGGTGATTGCAGCCGTGATGTCAAAGACGCTTGCTCCTTGGAAGAAAAGCTATGACAAAGCTAGACAGCGTATTAAAAAGCAGAGGCATCACTTTGCCGATAAAGGTCCATATAATTAAAGCTATGGTTTTTCCAGCAGTCACATAGAGATGTGAGTTGGATCGTAAAGAAGGCTGCATGCCAAAGAATTGATGGTTTCAAGTTGTGGTGTTGGAGAAGACTCTTGAGAGTCCCTTGGACTGCAAGGAGATCCAACCAGCCCATCCTAAAGGAGATCAGTCCTGGGTGTTCATTGGAAGGACTAATGCTGAAGCTGAAACTCCAATACTTTGCCCACCTGATGTGTAGAGCCAACTCACTAGAGAAGACTGATGCTGGGAAAGATTGAGGGCAGGAGGAGAAGGAGGACCAGATGGTTGGATGGCATCACCGACTCAGTGGACACGAGTGTGAGCGAGCTCCAGGAGACAGTGAAGGACAGAGGAGCCTGGTGTGCTGCAGACCACGGAGCCACAGAGTCAGACATGACTTAGCAATTGAACAACAGCTTTGATATGAATAGAGTCAGTCCAGCATGACTTTTTTTAATTGTTTGTTTATTTGATTAAATCAGGATCCCCCTATCACAAGTACAGAACTTCCCTGGTAGCTCAGACGGTAAAGCGTCTGCCTACAATGAGGGAGACCAGGCTTCCATCCCTGGGTCGGGAAGAGCCCCTAGAGAAGAAAATGGCAACCCACTCCAGTATCCTTGCCTGCGGAATCCCATGGACAGAGGAGCCTGGCGGGCTACGGTCCCCGGGGGCGCACAGAGTCAGACACGACTGGGTGACTGACAATTTCTCCCCCATCGCCTCTTGGCAGCCACTAGAGTTCTGTCTTGTCCAGACGTCTGTGAAGGAACGATTCCCAGGGACCCCCTGGGTCCGGCCTCCTCTGCCCACGACGGTGGTCTGTCCTCCCTTTGGTCTGCACTCCATCCCCAGGACCCTCGGGCTCCACCTCCCACCGGCTTGTCCCCAGTTTTGTCGGTTATGAGTGAAGCAGCTGTAAACACCCAGTGTCGCGGTTTGTGTAAGCATGTGTGTAAACATTTCTGTAAATGTCTTGGGTGAATGCCTGGGGCAGGGTTGCTGGGTCAAGTGGTCAGGGGTTTACTGCACTGCCTGCCATTGCCGCTTGGATTATCAGTGGCATTTCCCAAGTAACTGTAACTTGAGTCTCTGTCCTTGGAGTGATGTCTGTTTGGATGTTTTGCCAGCTTGTTCACTGGGCTGTCTGTTCTCTGATTTTCCAGGGCGCTGTGTGTATTCTGGATCTGGTCCTTTGTAAGCTATGTGATTTCCAAATACTTTCTCCAGTATGTGACTTGTCCCCGCATCCTCTTAACAGTATCATAAACAAAAAAGAAAGTTTAACTTCTGATTCTTTTCTGGATCACTCTTTTGGCACATTTCTAAGAATCCCATGCTTAACCCAAGGTCACAAAGACTTTCTTCTGTGCTGCCTTCTAAAAGTTGTGTGGTTTCAGGCTTGACACTTAGTTTCCACTTTAGTTAATTTTTGCCAAAGCTGTGGTATCTGGACAAAGATCCATTTCATTTCTGCCCGCGGACATCCAGTGGTTCCAGCATCACTTGCGGAAAAGGCTGACCTTTCTCCACTGAACTGCCTCTGCCCCTTTGCAAGTAGTCGAAATGATAGGATAAATTGTGCCTTTTATTAATCAAACCCTAGTGCAAAGTTTCCATTTGTGTAACTTTACCTGTCATCTCGAAAAGCACTTACCTTTCAAACGTATATGTCTTATTAATCAAAGGGTGGCCAGGCCGGGTGCACTCCACCAGGACGGTTTCCTAGTAGTAAAGAGTTAAAAACAAAAAAAGCTGCATTAGTAGTGCTGAGCAGAGGGGCCGAGCGCGGCCCCGGGGCCGCTGCTCTAAGCAGGTTCTGCAGGGACACAGCCTGCCCTGTCTGCAGACGGCCTGTGGCTCTGTTCTCCTCCCTAGCATGAGTAACAGACACGGACCGTGTTGTCCCAAGGACGCTGAAGTTCACTCTCTGGTCTTTAAGAGGGAAAGCCTGCCAGGCTCTGATAGAAGCAAGTCAAGTCTACAGACACACACATCGCTCCCCTCTGCCCCGGACCGGGGTCAGCCAGCCCTGGCGGCTCTTTTCAAGTGAGGCGGCGTCAGACTTCCCGGGGCTAAAGGAATCTTTCTCAGATATCGTTATAATTCAGTTACGACCGGTGGATTTTTTTTCAAACACATCAGCTTTTGATCTGGCTAAACTATTTTCTTACACAACATCCTGTAGGGAGAGAAGCAAAGGCAATTTGTTAGCAGGAAAGGAACCTGAGTTTCTCTCAAGCAAAGGAAGAACAAGCCACTGGAGCCGGTTCCGATTCTCAAACAAAACGCGAGTCGTGAGAACAGAGCATAGAAGGGGAAGAGTGAAAACCCCAGGGCTGCAGGGCACCTGCCATCTCCGTAACAGCAGAGACTCCGGGGGGACGAGACCCGCGGGCACCTGCCATCTCCGTAACAGCAGAGACTCTGGGGGGGCGAGACCCGCGGGCACCTGACATCTCCGTAACAGCAGAGACTCCGGGGGGGGCGAGACCCGCGGGCACCTGACATCTCCGTAACAGCAGTCAGAGACTCCGGGGGGGGGCGAGACCCGCGGGCACCTGACATCTCCGTAACAGCAGAGACTCCGGGGGGGCGAGACCCGCGGGCACCTGACATCTCCGTAACAGCAGAGACTCTGGGGGGGCGAGACCCGCGGGCACCTGACATCTCCGTAACAGCAGTCAGAGACTCCGGGGGGGGGGCGAGACCCGCGGGCACCTGACATCTCTGTAACAGCAGAGACTCCGGGGGGGCGAGACCCGCGGGCACCTGCCATCTCCGTAACAGCAGAGACTCCGGGGGGGCGAGACCCGCGGGCACCTGACATCTCCGTAACAGCAGAGACTCCCGGGGGGGCGAGACCCGCGGGCACCTGACATCTCCGTAACAGCAGAGACTCCCGGGGGGGCGAGACCCGCGGGCACCTGACATCTCCGTAACAGCAGAGACTCCGGGGGGGCGAGACCCGCGGGCACCTGACATCTCCGTAACAGCAGAGACTCCGGGGGGGCGAGACCCGCGGGCACCTGACATCTCCGTAACAGCAGAGACTCTGGGGGGGCGAGACCCGCGGGCACCTGACATCTCTGTAACAGCAGAGACTCCGGGGGGGCGAGACCCGCGGGCACCTGACATCTCCGTAACAGCAGAGACTCTGGGGGGGCGAGACCCGCGGGCACCTGACATCTCCGTAACAGCAGAGACTCCGGGGGGTGGCGAGACCCGCGGGCACCTGACATCTCTGTAACAGCATTCAGAGACTCGGGGCGGGGGGGCATGCTTAAAGTCTTACGGACGTCGTCTTACCAGCATTACCAACTGATATCAGCATGCGTGGCGGTTGCCTCACTCAGCCGTGTCCAACTGTTTGTGACCCCACGGACCACAGCCCGCCAGGCCCCTCCGCCCATGGGATTCTCCAGGCAAGAGTACTGGAGTGGACTGCCATTCCCGTCTCAGGGGATCTTCCCTGACTCAAAGATCAAACCTGCATCTTCTGCTTGCCAACTGAGCCACCAGAGAAGCCCAGTATTAGTGTGTATATATATTTATTTTAGTAATGCTGGTATCACCTACATATAATGTGTGTGTGTATATATATGCAAAATAAATACATATCCAAAAAGTGGCCTATTTAGGTTTTGCAGGCAAAAACTGTTTGCATGTCACCCAGCCTCTGGACTGGAGCCTGCCCAGCAGCCTGGGCCCCGCGCCCCGGCCCTGCGGCGTGTCTGTTGCCTGACTGTGGGGCTGCTCCTTTAGCACCAGCCAGAATGAGATCCCAGTGCCCCAGGAGGGACGGGGCAGACACCCCACCCCCCGTCTGAAGACTGGCTGAAGTCTACAGATGCCTAGGGTTTAACCACACAGAAAAACAAGTGAGAACTGCTAAGGTGTACAGTCTCACCCCAAAGCTCCAGGTCACCATCTGAGGACCATACAAAGCCATAAAGACAAGCCTGACCCCAGGAGATGCCCACGACCCCTTAGGGAGCCACCCCAGGGCATGATCACTGGATTTTAAACAGCATCTGAGAGGATGCCAAGGGCAGAGCTTCATCTTCACAGACACTGCGTCTGTGTTCTCTCCTGCCTATCCAATGTCGCCCCCTCACGACACTGCACACCCCTCCTTCTCGCAAACAAGCGTCCAGAGTAACCCCTCGTTCCTTTCCAAATCCTCACGCCCTTGAGCCCTAGACATCCTCTCAGGTCCAAACACCAGGGTTCATCTCCAGAACTCACTTCATAGTCCCTGCCTCGCAGAATTACGAGGCTCCGAAGGAACAGCACACTCAGAGTCAGTAATCAATAATGGCCATTTCCCTTACATTTAGCTGCTTTATCATCTATTTCACTTGCATCCAATTCCCTAGGAAGCTTTCAAAGCGTATAGGGTGTAAAATTCTAGGTCATCAACTCGATCATCTAGTCTTGGAGCTAAGAGCAAATTTTAATTGAGCTCCCACGTTTTACAGAAAGAAAGCTGAGGCCAAGAGGGGTCAGCACGTTTCACAGAAAGAAAGCTGAGGCCAAGAGGGGTCAGCACGTTTCACAGAAAGAAAGCTGAGGCTGAGAGGGGTCAGGTCAGGCGCCCTCAGGAGGAACCCGCCTCTGGCTCCCTCGCCGCTCCCCCTACCCTGGCCGCCGTCGGGCTGTGTGGGCGGATTCTGAGCCTTGGACACCTTTCTCTCCAAGGTCAGGGGTCCTCAGTCATGCCCTGGCCCCCCTGCAGCAGGGAGAGTGAGCCCACACTTTCCGGGACGTCACAGCAGATATCGGGGGTCCCCGCTGTGCAGCACGTGGCCTCGTGTTTGGGGGTGCTGCTCCTTCTCCTGTGAAGGGCCATGAGTCTGCAGACCTGGAGTGATAACCTCTCCCAGGAGGGGACATGGGGTACCTTCACCCCAAGTAGACGGCCTCTGTCACCTCGCCCGTGCCGGGCACCCCACACCGACGGTTCCTGCCCGATGTGGCTAAGTCTCAGCAAAACCACAAGGGTAAAATACACCTGAAGCCAGCCAAAGACTTCCTGGGGGCAAATACAGGTTGGTTCATACCAGGTGATAGATTCAGAGGAGCTCGGAAATTATTAAAATAAATAGGCAGGCGCGGATGTTGAATCACCTCAAATCTCCACATTCAAAAGCAGAGCAACCAGATAGCAAAACCAAAGACCCACAATATTCACTATAAAAGTGAGAGACAGGCTTCCCTCCGACCTGCAGGCCCTGAGGGGGTGGGTGGGGTCGGCTGGATGTGAACCGGGGATAAATCCACGGCAGCGAGAGGGTCCTCCCCGAGCCTGCATGGTGCGGGACCTGAAGCAGCTCCCGGTGGGCAGAGACGGGCTGTCCAGGTGCCAGGGGGCCAGCAGCGCATGAAAGCCCACCGACACGCTTCCCTCCACACGCTCACGACCTCAGCAGGAGCTTCACCGCTGACCTCCTCAGGACGCCAGGAGCCGCCTCTCGGCTTGAGAGCCGATCGGTTACAGGGAAGAAGCGGAGCGTCATCCGCCATCCTGGTGGATGGGGACAGCGGCTCGGTCAGAGGCTCTCCAGGGAGAGCCCACAGCCCCGACCACCACCCTCTGCATCCTCGCGCTGCTGCCCCCAGAGCCCCCACCAGAGCCCCCGCCTCCTGCGAGCGAGCTGCCCGGCCGAGCCTGGGGTCCCGAGGTCCGCTCCTCGGACGCGCAGAAGACACAGCGGTACGCTGGGCGGCTGAGGACGCACCGTCGCGTGGACAGAGGGAGACGCCCAGGTCCTGGGCCAGGACTGCTGGACAGACAAACGGTCGGGGAGGGGGGAGACGATGGAGCAGACTCAAAGGCTCGAGGACTCGCCTGAACGCGGGCGAGACTCAGCCGTGGGGTTGGGGGAGCAGAGCACAGGGACCCAGAACCCGGCGGGTCCGACAGGCGGGTTTGGAGGAGCTGGACCAGCACATGGCTGGGGAGGCCGCCCCGCGGGAGCCAGCTCCCAGCAAGGCTCACCTCAGCTCCAGCTGCACTTCCTTCCCTTCGTCCCCCCTGCCTGGAACAACCCGTGATCAATCTGTCATATTTGTAATATGTTACTTTTTTTTTTATCTTTCTTATTTGCTCCCAGACACGTGAAAGCCTCCCAGACAAGGGATGAAACCCATGTCTCCCGTGCTGGCAAGCAGGTTCTTCACCACTGAGCCTCCAGGGAAGCCCTTGCAGTGTTGCTCCTTACTTGACTTTTTAAGAGATATTACCCTGTATGCGAAGGGCTTATGAAACCACTTTCATTCCCTCGGTGAACCTGGGCTAAGTCAGTTATTGGCAAAAAACCACCTCAGTCTCTGAATACAATCTGCCCAGAAACAAATCAAGCTAGAAACGTGCTTTCACCTTTTTATTCCCTCATAGTAAGTATGTTTGGAGAACTGCCCAAGCTGGAAGCTGAATGGAGCCTCTAGTGAACAGAAGGGACATGTGCCTGCCTGGGCCAGCAGTCTGGCAATACAGACAGACTTCACAACAGACCTGTCTGAAATACCACAAAGAACCTCGGACACAGGCGGACTTCACCACGGAGCTGCCTGAAATACCACAAAGAACCTCGAAGAGAAATAGAGATGCGGTGAGACTGCAGGGAGAGCGTCCTCGCTGGGCCGGACGGCAGGACGGAAGGGCGTGTGCCAGGCCCTGAGGCCGCGCGGGGTGGGGTTGACAGCCACCGAGGGTTGATGAGAAGCCGCTCTGGAGCGTTTGTGTTTGAGATGCGAATGGGCCATCTCACACTCCCGGCCAAGCCAGCTTCTCTTCCTCTGCATCTGATTATCAAACAAACAAACCAAACCAAAGACGCAATGGGCAGCCCTGGCGACCCAGAGCTGGCACAGAAGCCGACTCCGTCTGAGACGGTCTTTATCCATAGGCTGAATCCAGAACCCTTCCAGCTTTATTTGTAGGCTGAATCCAGAACCCTTCCAGCTTTATTTGTAGGCTGAATCCAGAACCCTGCAATGTGGAATCGGATCACAAACCGAAATCAAGCGCTAAAGGACTTCCCTGGTGGTCCAGCGGTGAAGAGCTCGCCTTCCAATTCAGGGGAGGCGGGCTCGATCCCTGGTCTGGGAACTAAGATCCCTACCTGCTGCAGGGCGACTAAACCCACGAGCCGCAACAAAAACCCAGTGCAGCCAGAAAAAAGAAATGCAAAGCTGCGTTACGCGCCCAGGACAAACGCAAACTCTCATTAGACTCCTGGAAATAAAAGCACAACGCGGGAGCCCAGAGTTCCAGGGTCGCAGGGCAGACCACTCGCGTCTTCAGCACATTCAGTGACAGGAAGTCCTTTAACAGACGGGTCAAGTGAAGTTGAAAAATGACTTGGATTCTGCTGCTTTCCTAAAGCACAATCTGAAATGCCCCAATGGAAAGAAATTTTATCTCATCTTGATGGGTAAAACATTTTCGTAAAGCCTCGAAGTTCCGAGTGTGAAGACTCAGGGGAATCTGCCAGGACGGGCAGGGACCACGAGGAGGATGAAGATGTTAGCAAGCCCAGGGGGGACCCGTCACTGGGGGCGGCTGTGCCCCACGGGAAGCTCCCAGGGGGGACCCGTCACTGGGGGCGGCTGTGCCCCCACGGGAAGCTCCCAGGGGGGACCCGTCACTGGGGGCGGCTGTGCCCCCACGGGAAGCTCCCAGGGGGGACCCGTCACTGGGGGCGGCTGTCCCCCACGGGAAGCTCCCAGGGGGGACCCGTCACTGGGGGCGGCTGTGCCCCCACGGGAAGCTCCCAGGGGGGACCCGTCACTGGGGGCGGCTGTGCCCCACGGGAAGCTCCCAGGGGGGACCCGTCACTGGGGTCGGCTGTCCCCCACGGGAAGCTCCCGGGGGGACCCGTCACTGGGGGCGGCTGTCCCCCACGGGAAGCTCCCAGGGGGGACCCGTCACTGGGGGCGGCTGTGCCCCACGGGAAGCTCCCAGGGGGCACCCGTCACTGGGGGCGGCTGTCCCCCACGGGAAGCTCCCAGGGGGGACCAGATGCCCTCAGAGCTGGGGAGACGCAGGAGAGGCAGTAACTTAACCACTTAGAGGCGGAGGTGGGGGCAGTGGCGTGTCCCGAGGACTCCCTTTGACTCACACTCCTAATAACGAGGATTAGCTGGTCTTCTGCTCAACCCCATGACACTCGTCCTAAAGACAGCCTACAAGGCACCGAAATAGAAGGAAAAGTACTGAAAAGCATGGAATTTTTAAAAGGCTTATTTTATATGGAATTTTATAATCAGCTACGACAATTTTCATGGTTTCTTTATTTTAAAAAATTAAGGTATCACTCCATTAACTGAAACTACTTTAAAAAGTTTAAAGCTGGGACTTCCTATCAGTCCAGGGGTTAAGACTCTGTGCTTCCACTGCAGGGAGCAGAGTTCCATCCCTGGTCAGGGAACTAAGGGAATGCTTGACTGTGAGGCCAAAAAAAAAAAAAAAAGAGAGAGAGAGATTATTTTTAAAATAATAAAATAAAAGGAGAGCAAAAAGGGTTGCTCAAGTTTACAATATGTTATGACAATAAGACTGATTCAGACAACGGGCCTGGCGGACAAGCGCCGAGATTGAGAGCAATCGATGCAACCCAGGGTCACCCTCCAAGAGGTCACTGTCCCAAAGGGCCTGGACTTTCATGTTCAATGAAAATGGTCAATAAAGGAGCTGAAACTGGAGCAGTTCATTTTGTGATGGTCATAATACAGCTAGAACATCTTTTAAGACTTTTATTTATGGAGACTTTCAGACACATGCAGAGTTGGATGGGGCAGGATAAAGGACCCTCATCCAGTGTCTTTGGGTTTCCGTGTGGCTCAGACGGTAAAGAACCCACCTGCAATGCAGGACACCTGGGTTCAACCCCTGGGTCGGGAAGATCCCCTAGAGAAGGGAATGGCTACCCACTCCTGTACTCTTGCCTGGAGAATTCTATGGACAGGCTACAGTCCATGGGGTCACAACAGTCAGACGTGACTGATGCTTTTCACTTTCTGGGTTTATTCACTAGAATCTCCCATAAAGAACTTTCCCTCATCTGTGATGCATTTGCCCTGAAACATGTTTCATCAGGAAGGGCCACACGAGGTTTCCTTCCTTCTTTACCATGTCTTAGAATAAAGGACCGACACGCAGCACTCTCCCAAACTGATCAACAAGATCTAAAAATAATAACAGCTATGAACTGAAGGTTTTCATGGGAGTATGTTATTTTGGCCTGCGTCCTTCACTTCCTAAGTTCCATCGTTCCGTCCGACACCCATGGGCGCTCTGTTAAATAGGCTCTGAGTCCTCCAACAGGAAGTACCAACCCTTCCCTTTCCCCTGCCCCGGGCTTGTCGGGACCCGTGACCCATGACCCCTCAAGCAACCCCACCGCCCTGCACCCACTGCTGCTTCTTGGCCTTTTCAACAGATAAATATGAGCAGAGAAAGCGAAGTGAGAGTCAGTCACTCATGTCCGACTCTTTGCGACCCCAAGGCCTACACCGTCCATGGAATTCTCCAGGCCAGGACACTGGCGTGGGTAGCCTTTCCCTTCTCCAGGGGATCTTCCCAACCCAGGGATCGAACCCAGGTCTCCCGCATTGCAGGTGGATTCTCTACCAGCTGAGCCACCGTGGAAGCTCAAATATAAGGAAAATGGGCTTTAAAGGGAAAACACACTCATGCACTCATACAGAGGTGTCCGTTTCAAATGTACACTAAGTCCATGCTTAACTCTACTTGCTTTATACGTGCACTTCTTTCCTTGTGCTGCAAATAAGGACTCACTCACATGTGCATGGATTGACGTGGGGGCTGGAGAATTAATGAAAGGGGGGTGGCTTCCCTCCCTTAGAGCTGCAGGCGAGCAGCCTTATGGGCTCGCATGGGAAAGGCACCCAACGCCTCACAAATCCCACATCTGATAGAATCAAGAAACAGAAACAGTAACTAAGAGAGCATAAAAAAGGAGGAGATTGCTTCGCATTCACTCAGCCTCTGACCCACTCAGTGGTGGGACGTGTGAACCGTCAAACGGAGCGCTCCCAGATACAAGGTGTAAGGAGACTTGACTCACGTCATCGACTGCGTGGACCACGCCTCCGGACACGGAGCTGAGGGGTAAAACAGCATGAAGACACATATCACGATGGAGCTCCTTCCGCACGCCCCCGGCTCTCAGACTTCGGGCTCATTTCCGGCTCCCTCTCTTCTGGTCCCTGGTATCTTGCATCTTGGTCTCGATTTTTCTATCCTTTCCTCACCTCCACCTCCCATCCCTCCCTCTGACCTTGTCTCGGCACATTTTCCTCGCACACCTCTGCTCTGTTCGGTACTTCTGCATTCTCCAGCTGTGTTGTGTGACACGTACGTCTACGTGTAAATACCTCCCACACACAGCCTGAGGTTAGGAGCTTGGGGGTGACTGAGACAGAAAGAAAGGCCTGCCAAGGTCTCTGCCCTTGGGAGCGGCAGTATTGGAATGCGATTGTGAATCCAGAGAGAGGCGACACATGTCAGAGCTAAAACTAAGTAACTGTAAATGAAAGAAGAACAGGAAAGATGGTTTATGACGCCTCTCGGGAAGCTTTGCCAGGCTGGGCATCCCCGGGCAGTGCCGTCGGACAGTTCTCTGTGGTGATGAACTGCCCAGCAGTGCGCCTGAGACGTGGCCGGAGCAGCTGAGCAGCTATGCGTCCAGATCACTTAACTTTAATTCATTTAGTCACAGGACCACGTGTGGCAGGAAGCGACCCTGTCAGGCCACACAGAAGCAGATCAATAATGTGACACGGCCACCTGCAAACACCACTCCAGGAGCACGTTCGTGGAGACACCACGTTTCAGGACCGCTGGCTGCTGGGCAGCACCGCAGAGCTAGGCACGCCCCACTGCCAAGACTAGTTTCACGCCACAGGACTGACCGGGCCTTTCTAAAGGCCCTCCAAAGCCAAGCGTTACACTGTAGCACGTGCAGAGAGGAGAGAGTGGAGTGGATGGGGCCTTCACAGAAGAACCAAGTGTGGGCAGGGCACGGGGCGGGCCCTGAGGTGAGCGCAGTCACCGGGGCGGGCGGAAGCAGTCACCGAGAGCCCTCGGGTGGGCCTGGCCTGACCTAGCGGAGCAGGGGCCGCTGCAGGCTGAGCGGGACGCGGGCCGGGTGAGGCCCAGAGTCGGGAGCTGCTCCTAAGGGCCGCCCAGTGGAGACGTCCACGGGGCATTTGTTTCATCAGAGAAAGAAGGAAAAGTCAGGATTATGATTTTCAAGGAAATGAATTTCAGGTAATTTTGTGTCATTCATCACCAGGGACACTTTCTCTCAGTCAGGAGTACTGAGTCAGCAGTAACCACCCTCTGATCTCTGAGGGGCCTCTGGGGGGATTCAGAGGGCAAGGACCAGCAAGAGCTGGCTTGCACCACTGACGGCCGCCTGACCGCCTGACTGCCTGGGTAGCGGGCTCCTGCGACCCCTCTCTTTCTTGCTCAGGTATTTTGGCCACGTTCAGGCACATTCCAGAGCAACTGCCACTCATTCATCTTGGCAAATCAGCTCCATCCAGAAAAGAGGGCCTCCTCCAGAGACCAGAAGATAGGAGGCGGGGTGCCACTTCTGTGCTTCGTCCACACACACACGTGTGCACACAACACGCATGTCACACACGTGCACAAAACACATGTGTGCACACAATATACACATGTGCACGCCACACACATGTGCATGCAATACATATACACACCACACGTGTGTGCACAATATGCATACACACCAAACATGTGTACACAATATACATACTACACATGCGCACGTGTGCATGTGCGCGCACACAAATACACACGTGCACAAACATATACACATGCACGTGCACACTCCACACATGTGTGTGCGCAATCCCCATACACACTGAAAGGGTAACAGGCAGGAAGGCCAGGGGTGAGGACATAGGAGGAAGTAGGAGGAAACGGAGGAAATAGGCTGCAAGTGTCACAGTTTTTATCTCTCTCTTAAACAAACTTTAAGAGGAAACAAACTTGTGTTATATTTTTTCCCCTTCTCTATACAAATTTAAAAAGAGGTTTCTCTTAAAATTTTGTGTTGCCATAATGACACCTGGTTCCACCTGAACTTAACTTTTCTCAAACCTTGAGCTAACCAATGCATCTTTCTTACGGAAATGTTTGTCTCAAGCTATGTTAATGTACTATGTATTTACCCTAGACTCTGTCTTCAAGTCAGTTCTACCTAAAGGCTCAGAACTGACTTGACAAACCAGTGTGTTATACTCATATATTGTTCTCCTAATCTATGCTAATAAAGCTAAATATTTGTATGGAAACCTGCCTTTTTTCAAGATTCATGTCAATTGTTTTATGGCCTGGGATGACTTACCTTGTGCCAATGTTAGCTCAATGCATGTTGTGGGTGAGGGACCTGGTGCCACTCTGAGTTTTGAGACATTTCCTTTCTCCAATTAGCAGCCTGCTAGTAGCTGTATAACATCCAGCTAAAGACGAGCAGGGGGCACTCTTTCTGCCCCCTTCTGATGTCTATGTCAGAAGCTTTCTCTATCTCTTTTATACGTTGATAAAACTTCATCACACAAAAGCTCTGTGTGATCAAGCCTCGTCTCTGGCCCCAGATTGAATTCTTCTCCTCCAGAAGCCAAGAATCCTGGAGTCTTTCGTGGTTCAGCAACGACCTTTCAACACCACACACACATGTGTACATAATACACATACCACACACACACACGCGCATGCACGCACACACATAAATACACATGCGCACGCACATACACACATGCACATACAGGTGCGTGCACACATACACGCATGTGCACACATGTGCTCACGTGCACCTGCACACACACAGTGCGGAAGCGGGTTACCTGTTCCGTGAGACCAGCTCCTGAGCCTTGTCATCGAAGGGCAGCAGAGGGCGGATCCGACAGAGGACTCTGATGTCGCCCTTCAGCTCCTGAAGCAGGAGGAGGTTTGCCGTGCGCCTGGGAGCACGCGGAACCCAGGGACCCGTGTCCTCGAAGGGCATCTGCTGAGGACTTGCCCCGAGACGTGAGTGCTGGACTTCCCACCAAGCCTCGACGTGGGAGAAAACCCCCACGGAGCAGGGAGCATCTGTGTCATCCCAAATTTTTAAAACTTCACTCTTACATGTGCTCACATGGCAAATGATCACCACTGGGTTGAGTGCATCACGTCACTGACGTGTAACAGCACCCCAGGCTAATCTCTCAGGGGCCTGAGAAGGCTTCTGAAATGCGGCCCGTTACCCAGACCCGCCCGGGGGTAGGTGCGAGGAGACAGTGCAGAAGCAGAGATGAAGAATAAGCCCCTGAACCTCCGGCTAGCACAGTGCGGGAGCCACACCTTCCCACACGCCGGGGACCCACCGAGCTGACGCACCCGCTATCTTAGCAATTCACGGCAAGATCGTGCTGAGTTCAGCCCCGCAGACATGGCCAGGCTCCCGCCGGCCTGTGCCTGGGTCCCGCCAACGGAGAGGTCCTGCCCCCTGGGCGAGCTCTATCTGAGTCACCGCTACACGGTTCTGCTGGAGCCTTTGACCCGCGGGCCTGCGATAACTCAGGGGTCACACCGAAGGGGCCCTTCCTCTCCCACACACCAGCTTGTCAGAGGCCCCGCTCCTGTGTCCCCCGGAAACCTCCCTGCCTGCTCGCCCTGCCAGCCCTCACTGCTCCAGGGCACGTCCACCGTCCTCCTGACACAGCTGAGATCAACCCAGCCCGTCCGTGTCCTTCCTAAAGCGTCGTGCTGGGGACAAGAAGCACGTCTCTAGGCAGAGGGAGCCCCCTCCTTCTCTACACTCGGAGGCTCTTCCGTCTACACCGCCAGGCAAACCACTAGCTTCCTTGGCAGCCACGGACGTGAACGGCCAGCTCCCACCAGGACACCCCACGCCTTGGCGCCCAGGGGACTCTGGAGCCGTCCGCCCCTCCCCAGCCCCTCAGGCTTTGGGGATAGTCCCAGGCTGCAGGAAAAATGGCTGTAGACTCGCCAGATGCCCACAAACACCCCAGGGCAGAAATCTAGACGCAGGGGAGAAGCCACGGCTCCTCAGGGAGCCGTGCGGACCCGTGGGACACAGGAGGCTTGGGGAGAGGCGGCTGCTGGGTGAGGTGGGGGATGCCGGAGGCGGCGGCGGAAGGGTGGCCACCAGTGACCCAGGGCTTCTCACACCTGTCAGTGACAGGCGCGACCTCCCAGGACAGGCGGGCAGCCAGGGGCAGGTCAGAGGGGCCTGGAGGCCAAGGGACAGCGACCCCGGGGAACTTGTCACCTGGGCTTGCTCTGCAGCTCGGCCAGAGGGTCCCCTAGTAACACAGTAACGGCGGCTCGGGGGGCTGGGAGACATGGGCTCCAACGTGCTGGTCTGCCTGGAATCAGACCTCAACCCAGCGAGGCGGTGCTGTCAGTACAGGGGACCACACCCGGTCCCTGCTCCAAGTGCCCGCCGTTCTGGGGACAGGCTGGGGGCAGCCTGCTGAAATATTTTGCTGTTCAACCTGTCTGCGATCAATTCCTTCCAAACTCGTATCTTCAAATGTCATCAACCTGCTTGCTTATTTCTATCAAGTCACAAGTAATTAGGGCCCAAATAGTCCGGGTCTGGGCGGAGGCCGGAGCATGTCCCCAGGGCCGCGTCCAGCTGTCACCTCTGCGCAGACCCTGGCCGGGTGGACCAGAGCTGGCGAGGAGGCAGGGCCCACCCCCTGTGGCCCCGAGTGCCTCAGAGGCGGCTCAGGCTTTACCGGGCTCCAGTCCTGCTTGGGGGTCTCCACCTCTGCAAACCGCACCCCCACCCACGCCCGCTGCCCTTCCTGAAGGCCCCCCAGGTGCAGGGTGGTCACCTCCCGGCCCCACGCCGCCAAGCCTGGCCTGGGGGGCCCAGCCTTGCCCCCACAGAGCGGCCGGAGGACCCGGGAGGTGGCGGCCCGAGAGGACAGGGACCCCGCCCACGCTGCCCCGTGGTCAGGGTCGGGCGGACGGTCACCCACCGCCAGGGCCTCCTGCAGCCGCCGCCGCTCCCGCTGCTCCTGCCGCCAGCACTCGGTCACGTCCCGCAGGGACCGCTCCAGACGCCCTGCCTCCGCCGGCCAGGCCGCTGCAGGCAAGGTCACCCCATCGGAGCGGCTCCGGAGGGGAGGGCCCGGTCCCTTCCACCAGCCCTGTGCCCAGCGTGCTGCAGGCTGGGCCCTCGGCAGCCAGGGCACCCGAAATGCAGCCTGTGCCAGCCTCGGGAAAGGCCCTGGGTCTCAGGACAGTGGCCGTGGACACGCATCTCCATCCTGTCGGCCCACTCCGTGTGTGGACAGGGGTGGGGGGCACAGGGTGGAGTCCTGGGGCACCATGGTGGGGACCCTTACACAGAGGGCCCTGTTCAGCCAGAGGTTAAGGCCAAGAGGTCAAGTGGTCACCCAGAGAACAGGGACTCAGCCCTGCCCACCATCTCACAGGCCCCCAGCACTGAGGGGGCTGGACGCCCAGGCCCCAGCGGGCTGCTCGCTGCCTGCGGGGCCCCCGCCTCCACATGGACCAGCGCATCTTCAGTTGGGGTCTGTCTTACCCAGCAGAGCCTCATGGTGGAGCTGGGCCGTCTGGACAGCCCGCACTATCTCAGAAAGACAGTCCCGATGCTCCTCCCGGTAACTCTGGAGGAGCCCTCGAGAAGAGGACCGAAGCACCTCCATCTCTCGTTTCAGCTTCTGCAAAACAAGGACCCACACGACTAAGGTGATGGGCATGACTGCTGCTCGTCACAGCGCACTCACAGGACTTCCCCAGGGTGAGGACACAGCCCACCCCGACACGACCACACGTGGGTCGATCATGACACACATCTGTTCAAGCCGATGCCCTCAACCCCAGGCCCAGGCAGGCTCACCAGCCACGTGATTCAGTGACAGACACGCACGGCTCACTCCCAGACACTCTGAGCCCAGACCTGGGGTCTGCACTTCGCAAAGCAGCCCGTGTGATTTACACACTTACACAGTTGAAGCACTCAAGAAAATCAGGTCTCTCGCCAGCTTCCGTAGGAAGCGCAGCCCGCGGCCCGGTGGAGAGCTCGCCTGGGACGTTTTTCCGCCTGCTGTTTACTTCCTGCGTCGCGGGGCTCCCCTCCCGGGAACAAAGCTCTAATCTACTCCCCAGGCGGGAGCACAATGCCCGCCTGGGTTATAAATGTGCACAGCGGAATTCCAGGCACACAAACAGTGGATTCCAGAGCCCCGGGGACAATGCAACGGCCCGACTAAGCAGCGTCCTCCGCAGAAGGCGCGGTCTTTCTTCCTGAAGGGACTTGGAGGTGCGTTGGCTTGAAAACCAGTCCATGGAATCAAAGAACCGAGGTGCTGCTCTTTAATACCAAACACGTCACTCACGAAACCCTAACTGAACGGAAATACGTGTTCTTTGTCCCTTGCGTTAAGTCTTTTCTGGCTATCAAGTGGAGACTGTTTCAGTGTTTTTACGAAACATTTTCATAAAACATCAAAACTAAATTGAATTAAATTATTTTTACTTTATGTAATGCACATAAAGTTATATACTTCATTGAAGGATAGATTAATTTTACCCAGTTGGAAGAGAATGAAGAATTAATTCCATACAAACCCACTCTAAATAAACTAATGCAGTTCATGCCAGGGCGGGGCAGGGGTGTGGAAAAAAAACCACCCTAAGGGCAAATTAATCCTATTTACAGATGGTGTTTCTATTGTTGCAATGATGATATTTTTTCCTTCTAATCTTCACCCAGTCACACTGTTTGTAACAAAAGGTGAACAACGCTCCAAAGGCGTCCACCTTGGAGAATTGCCAGTGGACTGTGTCTGTGCTTCCCAGCTCCTGTCAGGAGACACGGTGGTTTTAAAGGAGGTGCTCTCTTGGATAATCTGCTGTACTAACGCCATTTAATCAGATGTGTACCAGCCAGTTTTCTAACATTTGACGCAAAGCGTAAGTGAGAGCAACTGTGATGTGTGAAATTCCACAAGCAGGTAAACGCAGCACTTCATCTCGTGGCCAAAGCCCGTCTCCCTCCTATCTCTGCACGAGGTCTCAATCCTGCTCTGAGGCTTTGCCTTCTATTCATTTCCGGAAAGCAGAAGGCCCACAGCGAGCTGTCTCCACTACTGATGATAAACCGGTAATCACTGCGTGGTTTAATAAACAAGAGCAAGCCAGTCTCCAGTAGTGGGAAATCTGCATATAACACCCTGAGGGGCTTCGCTTCCTAAAACTAAGGCGTCGTGTAGCTCCACGAGAGTAGATCATCAGGCTCCCCGGTGGCCCAGTGGTAGAGCGGCCACCTGCCTGTGCAGGAGACAGGGTGTGATGCCTGCTCGGGAGGATCCCACAGGTCGCAGGGCAGCAAGGTCCGTGAGCCGCGACTGCTGAGCCCGGGCTGCGGAGCCTGGGGACCGCGACTGCGGAGCCCAGGAGCCGCAGCTACTGAGGCTGGTGCGCCCTAGAGCCCGCCGTCCACAGCAAGAGGAGCCGCTGCCACGCGGAGCCCGCGCACCGCGTCTCGCATCCGCTGCCACGCGGGTCCCGGCTCGAGCTGCCGCTGGGGAGACCCAGGGGCTCCCACAGCCTCTAGCGGGGAGGGGCCCGCCTGCCACAGCTGGAGAAGAGGCCGAACAGCAACGAAGACCCAGCACAGACGAAAATAGACAAAGTAATTTAAAAAAGAGCAGATCCACCGTGATAAATCACAAGGGAAAACAATACTTAGAAACCCGAACGTCCATGTGTACGTGAATCACTTCTCAGTACAGCGGAGACTAACATGACATTGTCAGTCAACTAAACTCTCATAACATGAATGCTGAGCACGTCTGTTTTGACAGGCACGGCTCACACAATTCCCCAGAAAACAACCACTCTCCCGACTGAACACGAACGCTCCTCCCGCGAGTGAAGACGGACCCTGGGAGTCCTCACCTGGGCGGCGCGGCAGAGCCGGGTCAGGGCGGAGCTTGAGTGTCCTCGCCGGGGCATCTCTTCCCTGCAGCCCCTTCCCGTCACTTCCCGGGACTGTGACCCAGAAAAGAGGAAAAGACAACTTAGAGCGTCGGGACAGACACAGGCGCCTTTTCTCTGAGGGAGACACTTCCGATTGTCCACAGGACGCCATCTGCCCACAAGGAGCCTCTGCCCAGGCCGAGGGCCAGCTCGGGGCCACAGGGCATCAGCTCAGTCGCTGAGTCGGGTCCGACTCTCTGTGACCCCACGGACCGCAGCGCGCCAGGCCTCCTGTCCATCACCACCTCCCGGAGTCCACCCAAACCCATGTCCATTGAGTCGGTGATGCCATCCAGCCATCTCATCCTCTGTCGCCCCCTTCTCCTCCCGCCTTCCATCTTTCTCAGCCTCAGGGTCTTTTCAAATGAGTCAGCTCTTCGTATCAAAGTATTGGTGTTTCAGCTTCAGCATCAGTCCTTCCAATGAACACCCAGGACTGATCTCCTTTAGGATGGACTGGTTGGATCTCCTTGCAGTCCAAGGGACTCTCAAGAGTCTTCTCCAGCCCCACAGCTCAAAAGCCTCAGTTCTTCAGCGCTCAGCTTTCTTTATAGTACAAGTCTCAATCCATGCATGACCGCTGGAAAAGCCATAGCTTTAACCATACAGACCTTTGTAGGCAAAGTAGTATCTCTGCTTTTTAATATGCTGTTGAGGTTTGTCATTGTTTTTCTTCAAGGAGCAAGTGTCTTTTAATTTCAAGGCTGCAGTCACTTTGCAGCTGCCAACAGTGATTTTGGAGTCCAAGAAAACGAAGTCTGTCACTGTTTCCACTGTTCCCATTGATCTGTCATGAAGCGATGGGACCGCAGGGCACCAGCCACCAAAACAAGCTGCAGGGACCAGGCTGGGCGAGCAGGGCCCAGGGGCAGGGCGGGTGCGGTGGGAGCAGCGCTGGGAAAGGCCTGAGGTGAGGGGGTCAGCCCGCGGCTGGGGGGAAAGCGGGGGAGGGGCCTGCAGGGCGACTCCCCGGAGGAGCCACAGGCAGTGCCACATCGCCGAGGACTCGCAGCGATGTGCAGGTTCCAAAAGCTCACGCTGGCGCCTGCGGGGAGGACAGGGGGAGGGGGCAAGGAGCTCAGACTGCGGCCGGCTGGCCCTCGTGGTCTGGGCGGCAGACAGAGATGGGTCAAACACTCATGCTGGGACGGAAACACGGACCCGGCCTGAGCCTCTGGCGGGGAGGTGCGGTGAGGTCCTGGGCACAGACAGCCAGCTTGGGTTTTCCTTCGATCCATTTGACTCCCACGGGGTTTAACTAGGTGTTTGCGCTCTCCGAACACGTCCTCATGAGCCAGCAAACGCTGCAGTTTCTCCCCAGAACAGCAAGCACACGTCCCCATGCAGTGAGAACACGTGGTTAAACCACCCATGACCCTGCTTTTCCACGCGCCCGGGATGGATACACACAGCTCAGAAGCCACATGAGAGGTGGGTGCGTGCTCACTTCATCAGCAGGAACTGCTGCTCGTCTCCTGGGGGGCGGGCCGAGGGCAGAGGAGATGGCTGGGGGTCCGGTGGGACATCCCGGTGCGGACACAGGCCCATCCTGTCCGGAGAGCGTGTGCTGGGGGCCCGCACCCAGCTGGTGGGACACCGGCCCCCAGGCGGGGGCCCAGGGTACACGGGAGGTAATGCCAGCTGCAGGGGAGGCCCCGAGGCGTGTGCTTGGAACAGGGCACATGGAACCGGGAGGCGGGCAGGACCGAGCAAAGACGGGACCAGACGCTGAGCCCTCATCAGAGGCCCACCGCCCAGGGGACGGGGCTCAGCAGCTGAGCAGCTGGGCTCACAGGAAGGGCAGCCCTGCCTGGAGCGCCAGGGGACGCAGCCAACACGGGTGTCAGACCCTGGAGGGCAGGAAGCCCCCACTGGAGCAGGAGGCCTGCGCCCTGCCGGCCCAAGGGGCCGTGTGGCAAGCGGCTGGAGGAGCAGAGGCTGGGGACGAGGGGAGGTGGCTCCGAATCTTTCTCAGGGAGGGCGAACCCCAGGGAGAGGGAAAGAGGCAGGAGTCAGGCTGGGTGAAGATCAACACGCACACACAGACCCACTCAGGCAAAGGACATGGGGCTCATTCAGGCGACTGTGAGCCTGAACCCAGGAGTGTCAATCCCGGGAGGCCCGCGGGAACCGGAGACTCATCCGGCCATCGGGACGACAGCTCGGCCTGCGCGGCAGGGGGTGAAAATGAGAGTGCCATGTCAGGGCAGAGTCCTTGAGCGCAGGATACACCAGCGTGGACACACACAGTCTGCTCCCACTGAGGCTGGAGGGGCTGGGCCAACAGTGTCCGGTGCTGTGAGGGTTCGGGGGATGGTGGCCACGGAGACTGAGATTTCTCTGTCAATTTTCAGAAAAGAATATAGGGACTTATACATGCTTGAAATTTTACAAGCTCTATCTGACATTCTATATCTAATGATCTTACATGTAAAACAAGCAAAAAAATTGTCTCAAAGACAAACTGGAAAAACGGTTGGCATTCTGAAGCTCCCCCACTGGGAGAACATCTGATCCAAATAGAAGAATTGATGCTTTTGAACTGTGGTGTTGGAGAAGACTCTTGAGAGTCACTTGGACTGCAAGGAGATTAAACCAGTCAATCCTAAAGGAAATCAGTCCTGAATATTCATTGCAAGGATTGATGCTGAAGTTGAAGCTCCAATACTTTGTCTACCTGATGCAAAGAACTGACTCATTGGAAAAGACCCTGATGCTGGGAAAGATTGAGGGCAGGAGGAGAAGGGGACGACAGAGGATGAGATGGTTGGATGGCATCACCGACTCGATGGACATGAGTTTGAGCAAGCTGTGGGAGTTGGTGATGGACAGGGAGGCCTGGCGTGCCGCGGTCCGTGGGGTCACAGAGAGTCGGACACGACTCAGCAGCTGAAGAACAACAATATGCGCTAACACTGCAGACACTCGTGAAAACCCCAAACACGAGCTCAAGCTTATTCTCTGGGTGAGCAGCCCTGGCCACAAGGGATTCCAGGTACAGTGACCTGCCGGGGGCGGCCCGAGCCCAGGATGCTGAGGCTGGGGAAGTGCCGCAGTTGGAGTTCAGGGTGTCACGTTCCAGCAGTTCAGGCCAGCTGGTGGCCAAGACAAGCCAAACCACAGGTGTGCTCAGAAGCACCAGAAGACCACAGGCTTGAACGTGCATTCATAAATTAACAAGCACTTTGTTTAAAGCTAGTGTGACTCACCCTAAATTACCAGGCAGTTTCAGCATGACTACATTTTTTTCAGTGAAACGACAGGGTTATCTTCGGGGAGCCAAGTCTGAAGCTTGCTTCCCCTGGGGGTGCTCAGGAGAGCCCTCCAGGGAGCGGGAGTTATTTAATGGGGGCGTGCTGGTTTTCTGTTGCCGCTGTAACGACGCATCACAAGCTGGGAGGCTATGACTGCGCCAGTGTTTTCTCTCCCATCCCGAGGCCAGACTTCCAAGACCCAGGCGAGGGCAGAGCCACACGCCCTCTGGCTCAGGGAGCCCTTCCCCCTCCGTCTGGTCCTGATGTCGCCGGGTCTTAGCGAAGAACCTCTCCCTTCTTTGTCTTCCGTCACCGTTGCCTCCGTCCTACACGGACTCATGGGAAGGCACCGAGGCTCCCCAGATAACCCAGGGTCAGCCCCACCTCAAATTCAATCCCGTCTGCAGAGGTCTTATCCCTGGCCAAGGTCACGTCCACAGCGTCTGGAATCGGGAGGGAACTGACATCTCCGGGGGCCACTCTGCAGCTGACCAAAGGCGGCCACGGCAAGTCATGTAGGAATAAGACAAAGCAGGGCCCCCAGCATTCCCCATTTGTGTTCCTCTTTGTCAAAGTGAAGGACAGATCTGCAAGAGGAGCTGGGCAGAGCTGCTTTGCGCCCGGCCTCCTTCATTTCTGGCTTTGGTGAGGGAGGCAGATGATGTGGGTAGAATCAAACAAAGGTTCATCTTTGGGGCCGAAGGGAGAGGTCCACAGCTGACTGCGGTGGTGGGATTATAGCCGTGAGCTTACTGAACACCAGACTGTACGTTTCACCTGAGTGAATGTCTGGTACCTGAGAGATTCCTCAATAAAGCAGGCTTTAAAAGCACAGGCACCTTGCTAATTTATTACTCCCTAAATACTCATGAGCCCAGAGATAATAAGAAATCAGACCTACAGATGATTCAGCATAAGAAGGTATTTTAAAGGGTCCTTGCTGGGTGAAGAAGAGCATCTCAACACTTTCTTCTGCAGAGCCTGAAACAAATCCGGATGTAATTCAACTCAACCCCAAGACATGTAAAAGTGTTACCTCCGCCAGTTTCAGGTGAAGAAGAGCATTCTCCGTTTCCAGCTCAACTATTCTCTCCTCTTTGGCCTGCAACCAAGGATCCAGAAAGCAAAATGACCAGCATCAGTGAAATTCACCAGCAGCCGCCGCCACCCCCAGAATGATGACTTATGCACAAGGGTGCAAGCTCCCGGCAGGCGAGGAAGGGGGCAGGCGGTGGCGGGCTGGAGGGACACCTGGGGCCCTGATGGGCCCCCAGGCCCTTGTCTGTGCCCCGGGCCCCAGGTGTGAGCCCCAGACCAGCAGCTAGGGGCTTGCTAGAAACTCAGAATCTGGGACCCTCCCATCCCAAATGGACCCAAGTCTGCATTTCAGTAAGTTCTCCAGGTCACGGTGGGCACATTCAAGTTGGGAAGGCAGGGCTCCACGGACCCTGCTCATCAAAACCCACTGCTTCCGTCCTTTTATTCACTTATTCAAAATACACTTGTTAGAAACCTATTGTGTGCCAGGGGGCCTTTCAGGGGCTGTGGAGTCAGCACCCTCGTGGGGTAACTCACGCGCCCATGGATGGAGCCAGTGAGTGGAGACAGTAGCAGCTCCGCTAGAACTGAAACAGGCAATGAGAGCGCGGATAGGCCCCTCCCTGGGGGGCGGGGGCGGAGAGTGGGGAGCCCATGCACAGGCCCTGCTGCAGGAGTGAGCTTAGCAAGCGGAGGCGCAGAGAGAAGGCCGGCCAGCCTGGCGCACGGCGGGGGAGGGTTCCCTGAGCCCAGGAGGGAGGCGTGAGCAGGCAGGAAGGAGCTGCAGAGTTCGGGGCGGAGGAGCCTCAGTATTAGCCACGCAGGGATGCTGAGCGGGCCAGCTCCCGGGGGCCTGAGGGAGAGGACAGCGCCAGTCCCCGGGAAGGCGGGCTCAGGCGGGGCCCTCCCGCTGGGGAGCCCTCCTTCCCCCAGGCTTTGACGAGTGGCTCACAAGGACCCCGATGAGTTCAGGACATGCTCTTTGTGACTGCTGAGAAAACCCGAAACCTGGAGCCATCTAGATTTCTGTCATCACACGCAGTCAGTTTTACCTCGTAAAATATAACACCTCAAATATTTCCCTGAGACTTCGCTTAATTCTGAGATCCCACCAGCTCTTACTTCAACAGGTGCCATCGTCAACGCCCGCCCCCAACCACAGCCGTTCTGAGCGACAGTTCGCACACCACTCGCCCAGCTGAGTGAACAATTCAGAGGCTCTAAGTACATTCATAGTTGTGTGACCATCACCAAAACTAAGTTTAGAATACGTTCATCACCCCCAAAAGAAACCCACAGCATCACCCCTGACTCCCCACACTCAGCGCCAGGAAACCACTAACTCACTTCCAGCTCCTGCATTCCTGCCAGTTCTGGACACTGTAAGTAGATGGGATCACAGGACAAGGGGTCCTCTGTGACAGCCTCCTCCCCTCAGCACCAGGTTTTTAAGGCATAACCGCATCGCGGCATATTTCAGCATCTCGTTTCTTTACTGCCTGATATGATTCCATTGTTCGGAGGGGCCACACCTGTCCACTCATCAGCTGAGGGCCCGCGGGCTGGCCTCCCCTCTTAGGCTGTGAGGAACGGGGCTGCTCTGAGAGTCCCACCCTTTGCAGAGGACACTCTCCTCACGCTTGAGCGTGCCCTAGGATTTGCAAGGCGCACAGGACCCGTCTGCAGCCAGTGGAGGAAATGCTGGGCTGCATCCATTTCACACCCCCACCGCAGCCTGTGCGAACTCCGGCTCCTCCAGCCCCCCAGCTCCCCTCGTTTTTCCGACGACAGCCCTCCAGGGAGTGTGCATCGGCACCTCGCTGGGGTCTAGTCTGGATGTGCCTGGTGGCTGGTGGCCCCGACCATCGTTTCAGAGGGCAAGCATTACCCACCCTCTGGGGGTAAATTTCCTCCAAAGCATCTGGTTACCTTTGCTGATACCACTCATTGCTATGGAGTAGAAACATCATTGACTTCAGTGTACTGACCATGTATCCCACCTTGCTGAGCTCATCTTTTTCAGGTGCAAAGTCATGTCCGACTCTTTGTGACCCCATGGACAGCAGCACGCCAGGCTTCCCTGTCCTTCACTATCTCCCAGAGCTTGCTTAAACTCATAAACATCGAGTCAGTGATGCCATCCTACCATTTCATCCTCCATCGTCCACTTCTCCTCCTGCCTTCAATCTTTCCCAGCATCAGGGTCTTTTCCAATGAGTCAGCTCTTCGCATCAGGTGGCCAAAGTATTGGTGTTTCAGCTTCAGCATCAGTCCTTCCAATGAACACCCAGGACTGATCTCCTTTAGGATGGACTGGTTGGCTCTCCTTGCAGTCCAAGGGACTCTTTAAGAGTTTTCTCCAGCACGACAGTTTGAAAGCATCAATTCTTTGGCTCTTAGTTTTCTTTATGGTCCAACTCTCACATCCGTAAATGACTACTGGGAAAACCATAGCTGACCTCCCTTTTTAGTGCTGATAGTTTTTTAGGTGGTTTGGCGGGGGGTGAATTCCTAACGGTTTTCTGTGTATGAGATCATGTCATGTACAAATAGTCTCCTTTCCTGATACACGTGCCACCCCCCTCCCACATTATCTTATCTAATCCTCATGACTGACACTGCCAGGATGGTATTGGACACGAGCGGGAACAATGAGCACCTTCATCTTGCTCATCATTAAGGACAAGGCCTGACGTTCGCTGTGGGTTTGCACAGGTGCCCTTTATCAGGTTGATGGATTCCTCTCTGTTCCTAGATGGCTGAGTGCTTTTTCACAAAGGGCAGTTGAATATTGTCGAATGATTTTTTCTGGGTCGATTGAAATAAGGATGGAGGTTTAGGCCTTAATTCTAGTGATGTGGTTTATTACATTAACTGATTCTTGTTGCTAGACCAACTTTGCATTTTGGGGATAAATCCAATCGCAATTTAGTGAGATTTACAACCCTTTATATATAGTGCTGGATTCAGTTTGCCAATGCTTGTTAAAGTTTTTTGAATCTACATTCGTAGGAGATCCTGCTCTGTAGATTCCTTGAGGTACTTCTGTGTGGCTTTGGTGTCAGCGTGAGTTTGTCCTCACGGAGCGGGAAGTGTCCCTTCCTCTTTTATTTTTTGGAACTTTGTGAAAGACTGGAGTGAGTTCCTCTGTAAATGTGTGGTAAAATTTGCCAGTGAAGCAATCTGGGCCTGGGCTTTACTCTGTGAGGGTTTTTTTCGTTTATTAATTTCTTTACTTCTTCCAGCTCTGTTGACATTTTCTAGTTCTTGAATCAGCTTTGGTAGTTTTGTCTTTAAAGCATTTGATCATTTCATCCCAGGTATCGAATCAGTCCGCAGTGTTGCTCACAGTATTCTTGAATAATCCTTTTTATCTCTGCAAGGTTGGCAGTCAAGCCCTCTTTTATTCTTGATTTTATTAACTTGAGTCTTCTCTCCATCAAGCTAAAGCCTTGTCAGTTTTGTTCATCTTTTCAGGGAGCCAGCTTCTGGTTTTGTTGATTTTCTCTAGAGCTTTCCTTTCATCTGTTCCTCTTATTTCTGTTCTTATCTTTAGTGTTTCCATCCTTCTGCTCGGGTGGGTCTCACTCTCTTTATCCAGCATGTCCTGAGGTGAGGTTAGGTCATGGCACGAGATCTACCTTTTTTAAAATATAGATGCTTAAATAAATTTCCTTTTAAGCACTGCTTTGGCTGCATCCCATAAATTTTGGTGTGCAGAACCCTGATTTCATTCATCTCAAAATATTTCCTAATTTCCTTTTGGATTTCTTATTTAATTTGTTGGTTATTTAGAAGTGTGTTATTTAATTTTTACATATTTGTGAATTTATTAAAGTCCTCTCTGTCATAAATTCCTGACTTCCCTCTATTGCAATAAGATAACATACTGAATCTGATTTCTGCCAGTTTCAATTTATTGAGGTTTGTTTCACAGCCTTGCCTGCCGCCAACCCCAGGCCCAGCCTGCCCACCACACAGCCCCGCTCAGCTCACCCCTGGGGCAGGTCGGCCCTCAAGCCCTGACCCCACTCACATCTCCCCAGGACTCGGCTCCACCTGCTCTGAGGAGACACTCCCGGACCCAGGTGAGGCCCACGGGGGCTGGACCAGAATGGCTGACCACACCCGGGAGCCCTGTCAGTTCCTTTCCGAGCTGACATTTACTTTGTGAGGATGAATTTAACTCAGATGACCATTAGGTTTACTACTGTGGGCAGGAATCCCTTAGAGGAAATGGAGTAGCCCTCATAGTCAACAAAAGAGTCTGAAATGCAGTACTTGGATGCAGTCTCAAAAACGAAAGAATGATCTCTGTTCGTTTCCAAGGCAAACCATTCAGTATCACGGTAATCCAAGCTTATGCCCCAACCAGTAACGCTGAAGAAGCTGAAGTTGAACGGTTCTCTGAAGACCTACAAGACCTTCTAGAACTAACACCCCAAAAAGACGTCTTCTTTATTATAGGGGACTGAAATGCAAAAATAGGAAGTGAAGAGACACCTGGAGTAACAGGCAAGCTTGGCCTTGGAGAACAAAATGAAGCAGGGCAAAGACTAACAGAGTTCTGCCAAGAGAACGCGCTGGTCATGGCAGACACCCGCTCCCAACAGCACAAGAGACAACCCTACACGTGGACATCACCAGATGGTCAGCACCGAAATCAGATTGATTATATTCTTTGTAGTCGAAGATGGAGAAGCTCTATACAGTCAGCAAAAACAAGACCAAGAGCTGATTGTGGCTCAGATCATGAACTCCTTACTGCAAAATTTAGACTTAAATTGAAGAAAGTAGGGAAAACCACTAGGCCATTCAGGTATGACCTAAATCAAATCCCTTATGATTATACAGTGGAAGTGACAAATAGATTCAAGGGATTAGATCTGATTGTCTGAAGAAATATAGACAGATCTGATTGCCTGAAGAAATATAGACAGAGGTTCATGACATTGTACAGGAGGTGGTGATCAAGACCATCCCCAAGAAAAAAAACTGCAAAAAGGCAAAATGGTTGTCTGAGGAGGCCTTATAAATAGCTGAGAAAAGAAGAGAAGTGAAAAGCAAAGGAGAAAAGGAAGATATACCCATTTGAATGCAGAGTTCCAAAGAATAGCAAGGAGAGATAAGAAAGCCTTCCTAAGTGAACAATGAAAAGAAATAAGGGAAAACAATAGAATGGGAAAGACTAGAGATCCCTTCAAGAAAATCAGAAATATCAAGGGAACATTTCATGCAAAGATGGGCTCAGTAAAGGACAGAAATGGTAAGGACCTAACAGAAGTACAAGATATTAAGAAGAAGTGGCAAGAATACACAGAAGAGCTCTACAAAAAAGATCTCAGTGATCCAGATAACCATGATGGTGTGATCACTCACCTAGAACCAGACATCCTGGAATGTGAAGTCAAGAAGGCCTTAGGAAGCATCACTACAAACAAAGCTAGTGGAGGTGATGGAATTCCAGTTGAGCTATTTCAAATCCTAAATGATGATGCTGTGAAAGTGCTGCACCCAAAATGTCAGCAAATGTGGAAAACTCAGCAGTGGCCTCAGGACTGGAAAAGGTCAGTTTTCATTCCAATCCCAAAGAAAGGCAATGCCAAAGAATGCTCAAACTACCACACAGTTGCACTCATCTCACATGGCAGCAAAATAATGCTCAAAATTCTCCAAGCCAGGCTTCAACAGTACGTGAACAGAGAACTTCCAGATGTTCAAGCTGGATTTAGAAAAGGGACAGCATATTAAAAAGCAGAAACATTGCTGACAGAGGTCCGTCTAGTCAAAGCTATGATTTTTCTAGTAGTCATGTATGGATGTGAGAGTTGGACCATAAAGAAAGCTGAGCAAGGAAGAATTGATGCTTGTGAACTGTGGTGTTGGAGAAGACTCTTCAGAGTTCCTTGGACTGCAAAGAGATCCAAACAGTCCATCCTAAAGGAAATCAGTCCTGAATATTCACTGGAATGACTGATGCTGAAGCTGACACTCTACTACTTTGGCCCACTGATGCGAAGAACTGACTCATTTTGAAAAGACCCTGGTGCTGGGAAAGACTGAGGGCAGGAGGAGAAGGGGACCACAGAGGATGAGATGGTTGGATGGCATCACCGACTTGATGGACATGAGTTTGAGCAAGCTCTGGGAGTTGGTGATGGACAGGGAGGCCTGGTGTGCTGCAGTCCATGGGGTCTCAAAGAGTCGGACACGACTGAGCGACTGAACTACAATGATATTCCTCCTCCTCAACTGCGTATCCCCCGAGGGCAGGTGAGACAGCCTACTCCTCTTGCCTGACTTCTGACATTTAGCCCAGGGCTCAGAAGACAGTCAGTAAGTGGGGCGAGGGGCGTGGAGGGAGACAGGCGTCCCTGGAGGGAGGACACAAAGACCCTTAGGGGTGTGGTGAGGCCCCGGAGCGGGTGGGGATGGGGAAGGCAGGGAGCGGGGAGGCGGGGATGCCCAGCGCTGGCACCGGGCGGGCGTGGGGCACCGGTGGCATGGTGGGGCCCGCCATTTCCAGCTCACAGATCCGCCCAAACCACCCCGGGCTGCGCGGCCTCTTGAGTTGAGGGGCGGTGGGGTGCAGGTGGCCTGGGGTCCCGGGTCCCTCACCTGCAGTTGACGCTGCAGCTGCCTCGCCCGCAGCTCCCAGAAGCTTCCCCAACGGCCGCCCCGCACTGGCATCGCCCTGGTCTGTGAGCCTTGGGTGGTCGCCAAGGGGATGCGGGCGGGGGGTGGGTGGGGGAGTGAGTGGGGTGGGGGAGGGGTGCGCAGGTGCACGTGTACGGGGATGGGGGGCAGCCCGGGGGGGCGGGTTCCGGGCAGGAGGGGTTCGGGCTCCATGGCGCGCGGCCCACACCTGCCCGGAAGCAGTGACCGCCGGGCGCGCGGCCGCGTCGACGGAGCGCGGAGGTGCCTCTTCCGGCCCCAGGGACCGGTGGACACTGCTCTAGAGGCTCCGGGCCGGGCCGGCGGGGACAAGGCTCCCAGCCCCTCACCTTCCGCGCGGTGAGCTGCCTCCAGTCCTGCGCCCTGCGCACTGAGGCTGCGGCAGCTCCTGAGCAAAGTGCTGCATCCGCGGCTTGGGGGCGTCCCAGCCCGAGGGGCGTCTCCACGCATGACCGAGATGAGCTGGCTACCACTGCGATCTGCGCCCTCCACGCCGGGTGCCCCCGGGAGCGTGACCGCGAGACGGAGGCCTTGCCCGAGGCCGCTGGCCGGCCCCACACACAGGCCCCTCTCCCCGCTCTGATCGGTGGGGACGGGGTCCATGGTTGCTTTGGCTGCCGCAGGAGATAGGGCTCCTTCCTGAGAGGAGACCGGGATGGAGGAGGTGAAATTGCCGCAGCGGGAGTTTTCAAAGATCAAATTAAGCTGCTGTCACTACCAGGAGAGAAACACATCACCCTGTATCCAGTCTGGGGGTTTGGGGACAGTTTTCATGGTCTGTGATGGCTCAGCTGGTAAAGAATCCGCCCGCAGTGCAGGAGACCCCGGTTCAATCCCTGGGTCGGGAAGGTCCCCTGGAGAAGAGAGAAGCTGCCCACTCCAGTATTCTGGCCTGGAGAATTCCATGGACTGTGTAGTCCATGGGGTCACAAAGAGTCAGACACGACTGAGCGACTTTCACTTCGCTTTCGTTATCTTCAGTTACCCAAATGACGGTCCTTAAACAACGGGAATCAGCATGACCAAGATGGCCCAACACCAGCTACGCCTCACCTCCCAGATCTGGCGCGCCTGGTGGAGCCTGGTCGACACTCTGCCCCCGAAGCTGCCCTTGTGTTTGGAGCCAGCCTCCTGCAGAGAAACGTTTGCGGGTGGGCGTGGTGCAGGCTATTCTTTTGGCCGCACAGTTAAGCTAGTGTTTTTCTTTTTGTTAATGTTTTATACTATTAAAAAAAAATTCTGTGTCCACCCGGATATATTTAAAACAGATAATTAACAAGGACCTACCACCTACTGATAACACAGGGAACTCTGCTCAGCACTCTAGAACGAGAAAGGAATCTGAAAAAGAACAGGTCCCTGTGTCTGTGTGACTGAATCACACTGGGGTACACCTGGAACTAACACAACGCTTGCTTGTTCACCGGGTCATGCCCGACGCTTTGCGACCCCAGGAACTGCGCCGTGCCAGGCTTCCCTGTCCTTCACTCTCCCACAGAATTTGCTCAAACTTATAACTCATGTCCATCGAGTCGGTGATGCCATCCAACCCTCACCCTGTCGTCCCCTTCATCTCCGGCCTTCAGTCTTTCCCAGCTTCAGGGTCTTTAATGAGTCAGTTCTTCACATCGGTGGCCAAAGTATTGGAGCTTCAGCTTCAGCATCAGTCCTTCCAATGAATATTCAGAATTAATTTCTGAATGAAAAACTTAAATTCTGGTTTGATCTTGCTGTCCAAGGGAGTCTCCAGTCTTCTCCAACACCAGTCTGAAAGCACCAATTCTCCCGCGCTCTGCCTTCTTCATGGTCCAGCTCATATCCCTACATGACTGCTCGGAAGACTATCGCCTTGACTACACAGATCTTGGGTGTCAAAGTGATGTCTTTGCTATTTTTGATACATTGTCTAGGTTTGTCATCGCTTTCCTGCCAAGAAGCATCTTTTAATTTTGTGGCTGCAGTCACCCGCAAAGGGATTTTAGAGCCCAAGTAGAAATCTGTCACTGCTTCCAGTGTTTCTCTGTTTGCCATGAAGTGATGAGACCAGATGCCAAGATCTTAGTTTTTCTAATATTGAGTTTTAGGCTTTCTCACTCACCTCTTTCCTCATCAAGAGGCTCTTATAGTTCCTCTTTGCTTTCTGCTATTCAAGTGGTATCATCAACTATACTCCAATATAAAAAAAAAGATTTAAACTAATTAATTAAAAAATAAAATAAAAATCCAATTTAACACTGGAACCATTGTTACCATTTTAGCTTTTGGCCATTTTTACCTGTATTCTCCATAAAGAATAAGACACAAGCTCTACAAGAGCAGAAAAACAGAGGCCTAAACTACGCAAGACGCATGGACACTGAAGACACTCTGGTCCTCACTTTCATGGTCCCCCAGCCGGGTCCCCTGCTGACTCCCTGTTCCCCCCAAGACCTCAGCTGTGCCCCCGTCTCCATCATTAGCCCGTGGCCCACTTGGTGGGTCACGCCGGAAACCCCCCTGTGAGCAAACGCCTGGCGGACGCTGTCCACTCTCTCTTCCCCCGCGGTGGCCAGAGCCAGGAGGAAGCTGTGTCCCCCCCCATACCCCGAGGTCCCCACCGGGGTTGGGGTGCCCTGACCCACTGCTCGGAGGGCAGCAGCCTTGCCTTGGTCCTCCTCTGCCTGCTGCAGTCTTTTCTCCCAAAGGGAGGACAGTTTTCTTGTCTGCCAGCTCCATGATTGCAGCGGGCGCTTGTAGTCAACCTGCCAAGTGCCCAGGACATGCTGCTCACCCAGATGCAGTTTCTAGGTTTATTTATGAACCACGCACCTGTCTCCCAGTCTGCTTTGGAGTAGCTGGTGGACAGGGTTCACAGAGTAGGCATTCATAAGGTGTCTTTGTTGACTAAACTGTGCAAGGAGTTGGCTTTTACATCCCAGTTTCAAGTCAGATATGTCCCTGGGTAGCTCAGCTGGTGAAAGAATCTGCCTGCAATGTAGAAGACCGTGGTTCAATCCCTGGGTCAGGAAGACCCCCTGGAGGAGGGCATGGCAACCCACTCCAGTGTTCTTGACTGGAGAATCCCCATGGAGAGAGGAGCCTGGCAGGCTGCAATCCACGGGGTTGCAGAGTTGCACACGCCTGAGCGAGTGAGCACATCTATCTTTCGGGGTGAGGTGGCTTTGGAGGAACTAAATGTACACGGGCATGAAAACTGGCCACTTTTTGTACCTAGTTCCCTCCGGCAAGTCATGCCACCTCGGCTTTGCTGGGGCCCAGCATTTCCTTAAATGTGTAAAACCCTGAGACCAGCCTTCCGTGCACAACGCAGAGAGGAGCCCCTTCCCCGTGGCTGCCCCGGAAGGGTGCCCAGCACAGACCCCGCGGGCAGTCATTCCTGCCACAAGAGCAATGCGGCCTCGGGTGAGACTGAACCAAGGCCAACGCAGTCTCTAAGTCTGCCCCCTTCCTGGGCATTAACAGTGAGCCGAACATGAATGCTCACAGCTCCAGTGTGGGAACACCTGGCGCTGAGTGAGCTCCACAACCCCGAGGCCCCTATTCCGTCATGAAGGTCTTTCTTGAAACCTGTTGGGGCAGGGGGCTCGCCGGCCCACCCCACCCCCGGCTGGACACGCAGGCACCCAAATGGCGGCCCCTGCCCTCAGGCACATCACACGGGCACCCTCTTCACACAAGGGGTGATCAGAGGACGGGACGCTTAAGACACTCGGAGGCTGAGCATTCAAGCAGCGGCCAAAGGGACTCGAACCCTCCGCTCGTGTGTCTGTGCGATCAGGAGGGGGAGCATTCCCAGGGTCCGGGGACGCTGCCTGTCACAGCAGTGATGCTCAGTGGGCTGACTGATTAGTGGATGGGACGGGGAGATGGGAAGGGGGGTTCTGTTGCCAATAAGTCTGTGAACACTGGTGAATATAATAGCGAATACCCTTAAATACATACGAAGTTTATTAAAAATAGGCTGCAAACGAAGTACAGTAGAAATGGAAAACTACAGCAGGTCTGATGTCTTCTCCATAGTAACGCACAGTCATGAAAAGCACTTTACACATATTCACATTTGACCTAATCGTCCAAGGACCGCCAAATCCACGGGAACGGGTTTACAATCACACATAGAAATATCCCTGCATGTAAATATTTACATGTATTTGCATGTTCTCACGTGTGTCTGTTGTTTTTCTATATATTAACAGGATAACAGTTCACCTGCATCTTTTTCTTTAAATAGGCTGTGGATTCAGTCCCCGTAAGGCTGCCAGTGTTCTCGAGACGTCGGGAGGCACAAGCATGCAGATCCTTCATAAACACTTAGAACCACTTACTCTCTTACTTAACGAGGGAAATCAGAGCAGCACACTTCCAGATATGAACCCTGACGGACGCAGAAAATATTTACAGTCACGTTGTAATGATTTATCTTACAGCTCTGAGGAAAGTGATTTCTAAGGCAAACAGCCCCCCCCTTCTCCTGGAAAGTGTGCGTATCTTCCTAACACACCTATTGTTAACAGAACAATACGGTAAAGTCATCTAGAGCCGCAGCAGGGCTTGTCAAATAGAAAATCTGCTCATGATCACAAAATCATTGACTGTTTTAACATCACATAATATAAAACAAAGTGAGGTCCGTCTCCCCAACACCAGCCTCATATTCACAGCTGAAGAAGTGACAGTGGTAACTAATAATTCAATACATGAAAATTAAATAACTCTATTCAAATGTAAAAAAATAGCCTGAACTGCCACGAGTCTTTCCTACAGCATTTCAGTTACAGATGCCACACGCCGTGGACCCCCTTCCCTGACAGCAGATGGGTGTGAACTCAGCTCTCTTCCGATCGACAGCTGTGCTGAGTGTCGCCTACTGTGCGCTCGTCCTTCTTCGGTACTTTTGTTCCTATTCACGTCAACACTGTTTAGTAGACACCCTCCTTTACAGATTCCCTTGGAATATTTGAAACATTTAGTTAACCTTCTAACTTAAGCGCCATCTTCAAAATCACTAATGACTTACTGGCATAATAATCATCTGGTATTTAAAAAAATAAAATTTCCTAAGCTCAAAATTTTCTTCTTGGAGAAACCTGCTTCAATCAAACACTAGAGCTGATCTGGAGGGCTGCCCGTGGGGACGGCGCTGCAGCAGTCCCGCTCAGGTCCTCCCGCCTCCCAGCCGCGGGCACGGCAGGCTGGCCGCACTCCTTGGCACGCAGGCGCGTCCGCGCAGTCTCCCCAGAGTCATCTCCCGCAGCAGGCTGCAGCTGCCGCTAAGGAATGCAAATGACAGTCTGGGGAGTTCAAGCTACTCTGATTAGTGAACAGCGAGTTTTAAAAAAGAACAGCAACAGGACTTCTTTGTGCTCCTTGGGGGAAGACGGGGGCGAAGACACATCTCAGCATCTTCTTCTGCCCCTTTCCAAGCCCAGACCCTAGAGACTGACCAGAAAGCTACCTTCCTGGGAGTCAGGTCACTAAGAAGACAGTGTCTAGATTGTAGAAATGCCAGTCTCTTGGTAAGGTAAAGCAGAATTTCTTAGCGGTAGAACTCTTCCACATGCCAAGCCTTCTAGAAGCAGGCTCCCTGGGGACCGGGAGCACACCCCAAGGGACTGTGCTGGACACAGGGCCGTCCTCACTTCGTGTTCAGCTCGTTCTCCAGCTCTGTTAGCTTGCGAGAGGCCTTGACTTTATTGGAGACGTCGTGGCCTTGGGAGAAAAGGCGCTGGCGCTCCCTGAATGTCAGGTTTTCAGGGGCTCCGGGCCCCCCAGGGACGTCTGCTTCGTGGCTGCAGGAGGAACAGGTACAGGGTTACCTTTCAGAGTGGCAACAAGCCGGCAGCAGGTAGCTCGGCTCACGTGAGCGCGGTTAAGTCAGACTTTCTAAGGGAAAGGCTCATTCTTTGTTTAATTCCCTCATAACCCTGCCGGGGCTGTATTCAAACCCATGTGGGAAAGGGCACAGTGTTCTCTTCATTTAATGCTCACTTTCTCCAGTCCCACCCGACTCTCAGAAAGGTAGTAACATCAGTGTTAGCAAGCACACAATCCTTAGCAATTAAGTTTAACTGAAGAGTTCACTTTAAAAATCTGGCACTTTAATGAAGCCTACCTGCATCTGAGAAGCCTCTATCAACATACTAACGGACAGTAATAACAAGTTACCAAGATATTAAAGATGAAAGAACGCTTTGGGCATCAGTAGTTCTGACTACACCTAGCTGAGAATGTCTGTTGAACTCGGCGGGGCGGGGGGGGGGGGGGTGACCTTGCACAGTCCAGCAGGACAGCAGGCCTTTACCCTGGGCGTCTCGCTCCTCGGTGGTGGACGCAGAGGGCAGCGCGTCCAGCCCCTTCCACGGTCCCAGCCAGAAACCCTGGGGCCCTGCACACCCTTGGAGGCAGAACCGTATTAGCAACACGAAGTAAATAAAGCCTCTGTGCTCACACAACTCAACACCTCAGCTGACAACCAGGTCTCTGAAATTTCATTCCAGCCTCACAAAAGGTAGTGAGAAAAGAAAGGCGCCCTCAGTGACGAGACACCCGCACGGCACAGCTTCAGTGAATACCTCTTGGACGGTTTCTCTCTCGGATCCCGATGAACATCATGGGCTCCAAAAACTGCTCCAGCAGATCCCACGTAAGAGTTTGCTCCTTTTCCGTAAAAAGAAAAAGTCACGGTTAAAGTACCTGCATTATTTCCAGAACCACACTCAGGATGAAGATGCAGTGCTCAGGACCTCTTATGTCCTGAAAAAGCAGCAGCGAAAGGCTCTTCGAGTCAGTGGAAGACACTCAATGGAAACCACATCCCTGGGTGGCCTGAGCAACCCCATCACGGCCCTTGCAGGTGCTGGGAACCTGGCCTGCAGCCTTACTATTAGGGGAAACGTAAGTCTAAGGGAGTATAGCTAGAAAGTTCAAATCAGGTAAAATGTATAACTAATACAAATTCACAATAAAAATCGACAGATGGCAAATTTTTTCAGACACCCCTGACACTAAGAACTTTCTTACACGATCATGGGGGGCAAATGGTCCTCTTTTCAGAGCAGTTACTGAATTTTCCCCACAAAATAAATGGCTATAATTCTTAAAACATTTGGAAAAAAAGGAAAAAGAAGAGGTCCCGAAAGGTCTGATACTAATGCCGCAGACACAACATCACTGACCAAAAAGGAGACCCGAGGACCCGGCCTAGGGCCCAGTGCTGTGGGTCAGCGGCCAGTAACTGGGCGAGTGAGACCAACTGCCCACATACTGAAGAGCGCTGCCGAAGATCAAAAAAGCTGACGCCTGGAGAAGCTCTAACGCGGCCAAACATACAGTGAGAGTGCACGAGCGGTGTGACGGTCAAGACCACAGTGCAGGAAATCAGGACCAGTGGCTTCTATTAACTGCAATGTCAGCACGAAGATCTTACACTTTGAAGAATCTTTTGCTTATAACCAAGGCCAGGGTAACACACACTCAAAATACTCAGAAAACACTGACAGTGCTGCACACTGGACTCAACAGGCCAGGAAACGACCACAGGATCTCAGGGCTAAAAGGACCCTTCTCCACAGGCTGCAGCGATGAGTCTATGTTCTTTGCTCCCTTTATAAAGAGGTATCTTTTCCGCGGCCGTGTGGGGGCATCGAGGAGCCCGGCCACGCCTGGCACCCCTCCCAGTACCCCTCCCGGCACTGCGTCTTGCTCATGAGTTGGCTGGGGTACCCACAACCAGGGCACAGGAGTGGTCCTCTACCAAGACTCAAAAGATGAAACAGAAAGATGTCTCTAATGTAACCTGCTCTAGACCTTTAGATAAATTACTGGCAGAGTGAAAAACTTTCCATTTTGATTCTACGTTTTTTCTTCAATTTGCCTTAAAAACGTGTTTCATCTTTTGAGTTTTAACTGAGGAATACTTGTTTCCACTGGTAAAAATCAATTGTTGAAAATTTTCAGAATTTTTAATCAGCGTGTCAGACAAGCTGGGCTGAGAGCCCCCGCAGAGCAGAGAAACGGGGGCTGGAGGAGCAGAGAGGAGGGTCGCAGGTGAGCAGATCACCCCCCACGCCGCGATCGGGAACCGGATTCCAAAGCCAGTGCTCTGATCAAAGGGGCCGCGCTGCGTGTGGGTGCCCGGGGTCGGGCGGTGGGGGGCTGGGGCGCCCCGGCTTTACCTCGACCTCTGGAGTGGCTGGGTCGGGCAGGGCCAGGTTTGGAGGGAGGGGGCGGGGGCGGCCGGAATGGGCCGGAGAGGAAGATGCCGTCGGAGGCTGGGCGCGCCCTCCGCCCAGAGGGCCTGTCCTGACCTGCCGACTCCTCGTCCTCGTCCTCCTCTTCGTTGTAGGCCACGAACTTGGCGGTGTAGAGGGCATCCGGGGAGAGGGCCTGCGTCTGCAGGTAGGAGGCGGTGCGCTGCGGTGGCGGCGGCGGGCCAGCGGGCTCGTACCCACGCGGGAGAGGCGGGCGGCCCAGGCCCGGCTCCTCGGGCTCCAGCAGCCGGCGCTCGGCCTCCTCGTGCTGGCGGCGGCGCTCAGCCTCCAGGCGGCTGTAGTAACCGTCCTCCTGCCGCCTCTGTGGCCGGGAGACAAAGGGCGGGTCAGTGGGCAGCAGGGAGGGTCCACCCCAGGGTCCCCCCAAGCTCCAGCGACTGCCACGGCAGCGGGCAGCTGGGCCTGGACGTGGAGCCGCTGACATAGAACCAGGCGGAAGCAGGAACGAACCCGGGGCGCCTCTCCTGCTCTCAGTGGGATTTCCACTTACCTGTCACTCCTGAGTTTAAAGACAAAACCGAAGGGTAACCAGGCTCTGACTGGCACCTGCGGAGGACCAGCCCCCGCCCCACCCCGCAGCGCGTGGAAGAAGAGCGGGCCTAAGTCGCCTGGCTCGCTCCAGTGACGCAAAGGGAAGTTAAGAGGAAAGGTGACCACCAGCGAACACGCGTGCCCCAGGCCTTAGTTTGTGTCTCCCTGCCAGACAGGAAATCGGAAAGCCAGGCACGACAGCGACGGCAGCGGACAGTCCAGTGTATTTTGACACATACTGTACATTTCTTCTGACATACATCTAGTTGCGCAAACTACAGTTGACGGCGTTAATTTAACATTGAAAAAGGTAACAACACAGCTTTGTTAAAGATTGACAATGGTTTCAGAACACAAGAATAAAAGCAAAGAAAGGAGTGGAAAGACCAGACGAACGATCCGCCTTAAGCTGAGGTGGGCTCCGGGCTGCACGTTTTAAACCCACGCATCGGCAGGGAGCTGCTGGCACCAGGGGCAGAGCTTCCAGTCCTTGTGTCACCGTGCACGCTTTCACGCTTTGGCTCCCCCCCCCCCCACCCACGCACACAAACACACAGAGTGAGCACACACAGCCAGAGCCTTCCGGGGCGAGGTGGGGGGGAAGTGCCAGCACACACGCCAGCCTTGTTGCAGACCTGACCACTTCTCACCCTATGCTGAGCCATCCAGAAGGAAAAGCATTTTCATATTATTTCCACACAGAATGAGCGTTCCCTTACAGAGGAGCTCCAACCTGAACAAGCTCCACGGACTCTGAGCAGAGCTGGCGGGAGGCCTAGCGCTCCATGAATACCACTCATGTGGTGACATTTCAGGGAGAGACCACGGCTCATCCTTCAGTTACCTTAAGAACAGACAGCCATGTGACATCGTTTTGCCCCACAGGTGCATGGTCCTCCCATGACAGAGCAAGCCCAGCCATTTTGGACATTCTATATATTAAAAAAACAGCTTCTTTTTGCATGGAGCACTCAGTCATGGAAATAGGTACCCAAACACAAGTGCATCTGACATAACCACAAGCTGTGAGAATGCGCACTGCAAAAAAACCCAATGACGGAGAGTTTCCCCACGTGGAGAACAGGCCCGGCTGTCTCCCCATGGCGCTGCTTCCAGGTGGCCGGAGGCGCAGGGTAAGTGGACACCGCAGACCCAGGGCTGGGGGCTCAGACTGTGGAGGCCCACCTCCTTCCGGGGGCTCACTGAAGTGCACGGGGTCTCCCCTGAAGCCCAGACCGCGACTGCTCAGGCCCCACCAAGCGGTCGGGGTCAGGGAGGTGGAGGGCCCGCCCTGCTCGCTGTCACCCGCGGAGCCCATGTGGCCGGGCTCTCCCGCCTGCACAGAAGAGCCCATGGGGACGGCCAGCACCGCTCCTACCCTGTCCCTGGATCCTGAGGCCCGGCAGCGAGCCCAGGGCCGGTGGTGCACCCAGAGGCGGGGTTCTGCACTCGCTTCTCAGATGAGGTCACGTGTGGTCACGTTAAGACTGCTTAAAAGGGTTCCCTGGCCCTTAGAGCCAAGTAACTACTCGAGTGGGCGCTCCAAGGGAGCTGGAGGCCCCCGTGCTGCGTTTCTGTGCACCACTGGCCAGAGTCAGGTCACTGACCTCGAGTGGGCGCTCCAAGGGAGCTGGAGGCCCCCGTGCTGCGTTTCTGTGCACCACTGGCCAGAGTCAGGTCACTGACCTCGAGTGGGCGCTCCAAGGGAGCTGGAGGCCCCCGTGCTGCGTTTCTGTGCACCACTGGCCAGAGTCAGGTCACTGACCTCGAGTGGGCGCTCCAAGGGAGCTGGAGGCCCCCGTGCTGCGTTTCTGTGCACCACTGGCCAGAGTCAGGTCACTGCCGTAAGAATCGACTCTAGATCCTGTTTGTCCTCCCAGGCTCCTGACCTTCCCCAGGCCCGACCCCAACCTGACCACTTCCCAGCCGCCGGCCGGACGCCACCCAGCGTGGCTGCGCAGGCCCCACGTCCGCAGGCCGGAGGGACGAGCCCCGAGGCCGGCAGTGGGGGCCGGCCCACAGGCCGCGCGGGAGGCCGGCGCGGGGGCGGCCCTGCCCGCCGCCCAGCCCCGCCCGCGCTCAGAGGGCCAGGACCTTGTCTTCGGCCTCGCGCCTGGCCCTCTCGTCCTCCTGCCGGCGCCGCTGCTCCTCCTGCCGCGCGCGCTCCTCCGCCTCCCGCGCCCGCATCTCCTCCAGCTGCTGCTGCCGCCGCCGCTCCTCATCCTGCAACTGACGACAGGGGCCCGTCAGCCCGCGCCCCGACCCGAGGACGCGCCGCGCGGCCGGCACACACGCGCACGCGCACGCACGCGGCCTACAGACGCCCGCGCACGGCCGGACACGTGCGCGCGACACGCACAGCCAAGACACAACACGCGCGCACGGCCGACGGACGCGCGCACATGGCACACATGCACGACTGACGAATATGCACACACGACACGCGCACGGCCGACGGACACAACACAGGGGCATGGCCGACAGAGACAGTGCACACGACCCTCGAACGGCTGACGGGCAGACAACAAACAGCGCAGCTGACAGATGCACGCGCACACGACCCTCAACACGGCACAGCCCAGACACGGCACACAGCCAACACGCGCACGGACAAGACACGTACATGCGCAGCCAACCGATGTGCACGCACGTGACCGATGTATACACGTGCACTTGCATGGCCAACACACGCACAGCCGACAGACATGCGCAAGGCCAATGGACACACACACATGACACACACATGGCTGATGGACACGCACACACGACACATGTACAGGACCAACAGACATATGCACACGTGTGGCCAACAGACACGACACACACGGCTGACAGACATGCGCACACGACACACACGCGCCCAACACACACACGCCCACGGCCGACGGACATACAACACATGCGCACACGACACACTAATGGTCGACACGGGCATGGCCGACATGCACATGACACTTTACACGGCATGGCCGGCAGACACACGCACATGACACAGCCCACAGCTGCACACGACACTCAACACGCACGGCTGACAGCACACACGACACGCGCACAACACTCGACATGCACGGCTGACAGACACGCACACACGACACGCGCACATGCCACACACACAGCATGGCTGACATACAACATGACACACGCACAGCTGAGAGACACATGCACACGACACACCCAGCACGGCCCGGACGCGGCACACAGCCGACAGACATGTGCACACAGGACACATGCACGGCTGACAGACACCGCGCACACGACATTCGACACGTGCACAGCCAACAGTGCACACAACACACGCGTACATGACACGTGCACGCACACAACACATGGCCAGTCAGCAGACACTGCGCACATGCCACACACGCACGGCTGAGCACAGACACCAGGCCAGGCCACGCAGTGCCACCTCACAGCTGTCCCCACCCTTCAGAACCACCTCAGAGGAGGAGGTTATCCCACACACTCACACAGCAGACAGACGTGACTCTTCTACTAGAACAAGTCCACGAACCAGCTCGTGGCCACCAGCAGTCGGACCCTGGCATGTGGAACCCGAAACCCTGGACCACCTCCTGCCTGAGCCCGGTTCCAACTGCCACCATGAAGGTCAGGCATGCCTGCACTCCTGGCCCATGGCGGGTGAACCCCAGCCTCTCGGTGGGGTGGGCTGGGGGCTCAAGGGGGCGGGCCACCTGCCTAGTCGTGGGGACCAGGTTTCGAGCTCTCCTTTTGTCCTGGCCCTTTGCATCCACTCCCTCCGCGTCCCATCCTGGACTTAGAATCCCTCCCCGGCTCAGGGGTCCCCTAAACGCTGATTTACAGCATCTGAGCCTGAAATTTAGGACAAACCTTATTCTCACTCTCTCTTGCTGCACCTCTGCCAAGTAACGTCCACTGTGTCTGAACACCTCCAGGGTCTGGAGAACTAGAGTCCACCTCCCACCACAGTGCCTGCCATTTTCAGGTAACTACTTGTCAAAAAGCATGTCTGCTCTTATGAAACTCACCACCTGACCACTTCCAATTTTTTGTTTTTCAAGGTCTGTCTTTTTCAAACAATACAGATTTAATCTCTCTCCTTCATACCATTCAAATTCTTAAGGACAACTTCAAAGTCCTAAGATGTGTTGTATCTGGCTTTCAGCTCCTTCATTCTCCTGGTCACACCTCCTATATGCTACAGGATGAAAATGCCTCAAGGGACCCGGAAAAGCACATGTGACTGGCAGAGAACAGAGAGTCTTTCCATCATGTCCAGAGGACACAGCGATTTCTGTTGTCACAGCCTAGGAGGACACAGACTTTCCCTTCTCCATCACAGACCTGGGCTGGGCTAGCACCCACAGCCCTGTACCTCCCTACTTCAACGAGGAAGCTGGCAGAAGTGCCTGCTCCGTGGAGGTGCAGAGGCAGCCCCTAGCTGGGTCAGCTCGCTGGAGGAGCAGCAGTGGAGGAGGCATCAGCACGGATGTGGGAAAACAGCTGCCAAATAGGAGTGACGAGATACAACAGCGCTCGGTCACACCAAGCGTCTCCAGAAGGCGACCCAAGGAAGGAGGCAAACCTGCAAGGATGCAACAGGCTCTTCTGTTACCCAACAAAGTACAAACTAACTCAGTATGTCCTACCTTTCCTAGATCTAATTAAAAACAAGTTCTGAGCAAGAAAAACTATATACACTGAACTCGCCAATGAGTTCTTTTATGTTAAATAAAAGTATAGTTTTAAGAAGTCAGAATTTCAATTCTCACAACTACTAAATCTAAAAACAAGCATTTTTCTCTTAAAAACCTTCCTCTTCTAAATCCTGATGGTGTAAGCAAGGAGCCTTCTCCCTGTGCCCAGTCCACAGGTTTCTGTTTTAAAGCAGTGAGTGAACCAGCGCTATTATAATTGAGGCAGCTTCTTTCCACTATTTGGTAAGCTGTTTCGGGTATTTTCATTGTCAAAACAAATTGTTTTTTGTTTCTCACCAATATTTTGCTTTACTCAAAAACAAGCAAACAACAAACAAAAAACCCAAAACACATAAATGAGAACAGAATCTCTGAATTTGCCCCGAACAACAGATCCAGATGCTACACTGAACTGTACAGTTCAGTCACATTTCCCAACAGTTAGAGAACACCTCAAATCAAGTTAGGAAGCTAACGGCTCTGAGCGCCAACGACAAACCGTGTGTATGAAGACTGTAGCTAAGCGGAGAGAAGAGAAGCTCGCTGTTTTACAATGAAGGATGGGGAAGTCGCATGCTACCAAAACAGGCAGGCAGGAAGCTGTTTTTGGGGAAACACATTGAACAGATCCAACAGTAATTCTTAGTCAGCCCAGCCCAGACCACAGTCACTGAAACCAACTATTGTGCTGGGATTTAAAAGCAGGATGCAAGCCTGAACCAACTTCTTACAACACTGGTGCAGCCCACATTTCCCAGAAAGGTATTTTCAGGGGATAAAAAAAAAAAAAACAGTATGCTGAGATCTCTGTGTTTATAATTGTGTACCACAAAAATATACTAATTTACTACATCTTTACAACAGAAATTCCATTAAGGCAGACAATCACTGACATATCTGAGTAGGAAAGAGGGTCAAAATACCCCCTGCTTTTGGACATTTTCTCTGAAAAGCAATTACAAGTCCATTAAGCACACAACCTGTAAGAAACCTCTCTCCCCACTGGCCTTTTCTGCTCATGCTCCTACCCATTAAAAATATTCACCCTAAAGAATTTCAAGGGCTCCAGTAAAGATGAATCATCCCAATTAGACAATTATTAGGACGGGGCTTCGGGTCCGTCCCAGTCCCGCCGCGTCCCCCAGAGGAATCTGCCGGGGCCGGGGCGGCCCTGGGGAGGAGGGGCGGTCCCCTCACTCGGGGACGCAGCCCTGGTCCTCAGCCTGCAGGGCTCCCTTCCCCTCCTCTCCAGCAGAAGGGAGATGCGTGGGCTCAGAGCTCCAAGGCAAGCCGACAGCTGCCGAGACACCGGCCGCAGAGAGAGCCTGAGGCGGGGCTCCGCGCGCCCCACGCAGATTCCCGCGGCGGGAGGCGGCATGCGGGCAGAGTTCGGGGAGGGGGCAAGTCAGCTCAGAACAGGTGCAAAGCGGTCAAGTGGGCGCGTGCACACAGGAGTTGAAGGTGGAGTGCAGGATGGAGTGCAGGCGGGGTGCGTGGGCCGTGGGCCTGGAGGCAGCAGGCATGGATGGAGGGAGCGACGGACACCGGGAGACCGGAGCCGGGCAGCCCTTCCCGCTTCTCGTCACCATAGCAACCCGCACCAGCGGCCACGCGTCTCCCTGCGGAGCCCAGCGTCTCTGGGAAGCCAGGGCCTGACATGGGGGTTCTGGCAGCAAAGCTACTCCTGGGGACACGGCAAGAACTCAGCGATAACTTTAACATCTTCGGGGCAATAGGGCTAAGAAACCTGTCAATATTAACACTAGAAATAATTATCTTTGAAGAAACAAAAACCCTGAAACAAAAATCTCAGTACACCCCATCCTAACAAATTGTGACTCACCTGTCACACACCCACAGACAGACATGGGGCTCTCTTGGGGCCCCAGGCTGGCCTGGCCCCCACACATGTGATAAGGACATGATAAGTAGAGAAACAGCTGGAGGTGACTGGTGCTCCCTCGCTTCCTCCCCCCACAGACACCTCAACACATAGAGGCAGAGAGAAAAGCACGCTTCCTATCTCTGTCTCACGTGGAAGAAAAAGTCAAGCTCAGAAGATACGCCTTTCAGTCACCAAGGAGAGGAGGTCCCCTTTGCAATGACAATGCCACCAGGATGTTTAAATTTAAAAAGGGAAACAGAACAAAAAAAGGCCATTAAAGTCAAGCCTGGATTCAGATTTTTCTCAAAGGATGGTTAGCTCTGGCCTTGCGTCATTTAAAAGTTGACCAGCAATAAAGGCTACTTAAGAGTCAGTATCGACACCCTGGTAAGAATGTCAGTGACAGACATCCAGTTCTCAAGCACAGTGGACCCTATTACAACCCACTCAATCTCCCCAATGTAGACGTGAGACACACCACCGTTACTGCACAATGCTTCTATTTTTCACAACGAGTGTTATTCAGCAACGGACTGGTATGGCTGGTAAGTTAAACGAAAATTATGTGATATCAAAACAGAGTAATGTTTACTAGAAATTCCTCTTTCTCTACCAATAGACAGTTACATCCTAATTGGCAGACAATGTCAGAACCAGTTGAACTGAGCTTCTAATGATACTTAAAATGTACTTCTAATGTAACAAGAATGAGTCATTACTCACTGCAAAGTTTGCTGTGTTCATGAGTATGCAGGAATATATAGTATGAACTTTAGGACTAAAACTGAGTAAAGGTCAAAACCAAAAACAAACAGTAAGTAACACTTAAAATTAACAGAGAAGAGCAAAGGATAACTACATCTAAACACATTGAAAGGCATGCTTCCAGAGTCAGGGAACTACATAAGGTCCTGATCTAGGACACCCCTAGGACCAGATCTACTGAAAACATCTAACCACCACCACTAAAGGAAAAGAGGAAATCAGACAGGAAAAAGGTACCCAAGGGAAAGAAACAGGAACATACCAAATCTAGAACAGAGATTGCTGGCATAGCAGTCTGCTGCAGGTAACAGAGAAGGAAAAAAAAGAAAGATGAAGTGTGAAAAAAAGGCTCCATTAGGACCTGGATCCGCCATCAGCACCTCTGCGGCTCTCATGCTTCATCTGTGCTTGAGGACAACCCAGGAGAGAGGTCAAGACTAGACTAACTTCTAGTACTCAGAAACAGAGAAGTGCCCACATGGTATTAAATACTTGAGCTTCATTAGTAAGCACACAGAAACTAAAAATAGTAAAATTTCCCTCAGCACTCTTACTTGGAGACTAAGATATTAATCTAAACATAATTAATGATAAACATTTTTAATTAAATTATCATAAAGAACTTTCTAAATAGCGTGATTCATACTAAAAGCCTTTGAAATATTCAGCGTCTCAATCACTTGGAAAATCTGATAGACCTTCAATAAAAATTTAGTCTTCAGAGAAAAGAATAACTGTAGAAATATTATGACGTGGTCTCTAACTTTTCCCTAAGCAATAAATTTAATCATGCCCACTTGTTTACCATGAACCTCAGCTTTAGGCTCAGAGTTAAGCCTTCTTTCCTCACACGGGGCAGAGCCCAGGGCCACAGCTACGGCAGCCGGGCAGGGACCCGCCTGCAGCGCGTCCACTAGGACTGGGTGCAGCAGGCGTGGCAGCCGTGACAGGCACTCTGCTCACCACCTACGGACCGGGCCAGGGCGCTGGGCAGAAGGTGGGGACAGCTCAAAGGAGTCTGATGCTCCAGGTAATTATTCATCAAACAGCTGCTCTGTCAAAGGAAACAGTCATTCTTGAGGAGGTGTACTCCTGATGACTTACCTAACAACACACTGAAATAGTTAACATTTAGACCTTTGTTTATGAAACAAGTTTCTCAAGAGAGATTCTGAGTTTTGAATTAAGTCATATGCATGTCTGTCTGCTAACATGTATCTAACAAGAAATGTATTCGGTGACGTCCAAGGCCTTAAGGGCCCACACTGCCCAGTCAGGGCACTCTCTGCCAAGGGTCTAGGGCTGAATTTCATCCTGAGCTGAAAAGATTCGAGGGTCTGACAGCACAGCCACTGGTTCAGGTCTTCAGTACAGACGGCATCAGAGGGGGAATTAGAAACAAAATCCAAAGACAGAAAGGACATGCCCTTTGCTGTCTTTTCTCGCAATACTGCATTATACTAAAAAAAGAGCATGACTAAAATTCGTTAACATAAAACGGTCACCAGCACTCGCTGCAACTAACACCAGAGTGCTTCTCTGTCAACAGCTCTCCTCAGAGGGCAACAAAGGGTACTAGATTTGGCATTTTAACAGTCTATACTGCCCTAAACTAATATGGATTTTACTTTCTTCTTTTATGTGATACAAAGGCAACAGAAGTTACTTCCATCACGCGGAAAACTATAAAGTCCTAAGTTCTGAGTGCCTGTACGCTACCACTGAAGCATAATGCTCATCGGTTTAATAACATCCACTTCATCAATGTGTGAGGACCACACAGAGTCTGTTTCTGAGGGTGACAACAAGCTTGACTCTGCAGTTGTGCTCAGCCCCACCCCGCCCCCTCCCGGACCCGGAGAGCGCGGATGGTGGAGACCAGGGGCCACCCCTTTGCACAGCTGGGACGACCTGGCGCTGCCAGAGGCTTCCCTGCTCCAGTAGTGGAGCTGGGCAGTTAAGAGTCTGGCCCACCCAGCCAGACACTGACTCTCCGACCATTTCAGCAGCCACCCCCAATCACGGTGACCACTGGCTATTACCTAACTGGTCTCCACCAGCGCTGGCGAAGAGGGCTGAAGCACCGGCTCAGTGCCCCGCGCGCCGCAGGAACCGCGCGTCGCCGGAGCGGCTTGCCCTGGTCGCCGGGGACAGCGGCCCCCGCAAGGCGCCCCGCCCGCCCGCCCGCGCGGCCCGTTACCCGCGCTCTGCGCTCGGCCTCCAGGCGCTGCATGAGCAGCACGGTGTCCACGTCGTCGTCCTCCTCCTCCTCGTCGTCCTCGTCCTTCTGCTTGGACTCCTGCAGCCGCTTCTGGAACTGCCACTCCAGCAGCAGCTTGCGCAGCCGGTCGCTCTCCTCGGCCGAGCGCTCAGCCTTGCCCTGCAGCTCCTGGATCTCGCGGCTCAGCAGGTCCACGATGTGCAGCTGCTGCTGCTTCTCCAGCTTCTCGCGCGCGTCGCGCTTCCAGGGGTCGGGGGACAGGCTGTCCCCGGAGGCCAGCTCCTCCCTGCTGACCGTGATATACTGCAGGTCCCTGCGCTCGATGGTGCGCGGCTGCTGCTGCGGCTGCAGCTCGCGGATCACGGTGTCCGGCGTGCGGGCGGGAGCAGGGGGCGGTGCGGGCGCGCGCAGCTGGCCTAGCCGGCGCTCCTGCTCCCTGCGCCGGCGCTCGCGCTCTTCGTCCAGGCGCGCCTTCTCCTTCTCGTACCAGCGCTGCTGCTCCTCCCGCTTCTTCCGCTCGGCGGCTGCCTGTGCCTGGGCGGCGGCAGCGGCAGGTGGTGGGGGCGAGTCTGCGTCCACCTCCCCGGCATAGGACCCGGCGGGCGGTGGCGGCGGCAGGGCCGGGTCGGTCCGCACGGGTGGGGAGGCGGCCGGGGTCTTCCAGCGCCCGGGGCCGCTCTTGGTGAGTGTGGAGGCAGGGGTGCCCGTCTTAGAGGGGGGCCCCAGGTGCTCCTGGCTGGACGCGCTGGAGCCCAGCGACGAGCCCTGGGTTGGCCAGGCGTCGCTGCCGTCCAACCTGTGCTCCGCGGCCGCCTCTGCCCGCTGCCGCTCGGGGTGGTAGGCGTCTTCACGGAGCTCCTCCTGGGAGCGGGTCACACGCTGGAGGGAGAGAGGGACGCGGACCTCAGCCACCGACAGCGGCTCCTGAGATTCCCCAAGGTTCCTCCCAGGAGAAGCGGGCGTTTGGGAAACTGCAGCGAGGCCCATGCCACCACTCCCATGCCCGGACAAGCGGTGACTGCCTCCGCCCCACACCCCTGGGGGCAGACGGGGTGCAGCAGGGGTCAGGGCCTGAACTGAGCGACTGGACTGACCCTGAATCCGAGACAGCAGACACCCTCCCTGCCTTCCAGGCCCCGCCAGACCCAGCTCAACTGGAGTCTCACCACCACTGCGATCCCAGGACAAGCGGGGCGACTGCCTCTGCCTCCACACCCCTCAATCGCCTGAAGTGAGCGACTGGACTGCAGACACCCCCTCCCCTCCCAGGCCCAGGAGAACCGTCTCTCCACCACTGCGATCCCAAGAGGACAGTCTCTTCGAATTAGTGGGGCACGTGATTGTCACCAAGCCTAGGCTAGGCTACTTTTAAGCGAACATTTAACTTCTTTCCCCAGTTTTTCAGTGTGGACAGTTACCTTTCACACAGGAAAGAACCCCGACAGCCCCACCCCGCTCAACTTCCACCTGCCGGGGCCACATCCACGTCCCGGGGGTAGAAAGGGATGTGGGGTGGGGGGGCGGGGGCGCGGAGGCGGCAGGGCTGGGTGCATCCGCACTGGCGGAGAGGTGGCTGGGACCTCTCCAAGTAAAGCAGGGACGTGTTATCCAAGTTATCTGCTAACTTCATAAAACTCCAGGCCCTGGGTTTGGCCCCGAAATCCCTTCCCTGTGATCACCCAGCCTGTCCGCCAGAACCTGCCACATGCCCCGTCCGCAGCTCGAGGCCTGGCCCTAGTGGGCGGAGCGCTTCTGATTGGGCTGCAGCACCAACACCCATTGCCCTGCCTGTTCCTCCTCCGGCAGCCGGCTTCCCGCCCCAGCTTCAGCCCCATCGGTGGGTGGGACCAGGATCTTCTCTGCCTCTCCAGGCGTGAACAGCCATGTGCCCGGATGTGGTCCCGGTTTTCAGCCTGCCTCCCACAGTCTACAAGCCTTGCCACGCACACCGCAGACGTTCACCAAGCGCGTGGAAAGGCCTGCACACATCAGGTCAGGCCTCCTCCCTCCTGACCACAGAGCCCAGGACAGAGAGGCGGCGGCAGCCTCAGCGCCGCACTACAGCCAACGCCGACTGTGCCGTCTGCCCGCGCTGGCCTCCTGGGGGCTGGGGACGCCCTGGTCCGGCGCCTCTCACCTGCACGGCGGCGCTGGAGTGGTTCCCGTCTGCCAGCACGTGGGGCTTCTCCTCGAAACCCAGCCACTGGCTCTGCGGGGGTGCCACGCGGTCCTGGGACTTGGAGGCCGGGAAGGTGAAGTACTCCCTGGTGGACGTCTGGGTGGGGATGGGGTAGGCTTCGGGGCGGGGCGGAGGCGTCTGCTCCTGCGGATTGGGGGGAGCAGCATTTAGCAGTCTGAACCATAGACTGACATACCTTCAGGGATCCGTGTTAAAATATAATCTGTGTATTTTAAAAAATGTTAAAAATGTAAAGTGTTCAGTCCTATACTGAGAATAATAGAAACGTTTTCTTTTGTGCTGAGTTGCTAACTTAAAGCTGACTGACCCACTGTATTAAAACCTTAAAACCCAAACGCTCAGGAGCCACAACCACTGGGACGTTTTCCTGGAGGACACAGGCGCTCTGGGAAACCCATGTCGGCCTGCGCATTGCCCAGACCTCAGCACAGAGGTTCCCCGTGGAGACAGACGTGATCTTGGCTGCTGTTCCCGGGGCATACACGCTCTTCCCGCCAGGACTGGGAGGCTGATCTGTTGGTGGGAGACAGGAAAGAAAGTTCAGTGTTAAATAAGCAACCCTGATGTCACAGCACGGGAGCTGTTCATGGGCAGCGCCCGTGTCGGCTGGCATCCGTGCCAGTGAGGAGCGGAGCACAGACCGAAAGCCCGAGGCCCTCGGAGGTAGGGGCTCTTCAATAACTGGGCCTGGAGCCCCGAGTTTCCTGTGCAGACCAGGGCCGGGCAGACCTCTCCACTGTCTGACAGAGGGCCAGATGGGACACTATTTCAGGCTTTGCGACTCTGGCACCTGGAGCACAGCCTCCTGTGCCTGCTGTTTCCTGCCGACAACCCTTTACAGTATAGAGACTGCCTGTGCCTGTGGAGAGCCGGCCACCCTCTGCCCGCATCAGCGCACCCGCCCAGGGCACCGCCGGAATCAAGGCCCCCAGACTAGCTTTTAGCTCCCGTTAGAATGTTAGCTGTGACATCTCTCAGGAGAAACACACCCCAGTTGGCTTATCTCTGCAGGTGAGAACATTCTTTAATGACTGACAGCCCCCGGAGTGCCCCCCACCCCGGCGGTGAGCAGACATGTATGGGGCAGGCCTCGGGGAGGGCCACAGGGCTCCCTCACTTGCGACATTGGGGCTGGAGCGGTGGTCCGCCCGGTGCTTCATCAGCCGGTCGTCGCCCGGCAGCTTCTTGGGCTCGCTGTATTCGGCCCAGGGCGTCTGCGGGCTCTCTGGGGACCCGTTCTGAGCCGAGCTGTTGTACAGCTCAAAGCCTTCGCTCTTTGGTCGGGGTTTACCTGACCCACGGCGGTCTGAAACTGAAATCAAAATACATTCAAGATCTGGTCGCTTGTTCATGACTGTATCTTACACGCTGTTTGGTTTAAAGGCAACATGATTTACCAACGTCTAAAACTCCCCAGGTAAGAACTGGTTTTTCATCAGAAGAAATGAGGTATTTTTACAGGAGAGCAGAGTCTGTCTAACTCCTCCCCAGAAGGGGCTTCAGAGAAAGCGACACGGGTGGGCAGTGCGCTCTCGGAGCGCGCCTGCTTCGGTGACGAGACCGCCATCACTGGGACACCCTGGCTGAGCTGAAGTGTGAACGCCCCCCCGCACCTGCAGACCTGTGTCAGCTCTTCGTCGCTCAGGGCGTCCTCCTCCTGAGCCGCTCTCACCGGCTGTGGCCGCTCACTCCTTACACCTTACCCTGCCGTCCTGCTACCAAATGGCCCTGACGTCTGGCTCCAACGCCTTCTCTCAGTGATTCCTAACTCATCATCCAGTTTGCTTCTTTTAAATGACTATAAACTTGGGGATCAGAATACCAATACATTAAGTATTATGCTATGAAAAAAGCAAAAAAAAGAAAAAGGTGCCGTATATGAAGGCCGTGCCTTCTGCCCGTCTCCATGCACAGCAGCCCAGGCTCTTGGGTGACCCGCATGAGGCCAGCGTGAGGCCAGGCTCTGGGCTTGCCCAGGGTAGCGACCTACTCACCTACGGTGAGCCAAGGAAGTGCAAAGTAGACAGCAATTTCTAAGATAATGGGAGTCAGAACAGTTTTCCCTGAACTAATTCTTTAAAAAGCCTGACGTTTATGTTGACTTTTTTCTGAGGTTTTTGATGTACCTACAAAACCATGATTCTTATCAGCAAATTATTATTCAAAGCTGACCTTTTACTTAGAGCGGGCTCTCCCCGTAACAATCGTGTCCTGTCTCGGAGCACGTGCGCCGGACCTAACCGTTCGCAAACAGACCTTCAGGAGAGAACTCTGCCTGTTTGTTCTCTGAGACCTCACAGCCTGTGACTGCCTGTCAGCTGAAAAGTCATTCCTCCCCTCACCACAGGCGGCGCTCCCTGGGTGCTGGCATGGGGGACACTGGGGTCCCCGCAGTCACCAGGCCTGTGCAGCTGAGGCCAGATTAGCACCATGTCTGAAGATCGGCTGGCCACACCTAGCCTGGGCCCTGGGAACCCATGAGCTTGCGATCCCAGGCACCGTGCTCGAGGGTGCTCATCCCCACGCCCTTCTCTAGAATCAGGACAATGAACACAACAGGGCCTGCTTCGAAGGGTCTGTGAGTTTTGAAAGAGGTTCACGCTGGCTGCCCGGCCCACAGCAGGCAGTCGCAGCCCATGGAGGAGACGGCCCCTCCGCCCCCCCTTACTTCTCTGCATCATAGGGGAAGGCTGGTTGAGCAGGGTGGCGAGGCCGTGGTAAATGGCTCCTTGCTTTGCCACTTCGAGCGTCACCACGGAGCTTGTCCTTGTCATCAGTTCTGCTGCCCTGGGAAGAGAGGTCACAGGGTGGGAGCATGGGCAGGCCCCCCATCCCCAGGGTGGGCTGCACCCTGCGTCCTCCCACTAGTCTGAGTCGAGGTCTCGGGCGCCCTGCCTCTGAGGACAACTCTGCACACTGCTCCGGTTGCTGCCTTGAGACCAGCGAGGCGACCTGCAGAGATCTCAGCATGTGCTAGAGGCAAGGACGCCTTTCAGAGTAAAATACACACACTCTGCTAAGTCTTCTCCTTTGAAAGAGGAGGGGCTGAGCTTCCAGCGAGGTTTTTTGTCTTCTAATTCCAAAATTTAATGTGAACTACCCCCAGAAGTGCATACTGTCATCTTTAAACAAATAAATGGTACCTTTCTTGAGAGAGTCCCACCAGACTCCGTCCGTCCACGCTGAGTAGCTGGTCACCCGCAGCGAGCCGCCCGTCCTGAGCACCCCAAGGTGCAGGCAGGTGAAGAGGGGGCAACAGCGGGGGAGAAGGGGAGAAGGAGGCCAGCGGTGAGCACACTCAGACTTGGGCTTTCGACAAACACACAACACACTGGGGGCTTCCACCCTGACTGTATACCCACCACGTCTGCAGCGCCTCCTTTCACAACGGACTTGACATAAATCCCAAGTTTGTCTTGACCAGCGCCCTAAACAAGACAAGGAAAAACCCCACATTGGAAACACAGCTAGAAATACAACACTGTACAAAGAATAAAATGTGTGTAAGTGACTGGAATAAACTCTTAGCTCCTGTTTTTACATGAAAATTAGAAATGAAAAACTGTATTAATAGGATGAACATGTCGGTAAATATAAGGAAACTCACAGGAAATGTACCTACTTTGTTTTCAGATTAAGAAAAATTACTCCTGAAATCCCATGGACAGAGGAGCCTGGTAGGCTACAGTCCATGGGGTGGCAAAGAGTCGGACACAACTGAGCTACTTCACTTTCACCTTTCTTTCACTCCTGAAAACTCAATTACCAGTCAGCTGAGGGACCAGAGCAGACCCGCCGCCCTGACGGCAGGGACGAGCTCCCTCCCAGTGGGTGAGCCGGGAGCCGCGCTGAGTTGTGCAATAATCACTTTAGCGCAAGCAGCTCCCAGAGGGCTCTGCGTTCCAACAGTCAGCCGCCTCCCTCACACCCTTATTCTCTTGTCGTTGTTGTTGTTCACTCAGTCGTGTCCAGCTCTTTGTGACCCCGTGGACTGTAGCCCGCCAGGCTCCTCTGTCCACGGGATTCACTCCCCAGGCAAGAATACTGGAGTGGGTTGCCATGCTCTCCTCCGAGGGATCTTCCCAACCCAGGGATCGAACCCCAGTCTCCTGCACAGCAGGTGGATTCTTGACCACTGAGCCATTTCGGAGGTCCTATTCTTTCTGCACACACAGTTTAAAATTTAAAACAAGAAAAACCTTTCTGTTGCAAACGACGAGCGGGACTTTGGCAGAGACAATTATGGAGAAGACACTCCGCGCTGCCGCAAAGTAAGGGTCATGTGCTGTAATGCTAAGGAAGTCCTGAAGCTACGCGCCCCCGTCTGGGGGAAGCGTGCACAGGTATGAAATGTCACTGTGTGTTTCTGCTAATATTCTATAGCTGAGTGTATTTCTTGGTTTGTGAACCTATGGCGTCACAAAAGCAACAATGTAAGGCATCACAGAAAGTTATAAAGACGGTTTGATAAACGACTTAGTGGACACGTTTTTCCACAACGCCCTGGAACTCCATGATCTCCACCTCAACACTCCCTGTCGCCTCTGGTCAACAGGATGGGTCCAGGACCGTCTGGCGGCTGCTGGTCAGGGAGGATTGCTGAGCAGAGGCCCTGCTGTGAGGCTGACAGCACCCCCTGCCCCGAGAGCCAGGTTCGCAGCGCCACCCCAGACCCCTGTGCCTACATACCTACGGGCGGACTCCATAAACACTCCACGCAGCCCCAGAGGCCCGCCTGGCTTTCCTGACTCTTCCCCTCAAGACCTGTCTCTGTCTGTACGTCTGCCCTGACCTTGTCACTCGTCTCCTGTCTGGCCCAGACATACGACTGCCCCCCGGAGGATACAGCGGTCCTTCCACACGACGCGGTATCCCCGCCCTGTGTTCCAGGCTGGGCCCCTCTGCCACACACACAGTTACTGGGGTACTTGGGAAAACTTGCACTTTGGGGTACATGTGAGGTTACACACACACACACACACACACACACACACACACACACACGTTTAGACATGTGTTTGTATAATCACTCAATGGGTTTCCCAGGTTGGGGAGTAGTAAAGAATCTATCTGCCAATGCAGAAGACTTGAGTTTGATCCCTGGGTTGGGAAGATCCCCTGGAGGAGGGCATGGCAACCCACTCCAAGTGCCCTTGCCTGGGGAACCCCGTGGACAGAGAGGCCTGGACGGCTGCAGCCTGTGGGGCCACGGAGAGTTGGACAAGACTGAGCACACGAAGAATGGATCACTCGGTGATGGTGACCTTCTGAGTTTCAGCCCATCTCTTAGCCAAGAGTCAGCAAACACAGCTCCCACCCACCGTCAAGGGCACCAGCACGGCATTCCCTGAACCCGGGCTGGGCTCAGGGTCAGACGGGCTGAGGGGAACCACCTCCAGGGCAGCCCCACTGGTTAGCGGGGCCCCCTCCCGCACAACCTGATCAAACGGCTTCTTCAACGCTTTGTGTTTCTGTGGAATACATGATTCGTTACCTAATCCAGTTGTCTGAAAAACAGTTCGCTCATCCCACAAACAGTCACGGCGTGCCTGCATCGCCCCACCTCCGTAGACATGCAGACAGACACCACCTGCCTCCAACGCAGCTTACACTCAGAGGCTTTCTCTGTGCCTGTCAGACAGTTCCGACAGGGCACCGAGAATCCCTCTTTTCCTGCAAGCACTGCACCATCATGTCCTTATAACTAAACCAGATTTTTTTTTAAAAGAAGGCTTTTAATACATAACTACTTTTTTCTTCTGTTCTCCATCTGACTGACAGAGAAAAGCAACACTTCTAAACTTCACATTCCCAGTTTTTAGTGCAAATGAACACACTGCATTTCCACAAGCACTATTCTTGGGGAGTACAATACTGTCCTGGTAATTTAAATAATAAAAACTGTACTTTTAATGAAATAATCAATTACCACCATCTATGACTAAAAAAATCTCTAGCGGTAATACTAGCAACATAGTATTTTTAGTAATGCTGCTGTAAACAAAATATCAAATATATACTTTCAATATGTACAGATATTTTAATATGTATGGATATTTTAAAACAATCACATCAAGACTTCTTTCCCCATTTCTGGTATACTTTATAAAACTATTATCAACAAAGGAAAAATTTCATTTATTTAGGCCAACTATAATAAGAAACACTTTAGTCTTTCTAAGGTCACAAACTGGAATGACACAAGCAAACAGCGGGAACATGGTCCTGTCTCCTAATAAACAGAACTGGCGAGCCTGCTTTGGCTGCACGTCCATCCGTGAGGTGTCTGCGCGTCGCAGCTTCCGGTTCCCACGGCCGCACTCCGCACCTACTTCCTGTCCCCAGCCGCTCCACTCAGACCAGCCATTGCATGCCATTCTAGAACAACACACAAGCTTCCATCCTGCAGACTCCGCATGAACCTCGGACAGAGCTCACACAGCCTGAAACTCTACCATGTCTTTAAGTAGATAATTTACCACACATCACATGCAATATAAAATTTAATAAATCTCAGTTTAAATATGCAAGTAACTGACCCCGTAATATAGATATTTCACAGCCTTATGAAAAATCTGACTGAAGTCACATCTGTAAACAAGCATTAGTTTACACTATAAATTTCAGAACAATCTTGGCGAGACATGGACGCTCTCCTAAGACTGACCCGCTGGCTCCTCTATCCAAGCTGCCTTAGGAGATTCTTCCTGAAGACAGGCCCCTGCACCGAGAGGTGGACAACTGCCTGTAAGCAAGCAGAAGCCTCTTGCATGGGGCATCCACGTCAAGTGCAGACCCACCACATCGCCATGCGCCCCTTCTGCCCCTCAGTCACGTTCCTGCCACATACAACGACCTTCTGATGCAACAGGTCAGCCCGAATCCTTTGATCATCTGCCTCCTGGGCTCACCTGCCCACCCACTCACCTCACCTGCCCAGGCACGCCGCCGCCCTGGCACACTCGTGTTCCCACGGCACCGCCCTTGCTCCTGAAGTCGGTACAGAGGGCCCTCTCCCGCTCCTTTCCAGGGGAGCTCCCAAACCCCTGCAGTCAGGCCACGGCAACGTGGTCGATCTAGACGCTACCTTAGTGAACACACAGGAGGTCACGGAGCAGTCAATTACCCACTATCAGGGAGCTGACGACACAAGACTGATGACATCGCAAACTCCTGGTGCAGAGCTGAGAACCCTGAGCATTTCTGACTGTGACACCATGTGCCGTCCTCGGAGGGACAGCACCCAAGCGATGAGAAACACTGCTTTCTTACATGATGGGAATGTATCTAAACTCTAAGTGACAGTCATTTCTTTTAATTCCAAATAAGTTCAATTTCTAAGTATATGTCATTGTGACAAAAGGTTTACATCTGAGGAAAAAAAGGACCTCAATTCAAAAGACCACTAGCATCTAAAAGGTCTATTTAAGGTTGGTCATAAGAATTGACTTTAATAAAAAGTCACTGAGAAAGCACCATGAAATACAATTGCTTAAAAAGATTCCTGGGGGTAGGGTAATATTCTAAGAGGTGTCCAAACTCTGGTTGACATTTGCGCCTTCCAAACGTGGCCTCAACCGTACCGTTTCGCTGGTGCGCGCTCTGTGACTCAGGGCTCTGCCTACACTGTGTCTCCATGCCCGCACACCTGCTCGATGCTGCAGCAACTGTCCCTGGGGGGCGGCCTCCTCTCTGGCTGGGTAGCTGCCGATTTGAGTCTTACACATATTTCACGTGTAGCTCACGGCTATAAACTGACCATAAAAATTTGTAAATGCAACTACTGTACAGATAAATCATAGGTTTTTCTGTAAGTTGCTATGAACTTTTTAGCCAACCCAAATACATATATTAAATCAACAGTACCTATATTAAATCCTTTCAGCCCCAGAGACCACAACCTTTGATCCAGTGCCTGGCTAAGGTGATCCAGTGCCTCAGTCTGGCCAGGGCAGGCTTGGCTGGACTGACTCTAGGACTCGGGGGACAGAGAGTTGGTGAGCTCTGCCTGGCCCCTGCCCACTGCCGTCTGAACTGGGAGCAAGTCAGCTCTTGGAAGGAACCAAAACACAATCCTTCCTTAACACTACGGCATTCTCTTGCCACCAGTCCCACTTCATCTGAATGAAAACATTACAGGCTGATAAAAAAATTCAACAAAACAAAATTAGTTTCAGAAATATTAAACCACTCATGTCCTATTTCTATATAATAATGTACACACTAGCCCAGTAAGACTGAACTTAAAAAAGTATTGAACAAATTCCATTAAGTTCCTTTTCTATTTACAAATACACACAATTACAATTCACTTCTCCGGTAACTCTACTTTTTAAATTAACAAATAAAAATAGGGTCCAGAAATTACACCTTCTTGCCACTATATATCAAGGCATCCCACCTGTCATTAAAAGAACATAAGGATGAACTAGCTAAGCACCGACCAACAGTCAACAGGGGAGGCAGAGAGCCTCCAGACACTGATGAAGCTGTGTCAGGGCTGGCGCTGGCAGCCAGAGGCCCAGGGCGCGGGGCCTGGGGCGGGCGCGTCCCGACCGAAACTCGCGGTCCAGAGCAAAGTCTGCCCAACTCCAAAGACTGAGTAGGAGAGTGTACAGTGTCTCACCAGCAACACAGTGACGACACTGAAATCACAACTGCATCAAGGAGACACACTGTTGATTTCAGTTTCCCTTATTTTTTTAATGCAGTTAATGGAAAATTTTGATTTACCTACATAGCCTGAGTTACTGGACGATGTTGCCCCAAAACTAAGCTTTTCATAGTAAACCTATGTCATCAGTAACCACAGCTACTAACAATAAATCTGTAATTATGCAGATAATTGTGCAAAAACAAACTCTTCCCACAATGCAACATACATGCTAACATTATACCCCTTGATTCCCAGTTGTGAGAAGAGTAGCCACAGTATGATAACTAAACGCAGTGTAGAAATCTCAGTGACTACCTGCCTAAAGACACCTAAACTGGCATTTGAAAAGACATTACTGCGTTTTTGGTCTATTTGTATTCTTATCTATTCTGTCTATTTGTTATATATGAAATCAAAATGAAGAGAAACACTATTCAGAATTACCCACTCCCCATGTGACAAATCAAATACCTTTTTAAAAACTACCTTCTGGAAAGCAGTGATATGTTCCACATGTATCAGGATGGCAAATTCCACTGGATACCATTTTGTAATTTAATTCCATTTAAATAGTAAAAGTACATTTCTAAAAACCAAAATCAAGTCTCCCCTCCCAGAGGCACTACTGAGGGTGACACGGCAGAACAGTCCTGCAGCCTCTGTCCAGCCTCCACGCTGAGTACCGTGGTTTCGGGCTGAGCGCCTGGGGCCGCTCGCGCCGGCCGGGGCACAGCAGGAGGCCGGGGGCCAGCCCGCGGCCCCGAGCAGGCAGCCACGGTGAACCACTGAGGGCACGCCTGCGTGAGCCCAGGATTCCATCCTAAAACGCATCTTGGAGCAGCTCTCCTTTCCCTTAGGAGGGCAGGGAAGGAGGCTCAAGGAGAAGGAGAGGGGAGGGTGGTACCTCACCTGAGTTTACCCGGGGCAGGTACGCAGGGACGGCGGGGCTGGCAGAAGCGCCCAGGCACCGGCAGAGCCACGCGCACCTCCCAGCACGGACAGACACACGCACCTCTCGGGCAGCTGCCCCACGGTCCAAGGGAATGGCCGAGAGTCTGGAGGAGGCCGCCCCTCTACATTCTCAGGCACCTTGGGAAAGACTGAAGCGCAGGTGCGCTCACCTCCCACTCAGAGACTCCGTCAGAAGGGCCCACGCTCCCAACATTCCAGCTGCAATTTCCGACTGAGCGTGGGAGTGTGATGTGACTAACAGCATAAAAACATCATTACAACACAATCCAAAATGGAAAAAAAGGCAGCAGCAGAAGGAAGACCGAGCTGCCAGCCAAAGAGCATGAATTCAGCCTATTGTTCCCAGGCGTGGAAACAGGCAGGGGCCGGGATGACCTAAGAGCCGGGCGTGTTTAAAACTCATCAGGCCGTGAGGACAATGCTCCACCGCCTCCTCCTCGGGGTCTGGAGCCGCTGCTTCTGGTCAGACAAGAGTTCTGATTCATGAACAACTAAAGTTCAGACGAGAGGTTCAACAACACCGCCGCACTCGTGCTCTCTGCTAGGAGTGACCTTAATTCTGAGACAATCGGTGTCAAAACCCACGCCCAGGACACGTCCCATCCTGGCCATCTGGACAGCCCCGTGAGGTGAGCACCCCTCTGCCTGCAAGGTCAGGGTTGTGCACTCGTTTCCTGTTTACGTTCAGTACAATTGACGAACAGCCTGTTCTCTATCTTCCCACTCTCTGTGAGATAAAGGGAGCAAACACACAGCCTCTGATGCTGGGGCCCCAGACGGGCCGCAGGGGACCGTGGGGTCCTGAAGGGTGCAGGCAGAAGAGGGTGCAAGGAGGGGTCTCCAGAGTGCAGGCACAGGCTCCCGAGGGTCTCAGAGAGGAAGGTGATGACAGTGCCCCGCAGCCTCTGCACATGGACGCCCAGGCAGGAGTGCCAGTGCAGGAAGCCCTGACCCCGGGCAGGGCTGAGGGCACTGGTAGGGCCGGGCTCTCTGGACCATCCCTAGGCGGGCCCCCCACCACAGCCCTGCACCCAGACGCCCTACACTGTCTTTTTCTACGGGAACCGCCGGGGGAAAGGAGGCTCTGCTTCAGAGAACTAACATTCCGTTCCAATGACATTGTTTCAGTGCAACTGAGTCAGGGTGTCAGCCAACCAAAGAAACGTGCACTTAGGCCACGACTGCAAACAGAGGTGAAAGCGCTGCTCTTCAGACACTTCACTGTGAGAGCAGAAACACAAGCTGTCCAGACTCACAGCACCAGCCGTGCAGGAGCGTCACACGGCCCCCTGCGCTTCCGGGAAAGAGCTGAGCGCTTCCGGGAATGAGCTGAGCGCTTCTGGAAAGAGCTGAGCCTCCCGGGTCCTCCTGACGCAGTAGCTCCCCCCGGGCCCTGGCGAGGATGCACGTGAAGGCCCCGGGAGCCTCACTGAACGTGGCTCACACGTACTGGTCCAGTGGTGAGGAGGCGACGCGTCGGTGAACACTGCTTTCACCCTCTCCTTTCTAAGGCACAGCAGTTTTTTTAAGCTAACCAAAGATTTGAAAACTTAATACTACATACAGTTAGACCACAACCAGGATTCAATTAGCCATTCACTTCTAAGTAAAACACTAAAACCTCCTAATAAGTATCTTTGGAACTGTCACTTTTATGCTTTCAGAGAAGACCTGCTGAGGACAAAGCCTGCAGTAAACACCACCTGAACGGCCAACGTCCTGCACTGCGGACATTCTTGCGTCTGTGCTCAGCATCTACAGCAGTTGCGACCACTATTTCAAGCAGCGTCCACCATACCACAATTGGTCTTTTTCCTGTATAAAAGCACAGAGCAGCCGCTTATTTCCCGAGCCCTGAGAAGCCACGGCACAGAGCTGCAGGGCAGGGAGCAGCCCGGCATGCGAGCACGAGCTCCCCGAGCGGGGCGTCCGCAACAGGCTGCAGCCGCTCCCGGGGTGGACAGCGGCCGCCGAGGCCCCGAGCAGACTCACCGCAGGCACGGGGCGGACAGCGGCCGCCGGGGCCCCGAGCAGACTCACCGCAGGCTCTGCCCTCCCGACAACGGAGAACCACATCTCTCTCGGGCACATGGACCTCTCAGCCGGAACACCACTGCCTGGACCCGCGCTGGCGACAGCCGACACACAGCTGGTCTCTCAAGAGTGACCACCGCGGGCATTGAGAAACTCCAAGCAGCGCCTGGGCAATCTCGGGCTCTTACGTAACCAGGCAGCTCAGATTCTCGCTTACTTTGTACTTTATTAAACTTTAAAAAGAGTTAGAAAAATAAAAAGGAGGAAACAGTTTCTATTTTAAAAATCCAAACTAAACAGGAAGCGCCATGCCGGCCCTAGCTGAGTGAGAGGCAGCACCCTGATCCCCCAGCCCCCACCGTGGATGGCGTGGACAAGCCTCGGCATCTGGATTCCATAAAGTGGCCGCAGCCGGGAGGGGCGCTGGCGGGCTGACATCAGAGTCCGCCAGGCGCACGGCCCCGAAGCCACAGGCTGACTGGGAAGGCGGAGGATGGAGCCAAACCCTGACACAAAGGCCCAGACAGCTCAGAGGGAAACACAGCAGCCAGACAGGGCTCCCAGGCTGCTGGGGGGCCGCGGGGACCAGCTCCAAGGCCCCCAGCCCTCTCCCGGGGCTCGAGCTGCAGCCATGCCCAGGGCTGCACGGCTGCCCAGCGGGGGGCAGGGTGGGCCTGAGCCCCTGCACCCCGGGCAGAGCCCACCCACGCCATTGGCACAGACCTACACCAGGCACGGCAGGGCACCGCTCCGCAACGTGTGTCCAGCACGGCCTGCTTTCCCTGCAAGTCCTGGAGAAACCACAGCCGAGCTGGAGAAAAGCAGGTTTGCTCCAGCAGTCCAGCCCACAGGTGAACAGACGCGAACGGATGCCTTCACGCATGAGAGCTGCACACTGCCCAGTTACCATGGCACAGTCTCCAAGGTGCTTCCTTTTCAGCACCTGTGAGCCCGAACAAGTCTGTATCTCTGCCTCCTGCCCTCTGGGTTCCACATGCTCATATCCAACACAAGCAAACAGGAAAGCATCCCCAGGCCTGCAGCTGCCTGCTCCCACCCACCCCACCAGCTCCGGCTATCCCGAGCACAACACTCAGGACCTGTACCAGAAGAGGTCAGCTGGAGTCCCAGCTGGTGGGCTGGGCCAGGTGGCCCTGGGCCTCGCCGCTGGCCACCGTGCCCTGGAGCATGCCCACTGCCACGCCCCAGCCCCTGGCTCCAGTGCTGGCACGGAAGTCCTCCGACATGCCCCTGCCCTGAGATCATGGCTCCTGCCCGTCCCCTTGCTGTTTCAAACCCTTGTCCTTCGGTGGGCGAGCTCCACCTGCGAACCGCATGTCTTTAAAAGGGACGAAGCCCCCTCTCCCCCTCTGCTCCCCTAGACACGACTGGGGCACTGCTCCCTCGCTGCAGCTCCCAGCAGGCCACGCACCTGAACAGGGCCAGCGGCCCCTGCAGCCCCTCCACACACGGGCTCTGGAGCAGGTTCCCCGAGAGCGCCACAGGCACAGCACTTCATTCCCATGCCCAGCCCCCAGACGCGGAACTGGAAAGGCCGCCGACTCAGGCTTAAAGGACAGAGGATGGCAGCCTGCGCCCCCGCCCTGTCCTACCTTCGCGGCGACAATGCTAAGGCCCATTCCGTTCTGCTTTTTGAGGGTCACAGTGATGATTTCAGGTTCTTTACGCAGAGGCTGCGCCTAGGGATGAAAAGAGAAGTTTACTGAGGGTTGAAACCAAAGAGGAAACAGAAGCAGTAAAAACCAACCCTTGATGGGGTAACCTGGTAAAGTAAGTACCAGCATTCTTTCTTGACTCCAAAGCTGTCAAGAGAATCATCACAATGCTAAATATTTACAAGTTGTTTAAAGATGTTAATTTACAAAACAAAACAACCCTAGAATCACTACCATGTAAGAAAAACTTGGTCTTAAAGACATTACAATTTTACTTTATTATCTTTTAAAACAAAATCACTGGACATTTTTTGAAGAAGAAATTTAAACTTATTCTACACTATCCAGGGGGAAGACAGTTATAACAAAGATGCTCTCGCATCTCTGTATCTTGTGAAAAGTGAAGTTGCTCCGTCATGTCCGATTTTTTGCGACCCCGTGGACTGTAGCCTGCCAGGCTCCTTCATCCACGGATTTTCCAGGCAAGAAAGAATACTGAAGTGGATTGCCATTTCCTTCTCTGGGGATCTTCGCAAACCTGGGATCGAACCCAGGTTTCCTGCACTGCAGGCAGAATCTTTACCATCTGAGCCACCACAAACCTATCTTGTGAAAATTCAACTGCAAAAATACACGGCCTCAGCCTTCAGGCAGCGGGCCCAAAGCTCAGCATGCCTCTGTGAAGCCTGTGGTGGGAGATCAACCGGAAGGGACGAAGCGCGTGCCCATTAAGGCCAGTTCCCAGCAGATCCACAGACAATGAGAAAGGGAAGCCATCCATGGAAGCCACACGGTCTACGTACATCCTGCCTCACATGAACAAGTTAACGAAGGTAAAGAACATCAGCAGGCCCACGTACCAGGCTTTCAGTGGACTACGTATGTCAGTATGAGGGCACACTGCCAAACAGTGGTGATCACGCACAGCTTGTTTACTTGGAACCAAAGTCTGTGTGAGAATCTTCTAAGGGAAAGAGATAAGATCAAGTGACAAAGCTTCTACAGAGCATCAGGACCTAAAATTGCCTGAGAGATCCATAAATAAACTAGAAAGATGGAAAAAAAAAATCAGTGATTCCATCTAAGGAGCTTGTTTTTCTATAAAATCTGGAAGCTAGAAACTGCTGCTATTAGCACAACAGCAGCTGATACGGGGCACGCGTCGCAGTCACTCTGCCGACAGTCAAATGCGGTCTCCCTGGTGTAACAGCAATCACCAGCGAAGGCAAGCTTTGGAGACGCTCAAATGCAAAACAAAACCGCTCAGTTTTTCTACTGAGCAAAAACAACTACTTTGGATTTAATAAACAAAACACACATCCACCGTTGCCTTATGTGTAAGCACTGCCTCCTCACATGATCTGTCTTCTTAGAAATTAGGTGGGAACCAGGTGTGTGGTTCTGAGTGACTAATGGATAATTCAGGAGGTCACCACGGGAAGTTTCTAGAACTCCAGAAGACTTGTGGTCGTTCTTCACAGCTGAGAGCCCCCAGCTTTGGCCCAGGGGGCCGAACGGCCACGCCCAGCCACGGAACACACTGGGCCCTGTCCACCGTTACCTGCCAGACAGGCGGCCACACCTACTGGGCTCCTCCAAAGCCTTGCGTGGCTTAGGAGTCAGTTACTTAAAGTGAACGAAACAGAACAGTGAAGTTCTAAAAGGAAAGACGACTCGTCTGTGTTCTCTGGACTGACGTGCAGCATACGTAGGAAAAGACAACTCTGGTCTGGCATCCCTTTCTAAGACATGGTGAAGCTCCTTTTCTGATTTAAAATTCTCTGCAAGAAGCAAGGCAGCAAACACTAATGGGACTGGCCAGTCTTTCACTAAGATAGAAAATATTACTAAATGATTTGGTGCATAGTTAAGGCAGCGTAGGGCAACCTTGGCGGCTCAGACGGTAAAGAATCAGCCTGCAGAGCAGGGGAGATGGGCTCAGTCCCCGGGCTGGGAAGACGTCCTGGAGAAAGGACTAGCCACCCACTCCAGGATTCCTGCCTGGAGAGTTCCATGGACAGGAGCCTGGCGGGCTGGAGTCCATGGGGTCGCAGAGAGTGGACACAACTGAGTGACTAACAGTTTCACTAAGGTAGGACTGACTAGAAAATAGAAAATACTTTTATCACAGAAAAATTTTTCTAATAAAACCCATTAAGATTACCATAGTAATGTATGTAAAAAACATGTGTGAGGTTTAACTGTCTTATCAACAGGCATCAGTGTTCCTATCTGGCCTCTCTGTGTGGCCTCTGGGATCTGAACTCCCTGACCAGACTGAACCTGTGCCCTGCGTTGGGGGCTCAGAGTCTCAGCCATTCGGTGACCAGGTAAGTCCCCAAACAGGCGCATTCCTAAAAGCAACATCTGTTTATAGATGAAACTGTATAGACGTAGCCTGAAGTATTTTCAAATCGAAAGGAATCAAGTTTCCTCTACTGGTCCGTCTGCCACCTCACGATACTTGCCAGTTCTGTGTTCTCCCGCAGAAGGTGACTCTCGTAATCTGCACCTTCAAAATATATCGTCCAGGTGCCGGGGGAGCGTGGGTGAGGAATTAACCTGCAGAACCCTGGGGAGGGAAATAGGCAGGCGTGAGGATGAACAGCCGCGGTGTCAGAGTCCTGGGCTCCGGCAGGGGCGGCGCACGGCACCGGGGCGCGGAGCCTCCCTCTTTTCAGTCCACACCTCCTGTCTCTCTGAGAAGTGAATCAGCAGACATTTACCATCACGTGTCTATCTGAACACAGAACGTGTACACAAGTATTTGTATCAGCCTTATTAGTGATTAAAATCTATTTGCTTTGGTCCAATGTAATTTCAACACCAAGCAGAAAAGCAAAACTGGTTTCCACCTCTACTTTATTTCAGCGTTCTTCTCACGTCTATGAGAAATTACAGAATCGCACTGAAATGCTTCCTTGCAGATCTGTCTCCTCCACTCGACTAGGAGCTCCTCAGTCAGACTGAGAACCCCTGACAGACAGAAGGGAAGGACAGAGGGACCAGAGAGCAACTGTGGTGGAAGACAGCCGGCAGGCTCGCCCCCAAGATCGGTGACTTACTCCAGCGGAACAGTGATCCCGGAGAAGAAGGGCCTCCTCACTCCTTTCTGTCCTCATTTCCTTGGAGGCCACATTTACGTTTTCTCCAAAAATGTGATAACGTTTTAAAGAACATCTTTAATATTTTTATGAGGGACTACCGACATCTTTATAAGACTAAGCCTGCGTCATCCCTCATCTGTCAGATCTTACAGTATCTTTCAGAAATTTTGTGACAAGGTTGTATCACACACAAACACAGACACAATTCTTTCCTCTCGAGCGGCCTCATCAGCGCCAGCTGACAATCAGGAAGAGCACACTGTACTCCAGACAGCCCCTGGCCCTGGCACCTCTGTGCTCACCTGGAGTCACGATGGGTCAGAGACATACAGACCAGAGCAAGGGTGGTGCGGCCGCCCACTGCCCAGGTGGAAGGTCGGGGTGACGGGGGGCTCAGGGCTCATCTGGCCCTGCTGCTGACCGCTATGCTCCGGTGGCACCCACACACAGGGCGGACGGAGCCCCAGGTGCACGTGGAACCGGAGGGAGGACAGTGCCAGGGCCAGTGAGCGGGAACCACGATGCCAGGTGAGCAGGGGCACCCAGGTGGCCCTGCATGTCTGCTCTGACCCAACTGTGACACCAGGTGAGCAGAGGGGCCCCGGGCAGCTGCGCCACGCCTGCTCTGACCCCACGTCACCACTGACCGCGTCCCTCCCAGCCCCAGGCCCCGACCTTCCCAGAAGCGCGCCAGGTGTGCGCAGGGGGGGCTGACCTGACACACATCAACACACAACGAACACCAGGCTGCTGGCACGCAGGGTGGGCAGACGCCCGGGCTGGGAAGGCAACCCACCTCTCTGGCAGAGAGGGTCCAGGAACTCCTGCAGGCCGCTAGGGACGTTCCTGACGACGTCGCAGGAGTAGCCGTCCTCGGGCAGGAGGAAGGGCAGCTGCAGGTCGGGGTCCTCCTCCAGCCGGACCTCCCGGCCGTCGCTGCGCGCCAGCTCGTCCGCCGTGTTCTCGGCCACGGCCACCACGTTCTCGATCAGGTCCTGCTCAGAAAACAGACACGGGCTTGGGAGACGCGCGGTGGGCGGTGCGGCTGACCAGTGATGACCAGACGTGCTTGATCATGCGCGGTGTGGCCACACACACACACGGGGCGCCTCACAGAGGGAAAGCCAGTTCATCCTCAGCTCAGACCGGCCTGGGGAGTGATCAAGCACTGGCACGGCACACACTCTTACTATCTCCGCTAAAGATACTAACTTGTAAGTGAACACCTATAGTTCTAAATAGAAACTATTTGATCACAAGGAAATAAGCTTTTTTCCTTTTCAAAAATAATTTTTTCCTTGCACAGTTTTTTAAACAGAGAGTTGCTAATAACCTTATTTTTGTATTTAATGACAGGAAAAAGTTCACACAATGTCAAATATTAAAAAGATATGTAGTCCCAGGTTATGCAGATTGTTGCCTTATGATGGGTTTACAGGTGATTTCTGTTTATGAACTTTCACTTACTAGATAAGGTACACACAGAACAGTTCACAGAGTGAACACCCCCTCCTCACCCCAGGGCGGGGACAGAACCACACCCCAGCGAAGCTGCCCTCCCTGCCCTGTCCTGTGTCCCCAAAGTCACGGCCACCAGGCTCCTCCCGTGTCCTGAGCCCAGAGTGTAGGCAGCGGCTCTGCCCTCCCTCGGGGCTTAACCCTCTGCGGTTACAGCCCCCTCCCAATGTGCGCCACGTCAGGCCCCCTTTCGGGACTGTGACCCAGTCTGTCTGGGGGCTGTTAGTGGGTTTAGCCCCTGCCCTCTGTCAGCATGAACTCAGCACGGGGAGTGGCGCCTTCTGTGGGGCTGGGCCACCTGCACACTGAACTCTCAGGACTCCTGCACCCAGCTGCTGTTAGCGTGGGGCTGTGCCTAGGCAGTGTCTGTCACAGAGAGCCGGCTGCACTGCGCACTGCTCTCTGTGCTCTCTGCCCTCTGGAGAGGCCTCTGAACCGCAGGCTCTGCTCTGCGTGAGGAGCTGACTTCCCCAGGCAGGCGCCTCGGCGCAGCTCTGGGAGGCAGCCCCCAGGGGAGGCCTTGCCCTGCCGATGGCAGCCAACGTGAGGGGCCCCGGGGTCTCAGGTCTCAGCGCTGAGCCCCGAACCCAGGGTGAGGGCACCTTCCTCACTCCCTGCCCTGGCTTTCCAAGAACCTCATTCCCTGAGTTAAATCCCCGTCTACTTAAAACGCTTATGTGGTTTCTACTTCTCGCCTGGAACCTTAACTCCTACAGATGTCAGCCGCAAAAGTGACCTCGTAAGATGATCAAGTAAACTTTCTCGCTCTGTTTCCCTTCTCCCCACACAGACGTGGTGCATGGTGACTGGCGCCCCACTTACCGCAGGGACAAAGGGCTCGTCGGGGGCACAGTGGTAATTCTGCAATAAGGCTTGGAGCTGCAGGGAATTCAACTTGAAGCAGGTGCTGTTTATATTTGGAATGTCATCAGGTGCGTACTTATCCATCGTAAGCAAAGTGGTTGCCTATGAACAAGCGACAGGAACTACCATGATTTAAAAATATTTCATAAGTATTCCTCTTTATGTAATATTTGGATGGCATCACCGACTCGATGGACACAGGCTTGGGTAAACTCCGGGAGTTGGTGATGGACAGGGAGGCCTGGCGTGCTGCAATTCATGGGTTTGCAAGGATTCGGACACCCTGAGTGACTGAACTGAACTAACTTGCTAATTTGACTTTAAAATGCAGGGTGTTTTTAAGAAAACACACGTCCATTCACATTACGTGTGTGTGAAGTTGAGCTCAAAGCACCGCCTGGTTAAAGGTGGCGGACGGCGTCTTGTGTGCGTACTCCAGACTCAGCCGTGTCTGCCTCTCTGTGACCCGAGGGACTGCAGCCCACCAGGCTCCTCTGCCCATGGACCTCCCCAGGCAAGAGTACTGGAGTGGGCTGCCACCTCCTTCTCTAAGGGATCTTCTTTTATTAAAATTGTATGTATAATAAGACTCAATAATTTATGTGCAGAAACCATTTAAAAACCTTAGAAACTTTTAACACTTATATAACCATCAGATTACCATTACTAAGGTCTAAATAAAATAACATTGTAACGACCTTTCTAGTGACTAGCAGATTCAATCAAAGAAAAAGGGCAGAAATCTCCACGCTGTATCTCTTTAAGAGATTGAGACAAAAATACAAAATTATACACTAAACATAACCGAACAGGTCACAGATGCTCTTTCCTTAACTGCACAGCGCCAGGGTCTAGTCCCCGAGCGCCAGGCACCCCCCGAGCGGGTGACGCCGCACGGACCAGGCCGCTGCGTGTGCCCTCTTCCTGGTGGCGTGGCGAGTTTCTGAGGGGCGTTCACAGCCTTCTCTCTGTTATCCGTGTTTCTACCATAGGTGTTTGCTTTGGGGTTACGTTGCTTGTGGTCTTAACTTTCCGTATCACACTGGAGTGCCGCTGACCGACAGCGGGGTGTTAACTTTCCGCATTACACTGGAGTGCCGCCGACCGACAGCAGGATGTTAACTTTCCGTATCACACTGGAGTGCCGCTGACTGACAGCAGGGTGTTAACTTCCCGTGTCACACTGGAGTGCCGTAGACTGACAGTGGTATGCTAGTTTCAGGTGCAGAGCAACATGATTCAGTTATATATACACATGAGTCTATTCTTTTTCAATGTCTTTCCCCATTTAGGCTATTACAGAATACTGAGCAGCGTTCCCTGTGCTGTACAGGAGGTCCTTGTTGGTTATCCCATTTTATTCTTTGTATCTTTAAAGTGCCAGCTATCATCCACTTTTAAATCAGAGTTTATCTTTCAGTGTATATAGCTTTACGAAACACACCTCACGGTTCTAGGTGTTTACTCTGCTGATCACCACCTGTTATGGGCTGTACTGTGTCCTCTGAAAGTCACAATGTGAAACCCCAAGCCTCAGGGGGTAAACCTGGGGTAAACTTCGGACTGTGACCTCATCTGGAGAAATGGGGTCCCTATGAAAGGCGGAGGCTGGGTCAGAGATGCGGCCTGAGAGAGGCCTCCTGAAGACGGAGGCGCAGGTGGGATGCTGGAGACCAGTGGCGGCAGCGGAAGGCTCAGGAGTCGGGGCTCGCTCTCCGTCCGGGAACCAGTGTGCCTGCCCTCAGTCTCAGACTTCTGGCCTCCAGGACAATGAGCTTCTTTTGTTTAAGCCACGAAATTGCTGCACCTCGTTAGAACGGCCCAGGCAGACGAGTACGCCACTGTTATCCTAAGCGCACGTGAAGACCCCGGGGAGGTGCCGAGACGCCCCAGGGAAGTTAGAGACGCTGGGGACCACACGGCCAGCCCCACCCACCTGCACGATCCGGCTCAGGTGGCAGTCAGCCGCCAGCTCCAGGCCCTGCTTCTCGGCCCAGGCCTCCACGTGCCCGAGCTGCTGGCGGAGGATGGCGCCCCAGTAGTGGGAGCAGAGACCCGACTCGGGGTCAGTCACCAGGCGGTTGAACAGCCACATGTTGATGAAGTGGAACAGCTGGGAGAAGAGCTGGATGGTCAGAGCGGCGTTGACCCGGCAGCGACGCAGCAGGGACATGGCGCCCGTGAGTGTGTGCAGCACGTCGTCTGTGAGGGGAGAAGGCTCTCGGTCAGCACACAGGGCCCGCCCCCGTCTGCTCGACACCTGCCCGTCCAACCGAGAGTCCCAGCAGGGCCCGCAAGGTGAGAGCTGTTCCTGCATGGAGCACAAGGGGGTTCCCCACACCAGCAGGACATCCCGGGGACTCTGACCACACCCGCCCCTCATACCGCGGACGAAACAAGCGCCCCTCAGACCGCGGACGCTGAAGCGACCGCCCCTCAGACTGCCAATATTAAAACGACGACATCCCTCAGACTGCGGACACCGAAATAAGCGCCCCTCAGACCGCGAATATTAAAATGAAGGTAAACGCAGAGGTGGGAAGGAGGGGCTGAAGCAGAAAGAGAAAGGCCTAACCTATTTTTGGTCTCTGCAGACTGTCCTCTTCAGGGTCGTCCAGAAAGGCGGGCATGTAATTATTCAGCTCTGACTGAAGACAGTGAACCAGGTACCTGAAAAACACTGACAGCTTTAATAACTGCAGCATGACGCCCCGCTACTATCACACAGGGAAAACAATCTCTACTGTTTGGAAATATTTTCCATGTACAACATGTATATAATAGTTTTCCTCTCAGGATTCCTGAAACACACCTAACTGAACTCACTTTACTAAACCAACACACTCTGCATGGAGCTATCTATGCTTCAGTTGTGCTCACATGCTAGTAAGGTAACGCTCAAAAATCCTTCCACCCAGGCTTCAGTAGCGCGTGACCTGAGAACTTCCAGATGTACAGCTGCGCTTAGAAAAAGGCAGAGGAACCAAAGATCAAACTGCCAACATCCATTCAGTCACAGAGAAAGCAAGAGAATCCCAGAAAAACATCTACTTCTGCTTTATTGACTCGGAGAGACTCTTTGACTGTGTGAAACACAATGAACTGTGGGAAATTCATAAAGAGATGGGAATATCAGACTATCTTACTTGTTATGTGGGTCAAGAAGCAACAGTTAGAACTGGACATGGAAAAACAGACTGGTTCCAAATTGGGAAAGAGTACATCAAGGCTGTATACTGTCACTCTGCTTATTTAACTTCTACACAGAGTATATCATGTGAAATGCTGGACTGGATGAAGCACAAGCTGGAATCAAGATTGCCAGGAGGAATATCAATAACCTCAGATACACAGATGACACCACCCTTATGGCAGAAAGTGAAAAGGAACTAAAGAGCCTCTTGATGAGAGTGAAAGAGAGTGAAAAAGCTGGCTTGAAAATCAACTTTCAAAAACTAAGATAGCTCAAGAGGGAGAAGACACATGTACACCTATGGCTAATTAATGCTGATGTATGGCAGAAATCAAATCATATTATAAAGCAATTATCCTTCAATTAAAAATAAAGTGAAAAATAAAAAACAAAGGCAAAAAACAAGTAAGATCATGGCATCCAATCTCAGGCTTCAAAATCCCTGTGAAAGGTTACTGCAGCCATGAAATTAAAAGACACTTCCCCTTGGAAGCAAAGCAATGACAAAACTAGACAGCATAATAAAAAGCAGAGACATTACTCTGCTGACAACGGTCTGTACAGGCAAAGCTAAGATTTACCAGTTGTCATGTATGGATGTGAGAGTTGGACCATAAAGAAAGCGGAGCACTGAAGAATTGATGCTTTTGAACTGTGGTGTTAGAGAAGACCTTTGAGGGTCCCTTGGACTGCAAGGAGATCCAATCAGTCAAACCTAAAGGAAATTAGTCCTGAATATTCACTGGAAGGACTGATGCTGAAGCTGAAACTCAAATACTCTGGCCACCTGATGCAAAGAGCCAATTCACTGGAAAAGGCCCTGATGCTGGGAAAGACTGAGGGCAGGAGGAGAAGGGGCGGCAGAGGATGAAATGGTTGGACAGCATCACCGACTCAATGGACATGAGGCGTTTGAGCAAGCTCCGGGAGATGGTGAAGGGCAGGGAGTCCTGGCGTGCTACAGTCTATGGGGTGGCAAAGAGTCAGACACGACTTAGCAACTGAACAACATTTACACTTCTTAATATCTATCTTCAGTTAGGGTGAATAAAAATCTTTAAGATGAGTTCTGAAAATTTAATGAGAAGCATGACTGAAGTCTTTACAGAAATGGGTTCTTACTTAAAGGCCATCTGCACCAAGTGCGCCAGGACGTCCTGTGCGTCCAGTGTGATCCGACTGAGGTCTCGGTCCTGCTTGATGAAGTTGAGCAGCTCGGACGCGTTGGCCATCCAGAAGGCAAGGGCCCCTGCAATGTTCTTCTGTTTCTGCAGACAGAAGGCAGCTCCGTAAGCAGCCACAGGACAAACAAACAGCACAAACGAAAGGAATGCTCCTGAAAAGCTGCCGAAGATAGACCAGTACCTCCCCATTCTCACCAGGGTACTGAGCACAGATACCAGATACTTGCAGAGGAATTTGGGTTGCAGACGCAGTAATGGGCAGTAAGCCCCACCGCAATTTCTCAGGATTCAGGTACAGACACATGGCTCTAGTGAGCAACAATTAACTGCATCAGTGGGGAAAGGAGCCATCAGTACTACAACACCGAATTGGAGACTGCACTTTATCTGGTAATCTGTGACACACACACACATGTATCCATGGTTACCCACTGCCACCCTGATACTCGAAGTCACTGGTGTGGACACCAAGCAACTCGGTATCAAGTACTGATCTATCGCGTCATCTCCCGACCACATAAGCAGGCCAGGCAACCTCAGATGAGATCCAAAGAATAGGAACCAAGGATAAACAACAAAGAGGAGAAACAGAACTTTTGTCATTTCATATCCACACTGAAGTGCATTAAGCAAAGTTATGAAATGCTGATAAAGGCTGCACAGTCAAAAAGGATTTTAGTACTGCATGTCCCAGCTGCTGAATGCGTGTTATGAGCCTCAGTCCCGTTGTTCTGCGCTTTGACATGGAAGCAGCGTGAGAAACTCAGCTAAGCCAACAGCCAGGATCGGCTCCCAGCAGCATGTCCTACCTGGTCAACCTGGTCTACTTCCTGGAGGAAAACAGACGAGGGAACCAAGCAGAACGAGAGAGAGAGACTCGTGAACAGTCATGATCGTCAAAAAATCAGAACACTAACATGAAGGCACGACACGAGGGCACGACATTTAGTTACGCTAGTCCACATTACACACTCCTTGTGACTGCGAGGAGCTTGGGAAATCTAGGGCATAAAGGGTGGGCTTCCTACTCTTAACATTGGCACAAAAACTAAGGGAATTCCTAGACTTTGTCTGTACAGAAGATGTTGCAATGAACAAATGAATACACTGATTTCTTTGAAAGATTTACAAAGAATGGGCTTCCTAACATCTCTGAGCGACACTGTGTTTGAGACGACCTAAAGGTACATGACTTCAGAGTCTAATCCCCTAGACCAGCTAAAAACGATGAAGACACAGGAAAGACCAACAAAAACAGTAAGAGTTGAGAACTCTAAAATGTATCAAAAACTTGATATTATTTCTATACTAGAAAGGAGTAAATTGCTTTTTGCAAGTAGGTTTCTTATAAATTAAAGATTTTTAATTATTCCAAAATTCCTCCCTAAAAATTCAAGGTTCTTTCAATCACACGCTGAACCTAAATCTTAAGTCTGAAAGCCTTAAAAATGTGATTTCACTGCCAGTTCCAATAATAAAAGCCCATCAGAACTGTCTGCTGATGGGAGTTTCATAATCTGAAATTCAAGCACGAGGGAGACAGACGGCAGCTCTGAACGACCGCTGAAAAGGAAATCCACGTTTGTGTATAAAATAACAGGAGTAACACGATGGTGCCCAAACAGAATGAGCTTCCTTTTCATCTACTTTCTCCCTCAGGGGAAGACTCTTAAACTCCTCAGAGCCACAGGCTAACCACTCACACAGGAGAAACCTTTTTTGGAAAATGTTAAAAAAGCCTTCTATGACAGTTCTGAGGGGATGAAAAGATTAGCTTGCCTCCAACTATCCTGACAGGAGAAAAGCAACCAAATCATCTAATCGTGTTGCTTGAGATCACGTACCTAGAGTGTCACAGGTGAATAATGCTGACAAGTGGTTTAGGAAAACTTTTTTAGAAGTCCGTAAATTTACTTTTAATGACTTTAAAGATTAAATCTCCAAGTTACCTATAAGTGTGAAAACCTGTTATGCCAATTTTATCAACTATAGGCAAACAGGACTTCCCTGGTGGCTCAGATGGTAAAGCGTCTGCCTACAATGCGGGAGACCCAGGTTCAATCCCTGGGTCAGAAGATCTCCTGGAGAAGGAAATGGCAACCCACTCCAGTATTCTTGCCTGGAAAATCCCATGGACGGAGGAGCCTGGTAGGCTACAGTCCATGGGGTCACAAAGAGTGGGACATGACTGAGCAACTTTACTTTTCATAGGCAAACAGTAATAAAGGAAACAAATCATTCTAGAAAGAGAATATGCTAATTTCCTGAAATTTGAAAACTGGTTTAGGAAGGAAGTTGAGCCTGATTTTCACGGTGAGTGAGAAATGTCATCACACCCATGACACCTACGCCCGTGATGGGAACCCAGAGGCCAGCCAGCAGTAGGCTCTGGCGGGTCACCATGAGCGCGTCCTTTTCTACAGCAACTGAAAGATCCTGCAGGTGGCCGCCAGGGACCCACGGGGCGGGCGATGCAGAGAACTGCTCGGTGGGCGAGGGGTCTGTCAGGAGGGACGGGGACCCTGAGGAGCCAGGCACAGGCATCTGCATAGCACTGAGGGCCCTGAATGCGACCCGGCTACTCACTTTATAACGGTTTATTTTACGATATGTGAATTACTTTTTAATTCTCAACGCCCTCTCACAACTAGTGTAATTTTAAGGGTCTTTTCCATGACCACTATATGACCACAAACAAATTTCTCTTCCCTTAAATTTTGTAGAAAAGAAAAGAAAGGTTTACATTTCTTTTCAACTTTAAAAGCTATACAATTTAAAATCCTGCTTATATAACTTCTGCTTTAGAAAAAAATTATTCAGATAAAGTCAAGCATGTAAGCAAATCTGAAATGCTAAAAAAGGAACTGACTTAGTCGATTTAAAAGTTATCGCCATGGTCATGGGCTGGTGTGGCCCTGCAAGCCAGCACTTACCTGGATCACCCCTTCCATCATGCTCACCATCTTGTTGACGATTGCCATGACTTTGTGCGTGCGTTCTGCGGGGCTGACGTCAGGTCTGTACTGGCTGGACAATACATACCGACACGCCATGTATAATACGTATGTAGGTGACAACTTAAAATGGACTGTAGAGCTATTAGTGTAATTTATAATGGCAGATAAAAATGAATCTTCAGCTGTGAAAAGATTTAAAAAAAAAAAACATGAAAACTCATATGAGGAAAAATGGAACAAGAAATAATTCACTACCAGTGGAATCTGAAATTACTCACAACTTTCCCTGAATTCAATGCTTGCAGGCAGAATCAGGTCAGGCCCGGGAGCATCCTGAGTTCTGAAAGAGGAAAGTGGCCATCTCTTAAAACCAGGTCACATTAGCTAAAAGCACCCCAACAAACAGTGCAGATTTTGCAACTATTTTTAAAAGTCGATACTGTATACAGAGCTTTGGCTCATTTTCACGTGGAGCCTATTCCAACATGCGGGTGAGGGAATGGGGGTCATCCCAGGTCACGGGTCAGCTCCTGGGTATCTGCTTTTGTCAGGAGAACACACCCGACCACGACGGCTCAAGTGACAGGGAAAGACACCACCGGGAGAAAGAGAACGTCCAGACCTCACTGAGCCTGAAACTGAGCTCTCACACGTGAGACAGAAAAACGCCCTAACAGCTGGATACCGCCTGCCTCTCCCGGTCAAATCAGACGGGTGGTCCCCACCAGGCCAGCCCACGGCCGCGCTGTGTCAGCATCTGTCCAGGCGCACGGCGACGGCACCTCACGGTGACTGAGACAGCTGACCACAGGGCTACGGGCCCGGCCCGGAGATCTGCAGCAGCTCCAGCAACAGCCTCGTCCTGCCGCACCCGCCTTCTCCATGCACCAAAGACACAAGGGGAAGATACAACAGGAATCCATCCAAGCCACTACAGACGTCACAAGTGAAAACAAAAACCTTCTTTTCACCAAATTACATGCTTCTGAACTTATCACCCAGTCTATGATTTATTAATTTGGGTTTAACTCCACACTTCAGGTATAAAAATGCTCTTAGAAACATAATTCTAAAGCTCAATTATTTTTAATACGTCTTTCTTACACTGCCATATTTGTAAACATCTAGAACTGCATACAAAGGACTTATTTTTCAATTTAATACCCACAACATGAACCTGGATAAAGTTTACTAATTTTTTTTAATGTTTTATCACTTCAACAAATCTAATAAAAATAAGGAACTTAAATTCTCACTGAAAATTTTAAAAAATGTGTCACTGATACTTTAAAAGTTATCTGCATCATTCAAAAAGATTTCTTCCTTGACTCAAATTAGTATTTAATCATTCACTGAAGCCTCTCAGATTCTATGACTAAACCAGTGAAGAGAACCAGAGATGCGAAAAACAGAGATTGAGACCAGGAAGAACCACATTTCCATTACTGTCTTCATATCAACAAAGTAACACAGATTTATAGTTCAAGTAAAATTTTAATAAGTCTTGGCAAAACAAATGACCTTGCAAAAAAATTTAATTAAAATATATGCTCACAGAAAAAGTAATTTCTGACATACAATTAATCATCACATGGCTATTCTGATGCCATATTATGATACTACATTTACTTATTAACTGTGTATATTTATTAATTTTTCATATCCTGAAGACTTTATGCCAATCAATCTACCCCTGCCCCATCTCGGTTATTTGCTTCTTCAAATACCTGTGGGCTAAGAACCACGATACATACATCTCGATCACCTTATAACCAGACGGAGGTACTCTGCACAGGATACTAACTCACCATCCTGAACATCTTACTCTAGAACACACTACTAAAAACAAGCACGGACACAGAAAGTTGACTACCCATTATTACAGCTAAAAAAAAACTGCAATATAATTCATACCGTAATTATAAAAAATTCACAAAAAATACTGAATAATAACCAAAAGCACACAATAAAATCGAAGTAAAAACATGAGGTTCCCATTAGAATCCAGATATTTAATCACTGGGGTGAATGCGCACAGTGCCCCCTGCCGCCAGGACTTCGCAACTGCACAGGCCACTTGTCACAACTGGCCCCTGCGCAGCCCTGACTAAGGCCCTGGCCACAGATCTGTACTGGGGTGCTCCGAAGGGCTCCGTCAACAATCTCAGGGCCACTGCTGATGGTGCCGCTTCCATCTCAGCACTGAACTGAACATCTGCCCTCCCACACCAAAACATGCTATGTGTCAGGGGACGCAGGACTCCAACTTATTAAGGTGACACATGCTTAAAAATCCTAAAGGAAGTAACAAAAGCTCCAAGCTCTCTGTTCAAAGGATTTACGCAAAAACAACACCAGCAGAAGAAACGACATCCCGTTTGTCAGAGTCACTGGAGCAGGAGACAGGGCAGGTGGGCACTCCGTGACTCCCAAACACATGACTTCAATGTCATTTTAAGCCTGAGCACTTCTAGAAATGGGTAAATGACTAGGCTCGTCTAAATATAAAAATTACCAAATTATTAAAATCCTCTAAAAATTCCCTTTGTCTTTACGGAGTAGCTACTACATTTAACATAGAAACATTTTATGTTTTCTATTTCACCTAGACATGGCCAAGGTATAAAGGGAGGGATACGATTGTTGATGAAGCATTTTCTTTTTTAATTTGATGACATGAAAAGGAAATAACCGTAAGGTTCTGCCAACATCCCAGAGGTGTCAGCTGGACCTCGAGAGTGGACTCCTGACCCAGACCTCTCCGTGTCCCCCTCCTCCCGCCCTCAGGCACCCAGGGCTCAGCCCCACCTGCTGTCCTGCCGGCGGTAGTCCAGCTGCTGCTCCACGCGGACCATGGGCTTCACCATCCCTCGCTCGGCAGTGCTGGAGGCGGACGGCGTCCTGTCGCTGTCCAGCCTGGCGGCGCTCTGAGCCGAGGAGACATAAGCGTGTAAACAGAGCACGCGGCCAACCGCGTGTGACACCTGGTGTCGCAGGGGACACGGGCGGGGCCAGGGGGACAGCGCAGACCGGGAGGGGCCACAGCTGTGCACCCGAGCACAGAGCCCACGTCCCGGGCAGAGAGCAAGGCGGGTCTGAACCCGCTGCTGGGGCGTGGCAGAGAGGGCCCCCGCGGCGTCTGGACCCCATGTGCTTCCTGGGTCAGGACGCAGCAGAGAGGGCACACGCACGGTGTGAAGATGCAGGTGTCTGTTTTACTTGTGAGTTTTAAGAAAGGATGTGCAAGCTCACTCATGATAGCGCAAAACCCAGTGAAGAGCTCAGTGCAGAAACCAGCTCACTTCCTGCCCTTCATCGACACAGGAAGGACACCACACAGCAACCCACAGGGGGCTTGGACGCCCCTCCGAGCAGTGCCTGTGGCCTGCAGCCTGCAGCCGGTGGGGACGGTGACCGATGCTCAGAGGACCATCAGAACAGACCAATACATTTAGGGGCAAAGTTCACCACAGCAAAAATCTCTGCAAGACTTCTCACCACACCCCTCCCTGTAGAAGCTAAGCGCAGGCATTGAGCCCACCAAGCAGAGATTTACACTGTGCAGAACCCATCTCCCCACTCCTCACATCGCCCCCAAATGAGGCTACACAGCCTGCTTTGAAAAGATACTTTTCTGCATGTTGTAAACAGCATGTAGTATGATTTTTGTATTACAGAACAGTGACAGGGAAGTGGAAAGACCCAGCTACCCCATATCCCAGCCACCAACCAACCCACACCAGGAACCAGCAGCAAGACAGCAACTACAGAGAAGGAAAACGCCTGCTGTCTCAGGCCCCAGGTCGGTGGGTGCCTCTCCCCAGCGGTGGGCCGGTACCTAGAGAAGGAAAACGCCTGCTGTCTCAGGCCCCAGGTCGGTGGGTGCCTCTCCCCAGCGGTGGGCCGGTACCTAGAGAAGGAAAACGCCTGCTGTCTCAGGCCCCAGGTCGGGGGGGGCCTCTCCCCAGCAGTGGGCCGATACCTAGAGAAGGAAAACGCCTGCTGTCTCAGGCCCCAGGTCGGGGGGTGCCTCTCCCCAGCGGTGGGCCGGTACCTAGAGAAGGAAAGCGCCTGCTGTCTCAGGCCCCAGGTCGGGGGGTGCCTCTCCCCAGCGGTGGGCCGATACCTAGAGAAGGAAAACGCCTGCTGTCTCAGGCCCCAGGTCGGGGGGGGGCCTCTCCCCAGCGGTGGGCCGATACCTAGAGAAGGAAAACGCCTGCTGTCTCAGGCCCCAGGTCGGGGCGGGGGGGGGCGCCTCTCCCCAGCGGTGGGCCGGTACCTAGAGAAGGAAAACGCCTGCTGTCTCAGGCCCCAGGTCGGGGGGGGGGGGGGCCTCTCCCCGGGGGCAGGCTGCTACTCAGAGCAAGCACAGTGCAGGCGAGGAGGGTCCCGGGCAAGCACAGTGACCGTGGAGAGGAGGGGACGGCCGGGAGCTGGGACCAAGCTGAGGTCACAAGAGCAGCAGCCGTGACCTCTGGGGTGACCTGATCTGAGCGAGGAGTGTGGTCCCAGAGGACAAGGCTGGGACGCACGGCCGGGAGAGGAAGCGGAAGATCCCGGACTCTGCAGCCGTTCCCGCGGACCACGAGAGACGAGAGCGGGCAGAACGCCCACACGCAGGCCCCGCAAAGCCTGCACCAAGCTTCCCTGCGGGGTGGTCAGCGGTTCGCCACTGCGCCTGCTACGCTCACACAATCCCATCAGCGACGGACAAGCACCCACCCTGCTCGCTGGTAAGGCCGTTCCACTGTGAACGTCTCCTCCTAAATCGAAAGTCGTCTCCTGAACAATTCTGTTGAGATAAAAAAAGAAAGCCACAGAATTAATAGTTCTCAAATGATCAGAGGCAGTCTCTTCTTCATAGTACAAATTGTTAAATATCCCAGTGTTCAAAGATCTTCAAGAAATCACTTTACTGTCAGAATATGAATCTAATGAATAAAAAAAACTATACTAACTTTATAAACTGTTTTTTCTAACATATACTGAATGCTGTCAAGATCAGAGTTTTTAAAACTAGGAACACAAAATTGAAAAGAAGCATTAAAAAAAAGAAAAAAAGCTCTTCCACTGTGCGAGTTTGTTAATTTTCCAGTGTAACATGGACCCGTTTGCACGGCATTCTTGGTATGTGAACAATTACAAAGTGACTCTATGGTGACTTTGACGGCAGAGCTCACGATGGCATGGTGTTCAGGGATGTGGACAAGATGAACACGCAGGTTCATCGACATAGCACCAGACCGATCACCCCACACTGATCATCAACACCAACTGTGATGTCCTGGGGATACCCCACCACCAAGGCTTTGAAGACAGAGACACCAAGTCTGCAGCTAAGAACACACACACATCATGCATCCTTTTTCTTTTTTTAAGATTTTTTTTGATATGGACCATTTTTAGAGTCTTTATTGAATTTGTTATAATATTGCTTTTGTTTTATGTTTTGGGTTTTTGCCTGTGAAGCGTGTGGGATCTTAGCTCCCTGACCAGGGATTGAACCTGCACCTCCTGCATTGGAAGGCGAAGCCTTAACCACCAGACCACCAAGGAAATCCCACATCATGCATCCTTTGAGGAACCAGAATAAGAACAGCAAATGAAGACTGAGTGTAAATAAATGAGACAGGGACTAAAAAGACAACGGAAAAGCCCCTAAGAGACGGCTCTTCTAAAAGGTGAGCAAAACAAACCTGCAGCTAGACCGACCGAGAGAAACAGAGAGGACTCAAGTCAACTAGGAATGAGAGAAAAGACACTACAGTCAACACCACAGAGACACATCGGAACACACCACTATGAACAACAATGCACCGACTGGACAACCCAGAAGAAATGGATAAATTTCTAGAAACAAAATCTTGTAAGACTAAAGCATGAAGAAATAGAAAATCTGAACAGATTAATCACTGGAAAGGAGAGTGAATCAGTAATCAAAGGTCTCCCAACAAACTAAAGTCCAGGACCAGATGGCTTCACTGGTGAGTTCTACCAAACATTTAAAGAAGAGTTAACACAAATGCTCAAACTAATTCAAAACATGGGGGGGGGGGGACACTTTCACACTCACTGTATGAGCCATCATCACCCTGATGCCAAAAACAAGGCAGGGACACCACAAGGAAAGAGACTTTCAGGCCAACAGTCCCGCTGAGCACAGACGCGGACGTTTCAACAGAACACCAGCAGCCCAGTGTGACAGTGCAGTGAGACGCTCATTCACGAAGGTAACGGTGACAGATCCCAGCAAGGCCAGATGGTTCAACACTCACAAGTCAATCCACGTGGTACATCACGTTAACGAAAAGGAAGGGTAAAAATCATGATCATCTCAACACACACAGAACAAGAGTCCACAAAACTCAACATCCATGCATGGGACCCCCGTGGTGGCCCAGGGTGAAGAGGCTGCCTTCCAATGCACGCGGCATGGGTTCAATTCCTGGTCGGGGAAGTAAGATTGACCCCACCAGCCTTGGGGCAATGAAGCCGCGTGCCCCAACTAGAGAGGCCCCTGTGGTCTGCAGCCAGGAAAACCCGGGTGCCGCGGCAGGACCCGCAGGGCCAGACAGAGGCTGCTTCCACACACTGGCAATGGTGCCAGAGAGGCCAGGAAAACAGTTCCAATTTACAATGGCATCAAAAAGAATAAAACACCTAAAGTTAACCAAGGAAGTAAAAAACAAATACACTGAAAATTTTAAGACATTCATCACAGAAATGGAAGACGACACAAATAAATGGAAGATACTAGATATTTGTGTTCATGGACTGGAAGAATTAATATAGCTAAAATGTCCATTCTACCCAACGTAAGACCAGAAACTGTAAAACTGAGAGGAAAACACAGGCAGGACACTCTTTGACATAAATCACAGCAAGAGCATCCGTGACCCATGTCCCAGAGGAGTGGAAATAGAAACAAAAATAAACAAGCGGGACCTAATTAAACTTAAAAGCTTTTGCACAGCAAAGGAAACTATAAACAAAATGAAAAGATAACCCTCAAAATGGGAGAAAATAACAGCAAATGAAACAGCTGACCAAGGATTAATCTCCAAAATATACAAGCTGTTCATGCAGCTCTATACCAGACAAAAAAAAACAAAAAAAAAAACCTCAATCAAAAAGTGGATGGAGAGACACTTCTCCAACGAAGACAGACAGATGGCTATTAAAGACATGAAAAGATGCTCAACCTCATTCATTATCAGAGAAATGCGAAGAGGTATCAGCTCACATGGTTAGAATGGCCATCTTCAAAAAATCTACAAACAATAAATGCTGAAGAGGGGGTGGTGGAAACAGAACCCTTTTGCCCTGTTGGTGGGAATGTACACTGATAGAGAGTCCTTAAAAAAATAAAAAAACACTAGGAATAAAACTACCACATGACCCAACAATCCCACTACTGAGCATATACCCTGAGGAAATCAAAACTGCAGAAAACACACGTGCCCCAACGTGCATCGCTGCAGTCTTTACAGCAGCTGGAACACGGAGACAACCTAGCTGTCCTGGACAGATGAGCAAAGCAGCTGGGGCACACACACAGCGGGGCATTACTCAGCCAAAACGGGGTGCATTCTGAGTCAGTGCTCATGAGGTGGATGAAGCTATCATACAGAGTGAAGTGCAAGTCAGAAAAACAGTGTACTAAAACATAGGTATCTCGAATCTGGAAAGACGGTGCTGAGGAACCCACGTGCAGGGTGGCAGTGGAGACGCAGAGGACAGATCTGTGGACGCAGCAGGGGAAGCAGAGGGCGGGGCGCGCTAAGAGCAGCGCAGAAACACGCACGTCACGCAAGGAGAGACGGACAGCCACTGGGAGCTTGCCGTGTGATACAGGAGCTCAAATCGGGCTTTGCGACAACCTGGACGGGGGGAGGGAGGCTCCGAGGGAGCGGACATGTACACCTATGGTGGATTCACGCTGACGTGTGGTGGAAGCCAACACAGCACTGCAAAGCAATTATCCTTCAATTGAAAATAAATTTTTTAAAATCGTATCAAAAATAATAACCAAAAAACCAAGGTGATAGATACAAACATACTGATGGTTACCAGAGGCAGAGGGTTTGTGAGTAGAGGGAGGGGGTATCGCGCAGCAGTGACCAGAGTTCAGTGGTCATTAAGAGAGCAATGCTGAGTGTTCTCATATAAGAAATAAACTCCTGTAACTCTGATGGTGAGGGACAGCGCCTACATTTATTGTGACCATTTCATGTATGTGCAAATACTGAATCAGTACATCCCACACCTGAACTAGCATGTAAATTATATCTCATTTAAAAAGTATACATAGATGTGTGTAAAAAAGAATACACGAGTTGCTTACCTAGAAGTTTATGTAATGGTTTAACATTAGAATAATACTAATTTTTATAAAAATGAAAAGTCTGTTCTATTTATGGATGTACATGCAAGTACTGGTATAATCAACTACTATGCAGTTTCCACTAGTTTTGCAGGAAAAAGATACTAGAGATTGAGTTTCACAGCAGCACCACCCTGACACAATCTCGGCTCATCTGGAGACGTAACTAGACTAGACACTGCAGCCCCGCGAAGCAGGACCCTCTGCAGCAGGAGGCCGAGTTCTCAGACAGACACACATCCCAGCAAGACTGAAAGACTGACTATAACAGGGGACACAGGCAGCTTACAAAACTGCGTTTATGACAGCGATGCCATAACGAACACCATCGGAAGAGAGATAGCACAAAGCCTAGTAGCCAGCCCCACTGGACAAGAGGCGTGGCGAGGAGAGGGCAGGCAGAGGCTGGAGGCCCCGCGCCGAGGAGCCGGCAGGAAGGAGAGAGGGCAGGCAGAGGCTGGACTCCCCGCGCCGAGCCGGCAGGAGGGAGAGAGGGCAGGCAGAGGCTGGACGCCCCGCGCCGAGGAGCCGGCAGGAGGCAACACGAGGAGACTGAAAGCCCAGGCAGGGCTTGAAGCACGCGCCCCAGGAGGCTCCAGGGCGGGCAGGGACCAGGGCGGACCTGCGCTGCCCGTGGCCTGGGCATGCGACACCAGGGGGCAGGCTACGCACCTGCTGGCCTGAACACCAGCTGTAGAGCCGTGGGCCAGCACACTTGCTAACAACAGTTACTATCAGAGAAGACATCTTCCTCCCGGCCCCCGCAGACAATGAGCATTTCCTTTCCAGCCACAGGCCTGGGTCGCAGGTCCTCAGAGAGGCACTAGGTGGAGCCACAACACTTTAAATTCTTTTTAAAAGACGGTGTTTTATCACTGGAGAAGGAAATGGCAACCCACTCCAGGATTCTTGCCTGGAAAATCCCATGGACAGAGAAGCCTGGTAGGCTACAGTCCATGGGGTCACAAAGAGTTGGACATGACTAAGTGACTTCACTTTCTTTTCTTTCCTTTCTTTTATCGCTAGTAACAGAAAAGGTACATACACCTCAACAAAACCCTTAGCTGTCTAGATTCAGAACACTGTAACTCAAAGTATGGCTTTAGAGTATCAGCTAAAAGACAAAATTTAAAAAGAATTTAAAAAACCAGCCACAACTTCCAATTTCAAGACGAGGTCAAGACCTTTCTTTCTTCTCTGAAATCAACCCAAACCAACACGAACCTGAACCATAGACCACACACTTTGAATTTTTAGAAATTAAATCACAAAACACACAGTCCATGGCTAATTCACATCTGTTCCAGCATGATCACGCCCTCCAGAGTTCTCAAAGGCACGTGTGCTCTTACCCAGACTTATGTCTGGGGCCCTTCACAGTCAGGCCCCCGTCCACGGATCTCTTGGGGAGCGTGTGGTCCTGGCTGGGGTCCACGAACTTAAACACGTGGGAGGCCCCAAACTGCACCTTCATCCCGCTCTGCAGCATCGTGGTCTCCGAGATGCGCTGCCCATCCACATAGGTCTCAGCATCCATGCTTCTTGGTGTGACCGTGACCACCCCGTCCATGTTTGTGAGGTCACAGTGATGGGGCTGAATGCCTGAACCAAACAACTGGGAAGGAAGGAAAAGCCAAGGAACTTCCGTCAAGCATAGAGCATTTGAAACTTAATTTTAAGACTCTGAGCCCCCCTTTCATGATAAATACAACCTAACAAACTCTGGATTCTTGGTGGTTTCAGGGAATTGCCCCCAATAGTAAAACAGTAATTAAATACTGTCAGAAGAACTATTTTATTTTTAGCTTCCAGGAGCCTGATACAAGGTGTACCATAACTGCATCATCTCGAGTGCTTATGAGATGATAATGGATCCGTCCAGACAGATCGCTTGATCGCTCTGCTGTGGGAAGGACGGAGAAGGAAAATGACACGGGTCCTCAGCCCCGCGGCTCCACAGCTGAGCAATGAGGGCACAGAGAGCGCGCGGCCTGCCGAGCTCGGCCCCAGGAGGCGAGGGCCGAACGTCCTCACTCAGAGACACGCGGGGCCTGGAAAGTCGAGCCCGAGGGCTGTGCCGAGCGGGCGTGATACCTGCCACCTCCCGGGGCCTCCCACTGCATGTGGGACCCCAGGCGCTCTTGCTCGTGTTCTCTCCTTAATCCTGAAGCACCCTATAAGAGCAGCCCCGTGTCCTGGAGAAAAATGAACAGGCCAGGGCCTGAGAAAGGCTGGAGGACGGCGGCTCACACCGCAGCCGGGAGCACGCACGCCATCCGCATCGACCTGCGAGCCGCAGTCACGGCCCCGCCCTGGGACCACCCACCGCCCGCGCACCTGGATGGAGCTGTCGTCGAGCTTCTCGGTCCCCACCTCGGTGACGCTGAGCTGAAGGCGGTACAGCTTCGGCTTGTCTCTGGAGTCAGAGCCATCTGCAGGAGAAGAACAGGCTTCACTGCGAGCTGAGGGCTCTCGCCACGTGATTTGAGACGAGCAAGCAAACAACAGGCGATCTTTGAAAAGACACACCCGCTCTCAGTTCGCAGGGTTTCTTTTCAAAGAACTCCCCAGGTTTACGTCATGCAATTTAACTAACTGGGTACACAAACTACAACTGAAGACATGAATGTTGCAGCTTCTGTTTATTACACTGCAAGGCACTGACACCGACGTTCCCACTAAGTTTTCTTATCTCGTAAAAAATGCTTCCCGGCTACATGGTCCTGGACCTGGCCGGCGCTGAATGAAGACAGGGAGGAGGTGGGCACCTCCTGATGGGCCGTCTCCCCGCGAGCCCAGCACACCGCCCAAGGGGGAAATGCCAGCCCTGGGCTCTCCTGGATCCGGGGGCAGACCAGGGAGGCAGTCCCACGCCACCCAGCTGCCACCGCGCTGAGTCCTGTAGGGACGGCGGTGAGGCGCTCACCTCCATGGAGCGCAACTGGGGAGAAGCACAAACAGAGACTGGAGCTTTCTGTGTCATTTTAAACTTCCCGGAACCGCGGAGATGTTCCCCCTGCCTCTGCATGAACTTCTCTGACCTGACAGGGTGGCCTGAGGGGCGGGGAGGAGGGGGAGGGGGACCACACGCACGGAGACCCCTGCCCACTGAGGCCAGGCCGCTCGCCCCCACATCCCGGCTAGCGCAGGTCACTCAAACTCCTGCCCTGGGGCACTGGCGGGACCAGAGGCTCGCTGACTTCAGACCCACACCAGAGCACACACAGATGATCCCAGCTCTCACAGACCACAAGAGCGGGAACACGGACACACAGACGTCAGGAGACTCTCTAACTTGTGAGTGCACACAATAGCAGACTGATGACAGGTTTCCTGTCTGCAAGCTCCTGCAGCAATCCTGAGATCAGGTGAAGAGGAGACCAAGCCGGGTCCACAGACTCCACTGCGAACAGACCCCGCACAGGGCATCCCTGTCGGAGGCGGCCGCAGCGGCGGCCTCTTCTGAGCCATTCTGTTTCACCTCTAAGTGCTGACCCAGAAGGAAGCAACCGTTGTGTGTGGCCTTCCTGGACCGGCCGATTCCGTTAGACCTGCCAGGGGCGTGTTACTCTGCTGGCTTTCAACACCTCGGACAGCCCTGGGGTCAGTCCCGGCTGAGAGGCACCTTCGGCCCTGCCGCCCGCCTCCTCACCCCCCACCCGAGCTCCCGTGAGGACAGCGTCTAAAACAGTCTCTTTACAGCTGGCACTCAGTGCGGAGCGTGGGCCACAGCGTGCATCCCGTAAAGACAGGATGGGTTAACACTGAGTAACTACTAACTAAAAATGAAGAGAACAGAATATTGCAATATGGCTACACAGAATTACACTAATGAATCATAAAGAAAGCAGAAGAAGCAAATTAGTGATCAAGAACAACTGTCTCAATTACAATGCTTAAAAAAAAAACAGAAGAACAAGAAAAATGTGTTTAGCGGTGAAAAAAATATGCACAGTTGCTTTCTTCTTAAATTCTGAATGCTTCTGAAGGGCATCTTGTGAGCTAACAAACTGACGATACAAACTTTTTTACACGGACATTACAGTCGCGAATTAAGAAACATAAAAAGAAAGGGAGCGCTACAGACTTCCCCATCCTCTCCTTTCTCACCACTTCCCTGTAGCAGAAACCTGCCAGCAGACGAGCAGAAGCCACCTTTCCGAGTCCCTCCTTTCTCACCACTCCCCAGGAATAACACGAGAGAGACACCTTCACAGGTGTGTCGTCCTGAGTACCCCAAACGGGGGCCACAGATGCCGGAGACAGAATGGAGCCCAGGGGCCATGGGGAGAATTGGAAATGGAGGCAAGGAATATGCAAGTAGCCAACTTCTCATTGGTCCGTGCCCCCCTCCTCGGCAAAAGCAGTCATCTCAAGGGCCAGACACACACTACAACTGTTGCTTTTCTGTAAACAGGTATTCTGTAAACACTGCTTCTGCCTGGAGGGCGGGAGCACCCTTCTCCTTTCAAGGACAGCAGCTCTGGCATGGCCGGAAGGCGGAGGTAAGTCCTCCTGAGGAACCCGACCACACACACCAGTGCTTCTCCCAGAGGCTTTCAGTTTTGTTTTTTTTTTTACATTTTGCACTTTTGTTGTTGTTCAGTCCCGCCCGACTCTTTGCGACCCCATGGACTGTGGCACGCCAGGCTTCTCTGTCCTTCACCATCTCCTGGAGCCTTGCTCAAACTCATGTCCATCGAGTCAAATAGGTATGTAACACAATCACATGGTTCAAAATTCAAAAGGCACAACAAGTCCAGGTGAAACATCCTCGCCTCCACCCAGAAGCAAACCTGCAGCATCTACATTTAGCAGATGGAACAGCCTGATACCCAGATTCTTCCTTCTCCGGTGCTCACACACCTGTTAGAGACCCACTCAGGGCTACCAACAAGATGCATGAAACCCGGTCAGACGTCCAACACCTGACTAACCAGTGTTTCCTCTGAAATTCACTCTGAACTGCATTTGCCACCTCTGCCACCACAACTCCGCTGCTACGCACTCTGCCCTGCACGCTGGTCTGCTGCAGCTTTCGTCGCCAATCCCAGCTGTAAGGGCGAACAGCAGAGCCCACTCTGACACAGCCTGAGAGCCAGTCCCAGGGCGCCTGCATTCTCACTGACAGCACGCCCACACAGCCAGCTCTGCCTCTGCCGCTGACCACCTCCTCTGGGTGGCCGGCTGGACAAAGGGGCTGGGGTCCTGTCGGCCACCCCGCGCGGATGGAGGGCTGACCGGGACCATGGCCCAGGTGCCGTGCTCGACACCGGAAACACCCCGTGAGGAAGCGAATGATGTTCATGTGCTCAGAGAGCTCACACTTCAACAAACCAAGACAACAGTTAAGAAACCATCAAAAAAAGAAATGTGAACCTTACTGAAACATGATTATTGAGAATATTTTCACTTTCACTAACTCTACTGGAAAAAAAAAAAAATCCAAAAAACTAAGTCTCCTCAAATAGAACTGGCATAAAAACTAAGAACACTTAGGTAAAGTTGATGACTATATCATACATATTTTTGGTACATGCCAGGTAAAAAAAAGAAATGTATTTCTCTCTCTACTGTCTCATTATTTTACATTATGAAATTAAAAAACACAGGAAAATACTAAAGAGTCCTTCTCAGGAATAAAATAACAACTGAAACATGTCTAAGACTCTATTTATGTATTATATCAAACCAGGTGATAAACACTGGGTTTGATCCCTGGGTTGGGAAGATCCTCTGGAGGAGGGCATGGCAACCCACTCCAGTATTCTTGCCTGGAGAACCCCATGGACAGAGCAGCCTGGAGGGCTACAGTCCACGGGGTCCCATAGAGTTGGACACGACTGAACAACTAAACACAGCACACAGCACAGGTAATAAATACCACTTGTTTCTATTTTTCTTTAAAAAAAGAACAAAACCCCCCAAACTCCAAGTTTGGCTAGTATCTGATCAAAACCTGTATGATCAGTTTGAACAAAGTGACAAAGCAATGACAAAGTGACAAAGATGCTAGAAGGTGAATAAGCTTTATATTTGAGAATGTATTTGACTGTTACATTCGACGTGCAAAAAATGACATTTAAAATATAAAAACAGACCAAAGAAATAATTCCACGTACTATTTAAGATAGACTACTGCACAAAATTTGAGACACAAACCCCAAGTAAGGAAGCACAGCTCTGCTGACAAGAGATGAGTTTCAATCGGGAGGACGAGGACAGCCCTGAGGACGCCTTGCATCCGGCCCGGCCCCCACTGAGGGCCCCTCCAAGGCCCAGGCGTGAGTGGCCCCCGCTGGCCAGCAGGCTCCTCCTTTGCAGCCTTCTGGGGCATCACACACGTAGCCCTCCCCACGGACCGTGCCCCACCTCTCTGCCCAGGCCCCTCCTCTCTGGCCCTGGATCTCAGGCTGTCTGTTCCCCGGCCATCTCCTCCTCCCCCGCCTTGCCCCCTCTTCTTGACTGTCTTGGGGAGAGGGGAGTAGAAGGTCAAGAAAACAGCTCTCTCCCTTCCTCACTCCAATTCTCACTTAAAACTTATCCTGAACAAAGGAACTGGAAATTTCTGCAAAACAAGCTTCTTTTAAATGAATTCTGGATATGGGACAATTACTAGATACATATAAAATGAAAGGACATTAAACTCTTAGGAAACATTATTTATATTAATTGAAAAATGAACACATCACGCATGTGGTCAGTTCACATCATTCTGCCCGTGCGGGGGTTAGTGCTCTAGTTAAGAAAGTGGTAGGAAGCAGAGCGTTACCTTCAGGAGTGTGATAGCTGTAGCAGGCAAAGTGGTTCCTTCTCCCTGGGGTCGGAGACATACACGGCACCCAGGTGAAGGCCGCAGCAGGACAGAGGCCATGCAGAAGGCGCGGGGAGAGACAGGAGAGAGTGAGCTGCAGGGGCGGCTGTCCGTGGGAAAAGCACATCACCCGAGCCCGGGGCGCGGGCACAGAGCCGTGCTCCACGCGGCCGGGTGTGAGCGACTGAGGCCCGCTGTTAGGGAGACACTGAGACAACAGGTGAGTGCCCGAGGCGGGCAGCAGTTAGTCCAGCACAAAGGCTCCCACCCAGCCCAGAGAGGAACATGACTCTCTACCCCCGTCCCTCCAGAAGACAGTGGAAGCGTCCACCCACATCTCAGGAGCCTGGACAACACCTGTGGGCCTCAGCTCCCGCGGGCCTCAGCTCCCCCGCCCCCGATCCCCCACCAAGGACGCGTGCTGGCTGACACACGGCGACGCGGTCCTCACCCCCGACCCGCCAGCATCCACCGGCAGGCGGCAAACACCCTCTCACTCAGCACGCAGACCGTGTCAGTGCGCGGCGGCACCGTCAGGTCAGGGAACTCTGGGGAGACCAGCTCTGGGGTGAGAAGCCCCCCGGCGAGCGCGGCCTCTGTGAGCAGAGAGGCTCCCCCGTGGCCCCGAGCCTGGCAGGGCGGCAGACCCCCAGGTGCACGACGCCCGCCTGCTCAGACTGAGACAGCGAATTGCACAAGGGCAGTGAGACCTCTGGCCCCTCTGTGCCCGCTGCCCAGGCACTGGAGGCAGCCCCGTGACCCTGACTGGAGGTGGCAGAGGCCGGGGCACTAACAAGTGCGTGATGCATGCTGCCAGTGTCTGGTGGCAAGCAGGACACAGCGACATCTGTGCAGGACCTACCATCCATCCCTCTATACCTACAGAACAGTTCTATGCGTTTTATGACGGGAGACGGTAAGCATGACATAAGCAGTCAAAACAGCACTTCTCGCCAAAACGTGAGTCCCAAGGTCAGGGGTTTAATCTGACTTGCTGCTGCTGCACCTCCAAGGCCCAGAGCAGTGTCTGACACCTAAGAAGCCCTCGGGAAGCACTCGTCACCCTGCCTCTGCTAACACCCAAGTCAACTTGCTGTTCTTCATTTCAAAACCATTCTATGTCAGCTGCTGTGCATCAAGTCTCTCTGGGCTAATGCTATTTTCAAACATTTTGGTTTGGGAGAAAATAATCATTAATTTCCAGCACATAATGCAAAATTTTAAAGGACAGACCAAATGCCCAAAGACCCTGAAGACTAAGTTCCAAAACCAATGGCCGTCTCCCAGTCCCCGTGCACTGCTGCACACATCTGAGAACCAATCCTCACACCCGGACGCCAGACACGCCAGGTTTCCAAACCAAAGTGTCCATCAACTTTTCAGCCAGAGAACTCAGAGACAGAGCAATACTCACATTTCCCCACAAACAGCTAATCAATTTCAAAAAACCTTCAGATGTAGAAGCTACGGCCTGCAGCACTGGGCCACAGACTATAACCTACACTGTCAGTCAAAGTAGCTGCCATTTTCCCCGTATCAACACCACACAACCCAGCGGACACCACACCGACCCCAGCCCACCAACAGTGAGCCGTAATTTTGTAAGCAAAAATAAATACTCAGGAATCAAAGAGCAAAACACACTTCCTGCCCAAGGATCCACAGGCTATCTACATAACAGTTTGCTTTTAGCTAACTTTTTCTAGGATTACTTACTAGGCTTCATTTAAAAGAAGCTCTGGGTGGGAGGGTCAACTCTGTTCTTGACAGCATTTTACGGTACAGGTCACACGGCACCATTTTAACCAAATAAATAGAAATGCCGCAGTTTAGCTGAATGATACATGTGTCACACATGTATCAAGTATGTAAGCAGATTAAGTACATCACATAACGACGTGTGTGTGTGTGTGTTAAGACATTTTTAAGAAAGTCAATGCATTTCTCTACCTGGTGGCTAACTTGTAACAACAGCTTTAACTTTGTGAGAGAGCTCAACAAACACACCATTTAGAAGGCTGACCCAAATATAAACTTAGTCTATTATCATTTAAAACTAAGCACATACCCTTCCTCTTACACATGGGCTTCTTAGATACACAGCTAAGTTCACAGACATTCTTTAGGACGTTCATACACTGAGCAACAGTGTGACACATACACACACACCTGCCTCTAGAAAATCTGTCCTGAGAAGAATATGTCCTGAGTTTCCTGATTTTTAGTAGCTTAAGTATTTTACAAGGTTGTTTTGGGAAAAAAAATTTTTTTAAGGGAGTAGATCATTTAAACGACTCAAAAACTCTCTATATTCACTATGTAAGATTTTGTTTTTCAATATCCATTTTTGTGCATGTGAAGTTTATTCTTATGCATGAATATACATATCCTATGATCTTAAGGGTTTTTGTTTTTTAATAAATACCGTCTTATGATGCTACATAAAAAAATAAACTGTCTAAAAAAAAAAAAAAGGATGTCAAGCAAAAGACAGGCTATTCAAGTAACGTTCACCACAAGCGCAGCACGCCCAGTGTGGCCTCTCACCCGGGCTCAGCTCCACGAGGTAGGGCAGCTTCTCGGGGGGCAGCGTGGAGCCATAGGCCGACCCATCGGCTTTCTCCTTCCCCTGCAGGGGCTTCCCGTCCGCGTGCTTCTTACTTTTCTTTGGGATGTGGTCTGGCGGCCTCCTCTTCAACTGAAAGACTAAAATCCCTAGAATAGAAACACTGTAAGTTATCAACCAAGTCAAGTGAATGTTGATGGACAGCTGATCGACCATCAACTGCCCAAGGTTCATCAAGAAAATGCAATTTAACATCTCCCAAGGAGGCTCTAGTGGTAAAGAATCCACCTGCCAATACAAGAGATGCAGGAGACTTGGTTTGATCCCTGGGCTGGGAAGATCCCCTGGAGGAGGAAACAGCAGACCACTCCAGTACTCTTGCCTGGAGAATCCCATGGACAGAGGAGCCTGGTGGGCTACAGTCCATAGGGGTGCAAAGAGTCGGACACAACTGAAGCGACTTAGCATTGCACACCATTGCCCAAGGCATAATTAAGAAAAGCTCACGCAATTTAACTTTGTGTTCTTGAAAACTCTAGTAAGCAATTTCCCCAAAGCATTTTAAATTAACAATTATGCAAACATGTTATATGCTTGAAAAACAACCTATTTCAGAATAACTGTTTCTATTGGCAAATGACCCTATGATCAATACGTCCATACACACATGTAGTAACATAGGCGCACATTAATACATATACACATATATTCTTAATTCAACTGAATTAACTCACAATTAAGAGCAATTTGACTTTAATAAAGTTTAACTTCATACTGTCAAGAAAAAGTACTAAGCAAGTGTAGTTTAAAAGTATCAATCTACATTCAAATATGTCAGGATTAACTGGCAGTAAGTTTTCACGTCTTCATCAACACAAAGGCCCTCCATTGAGCAACAGTCAGCTTAAGAAGCATATCTGAAAGCAAGAAAACTGTTCTCTCATCAAAAACGCACCTCTGTGCCCTCACCACTGCGAAATAATCAGGTGAAATTGTCTGAGCGGTGGAAAGGTCTGGATTCCTTATACAAAATGACTAAAGGATCAGACAGCATTTAGGGTTGAAGTTATCTTCCCTATTACGACGAGCCTGTCCACACGTCACCAGTCCATCTGGTCAGCAGGGAAGGAACCAGGTGCCAACAGGTGACAGCCCCTCATGACCTGACAAGGTGCTCTGGTCCGGCTTCTGCAGGACACAGTGGCCCCGCTGCTGCGTGACAGTCTGTGCCGGCCCCCTGCCAGACCCACCTGGCCCAGAGCAGCCTCAGGAACAGGGGACCAGCTAGCTAGGAGGCCCCAGCTAGTCCCAGAAGGAGGTGGAAGACGGCCCAGCGCACAGTCCTAAAGAGACATGGCTACACACACCTCCTGCCTCTTCCGCCAGGTTAGACCCTAACCTATCACATATCCCAGAGCTAATTCTTTAACAAACATAATCTCTCTTTACCTCTGTCACTTGGCCATTCCCTGAAGATCTGTAAAGGACACTCATCATCATCAAGGATAACTTCTTTAGCACCTTTTTCATCAGAATGCTGGGCTCCAGGAGGAAGCATGACCTAAGAGGGAATAACAATTAACTGTGACTACGCCCAAAAGTGAATCAGCGGGTATTTAGAAGAATTTTTTGTTTTTGAGGAAATAAAAAGTCACTGTAGAACTGACTTTTTCAAACACTATAAACAATCCTGAAAAACATGGACAAAAGTGAGGGAAAAGTTTCCAATAAAAACCTCAGCCAGCTGACCAGACTGCTGTTACTGGCCTGCCCCTCTGTCCCGCCCCAAACGCTAGTCAGGTCTGCTCCCTGACACGCTCTGTTGGCAGGACTGCCTGCAAAGCTCAACCTGTAGGAGGTTCTTAAAGAAAGATTACTGCATCATCGCAGACCCGCTGGTCCACAGCCTACCTTCCACTATCACACTGGTGTTAACAAGGCAGTTTCATCTAACTCGTCCTCTGCAAGAGAACCATCACAGAGCAGCCGCAGAAGAGACCAGCTTTCCTTTTCTTACACAAAATTCATATTATGATTAAATTATAATCAGATAGTTTAGATGCAGTACACAGTCATTCATTCAACACGGGCTTTAAGGTACTGCATGCATGATACTCACACATCTGCAGCACTGTATTACTTTTTATTCCGTTTTAACAGCAAGCAATTTTCTTAATCATTAGAGAAAACCACCCATAACAGAGAGAAAAGAGCCAGTGACCAGGGCTCGGTCTCCAATGCCCTGCTGAGTTCCAGCCCATCTCTCAACACCAACCAACACATGACTACAGAAAACAAAGCCAGTCACTGGCACCGGAGATTGTTTTCAACCTCGAGTTAATTCAATAATGTTCTGAGAGACATTATGCCCATTTACATCATATGTGCATATAGCAAGTGACTTGGATGTCTATAGAACTGTAAAACTTCTCTCTACACTGCTACAAATTACCCTAAAAAGACAAGGTTATTACTAACACAACACACCCTTACACTAAGGTAACTGACATTTCCTCATAGTGTCTTGTACTAAATGTAGCATCCCGGGCTTGGAACGCACGCTGCTCCAGGGTCTGATTCGCACTTGTCTCTTCGGTCTCACACTCTGCCAAGTGGCCTCAGAGAGCAAGTCCCTCGGAACCTCTCCAGATTCTCCGCCAGGCCATGAGACCCCACGCTGCACTGCACCTGCAAGGCGCCCCCCAGCTTTGGGGTCCAGTGAGTACCCCCTCTCACCCCTCGGCTCGGGGACAACTCCTCCAGGGAGCCTTCCCTGACCGCCGTGCTCGCGCAGACCACCTACATTTCTCACTCTCCGCCTGTCTCCCTTTTCTATGAACTCTTCTGAAGGCAGGTCTTAGCTTTGACCTGACACAGAATCTAACACAGTTAGCACAGTATCTAACAAGGAAGAGGAACCTACGTATGCACTGAATAACTCAGTGAAGAGACACAGCAGATAACTGAATGAGTATGAAAGAGCCTCATATCACACGACCAGTGAGATGGCAAGAGAGCGAAGGATTTCTAACTCAAGGCTAACAGCAGTCATCAACCCCTAACTCATTCTGCCTAAACTAGCAGGGAAAGAAGAAAAAACTGCTCAAGAACATAGTATTTAGAACAAAAACCCCAAACTACGCGACCCTCAAAAGAGATCGAATGATTTCAAAGAGACTGTCAGAAAAAGCCCAAAGAAAGTATTTTATAATTTCATGACTGACTAAGGTGTGCTTTCATTTTCTCATTTTCATCAATAAAATCAGGCGGAAATTAAGGAAAGGGAAAAACACATCATGAAGTCTACTACTACACAGTCTCTCAAATGCAGCTTCATGGAACTGAGAATCACCGATCAGACTTACACACACTAAAAACGCTCCCCTGGCAGACACCTGAGCCTCAGCCCCAAGCGTCGGACAGTGGTGGCTAGCTCCAGCCTTCGGGGTCACAGCCTGACAGGCCCAGGTGGAAAACAGTCAGGCCTCTGTTCGGCAGTGCGGACTCATATTCACAGCACTGCTTTACTGCTTTTATCCTCAGACACTTTCCACAGCAGCTATTAACTGGAAGTATGAGGAAAAAGGACCAAAAACCCCAACTCCTTCAGGTCTGGGAGACACACTAGTGTTATTCCTCTCTCCCCACCTCCTGTTGCTCCTTGTACCCGACCCTCCGTCAGGAGATCCTAAATCCCCCATCTCCTCTATTTCCGTTGTCTGCAGACGTCCTTCACGCCGCCTCTCGGCCTCCTGCTAACACTTCACCCCCGGCCCTCCTCTGCAGGCTCCTTCCTCCCCCAGCACTCTGGTCCATTCCCCCAAGCACCGGCCAGCCCGTCTGTCTCAAGCCTCAGCTTTGTTCCATCTACTTTGTCTCTTTTATCTCAGGTTCTCTCATCTGCTTGGGTTGGTCTGTCTTTCACCTTAAAGGCATTTTCCGACATCTGTGGAGTCTGGGTCGTCCTCTCACGCTGACGGTGAGTCCAGGGAGAGCGGGTGGTTCTGGGGAGGGTGGCCGCTAGTGAACCAGGATGTCCAAAGGTCAGAGTACATACAGACTGCTCTTCCCTGAGAACCGGTGCCGTCTGGAAGGAATCGCTCATCTTCTGGCTGCCGGTACTCAGGACACAGCCTCCCTCCACCCGCCCCCAGCTTGTGGTGAAGACCTTGCTGTGCCAGGACCCCCAATCCCGCAGTGTGATCGTGGCCTTCAGAAGGGGAGCTGACAGGGCAGTCAGAACGGGGGGGTGCAAGCTGGTGGAGGCTACTCCCTGAAACAACTTCCAGGACAACCTGTCTTCAGACTGTTTTCAATGCTGCCTGGGGAAGTGCTGGAGCCCCGCACTCCTGGGTCTCCCTGGGCTGGGACACAGGCCCCTCTGCAGGTCACGCCTCCTTTCAGGTCTTCCAGAATTGCATTTGTGTCTATGGCCACACCACCCTGAACGCGCCTGGTCTCGGAAGCTACGCAGGGTCAGACCTGGTGAGTACTTGGATGGGAGGACTGCGTTCACAACTCCTGCCATCTCTTTTCTCGCTCCCTTTGTTCTTGAGCATTTACACAGGGTTTTTATACCTTTACTGTCATCTCAATGGGATAAAAACGTCTGTCTTCTTATCTATTTTCAGCTGAAAATTGGGCTTTATTCATAAAATTATAGACCTAGCAAATGATTTTTCCAACAGAATACAGATTCTCAGCTTTACAACAAAAAGAAAAAAGCCATAAAACTCAAGCAAGGCCTCTTATTTAACTCCCTTTGTAGCAACACTACCAGCAGTGCTGAGAGCTCAGAGCAGACAGCAGTCAGCTCACAGCTCAAAAGACTGAACATTGCTGGGGTTCTGAGTCATCTACACAGTCAGTGCAAACCCACCCACAATTCCAGCTGGTTTTATGTAGAAATTGATAGGCTGACTCTAAAACGTATGTGTAAATGCAAATAAGCTAGAATAACCAAAGCAATCTATTAAAGCAAAAGGAAAAAGTGCAATAGGGACTTTATATGATTTTAAAAGACTTACCATAATCTACAGTAATCAATATAGTTTGATATTGGCAAAAAGATACAAGATATATAAACGAAACATCAGATCCCAGAATTAGAACAGCCAACTGATTTTCCACAAAGGTGCCAAAGCACTGGGTCAGCTGGGTGTCTGCACAGAAGCGACTCTAACCTCATACCATACACAGACATTACCTTGAAACAGAACATTCAGCCCCAATGTAAGACCTAAAGCTATGACACTCCTAAAATAAAACACAGGTAAAAGTGTTCACAACCTTGGAGGAAGCAAATTCTCATATAGAATAAAAAAATATAAATGCTAAAACATTAGCAAGTTAGACTTTACAATTTTAATCACTGAAAGATACCACTTTAAAGACGAACAGGCAAGCCAAGCCAGACTGGGGAAAAAACATTCACAGCCTATGTATCACATGTAGGGCTACGTAGATTGTCAGGGAGACGCAAGAGTTTCCAGTGAGATACAACTACGCCCATCAGAACGGCTAACAGGTAAGGTGATCGACCAAATGAAAGGTGGGTACAGAGAGGGCAACAGTATCTCGTCTATGCGTGTGGAAGTGTAAGTGGTATAACCATGCTGAACACATCAACGGGATCTCTCGTCTATGCGTGTGGAAGTGTAAGTGGTATATCCACGCTGGACACATCAGCGGGACCTCTCGTCTACATGTGTGTGGAGGTGTAAGTGGTGTATCTACACTGGACACATCAGCGGGACCTCTCGTCTACATGTGTGTGGAGGTGTAAGTGGTATATCCACAGTGGACACGTCAGCGGGGCCTCTCGTCTACATGTGTGTGGAGGTGTAAGTGGTACAGCCACACTGGACACGTCAGCGGGACCTCTCGTCTACGTGTGTGGAGGTGTAAGTGGTATATCCTTACTGGACACGTCAGCGGGGCCTCTCGTCTACGTGTGTGTGGAGGTGTAAGCGGTATATCCACAGTGGACACGTCAGCGGGACCTCTCGTCTACATGTGTGTGGAGGTGTAAGTGGTACAGCCACGCTGGACACGTCAGTGGGACCTCTCGTCTACGTGTGTGGAGGTGTAAGTGGTATATCCTTACTGGACACGTCAGCGGGGCCTCTCGTCTACGTGTGTGTGGAGGTGTAAGTGGTATATCCTTACTGGACACGTCAGCAGGGCCTCTCGCCTACATGTGTGTGGAGGTGTAAGTGGTACAGCCACGCTGGACAAGCACACGTGTGCCTCCTGTGTGACTGAACCCTCTCCTGAGTCTTTACTCAAGAAGAGAAGTACTTCTATGAGAAGACCTGCAATGGATGCTCACAGCAGTTTTACTGTAGGAGTTAAAAAATGAAAACTGAAAACAACACAAATCCATCAACAGGTGATGGATGAACAAACTATGACACCCCCACATAATGAAACACACAGTAGAAACAGAGGCACAAGGAAGCTTCTGAGGGGGTCACTGTGCTGACTTGCCAAAGCTGACAGTGCTATGAACTTTAATACATGTAACATATTGCACTTTAACTATTCCTAAATAATCCTGTGGGAGGACGAACTAAGACTACCACCCTTTGATTATTTAACAATCAACCGCTAAGATGAAATAAAGGAGAATACCTTTTAAAATCTACTTTCAATGAGATTCTGACAGAAATAATGGTTACAAAGAAGCTAATACCTACTTGGGACTGACTTAAAGCTGAAGGATTTACCAGAAAGTTTGTCTTACAAGAAAAAAATCTGCTTGGTTTTACTTAGTGTGAGCAAATCAATTCTGAGGTATAAAATTTCACTGTTATTTCTTGAGAATGAGGGTCAAAGACACAATCTTTATCTCCAAGAAATTATGGATGGCAACCAAGTCTATCAACCAAATGTTGGTTAGTAACAAATAGCAAACCAAAATTTATTTAAATGTTGAGTCGTTAGGATAAGAAAAAAAATCACTAAAGCAGATTTTACTAAAATTGTTACCTATATATTAGTATATATGTTAAATAAAAATCGGAAGGGGATGTATGAAAATGTAAATAGCACTTATCCTTTGGAACTAGAACTACAGAGAATTTTTACCTTCTTCAATTTGTCTTTTTATACTTAGTTTATAAGAAATAGAAATACAAACTACTTTTGTAATGGAGGGAGAATGTTGTCTTTTATACATATGCACGCACAGTCTCAGTTTACCAGGTTCTAACGATACAGCAGGGAGAAAGTCAGCCTACATTCGACTCCATCTACAGCACATCTGTCCACAGGAGTGCCAAATCTGGGCCCGCGTGACCTGGGAGCACTCACACGGGCGATGCAGTAGTCCCTGGGGTTCTCCTTCTCCAGGCCATACTTCTCCAAGGCTTCTGCCACGGCGAAGTCCGCAGGGTCTGTAGTGGACAGCAGGATCGTCTTGTAGGGAATATTTGGTTTTAAACTATCTGCGTAAATTCTCAATGTTCCACCTGAAAAAAAAAGTTTGACATCTTTAAGCACAACTTTTATTTCACTCCAACAACAGAGAGCTGTACACAAATTGCAGCCCCACTTCCTGTTAAACGACACTCATGGCAGGGCCATGCTGGCACAGGGACACTTAGCCAGAGTGAGTAAGAAACAGTTCTGTGTGGTACGGCTGCGTGTGTCCTCCCCTCGAGCCCACGTAGCTTTCATATCCGCTCTCAGTAAAGGATGGAAAGGAGGAGACCCTGGAGCGTCTTCAGCGCTACACTTTCTTCACCTGCTTTCCCACTTCCTCACCGGCACTGCTAGACACCGAGCTTCCCCAGTTCCTCGACCTCCTGACCAACAATCAGAAACCTGTCCCTTCTACCTGTGAACTCATTTGGGAGGAAAAATAGTGAACTAGAGCACAGCAATTTGGATACCCTGAGGTTTTCTTCTTTGTATGTTTCTCTTTAATGGACTCTTTTACATGTTGTATTATTGCATTTCTGGTGTCATAATTTGCTTTCGACTTACAAGATTTTTAAGCCCTACAATTTTAAGTCTAGATGAAAGACTCCTGGGGCAGGTGTGCAAGTCAGGCAAGGCACCATGCCCCCATGCCAAGGGACCTAGAGGTGGGGGTACGTTTCCTTGGGCTTCTTGTCCCACCTTTGAATTACAGAGTGAGAATAAAGATCTGTGCACTCCGACGCAAACTCTAAACTTCTGTGACTCCCTGAGTCTGCTGAATTCTAATGCAGTTATTCTGGCTACTGAATGCTTCTCGCACCCTTTGCACACAAGTCTGGCACACACTGCATCATGACAACCTGACAACAATAAAATAATGCTGGTCTCCTAAGATAATCAGCAAGTCCAGGCCAGCATTAGAATGCAGACCTGCTGACATGGGCCAGAAGGCAAGCTATCTACAGACTCACGGGGACGAAACGCCCCCCACAGCTCAACAATGAGGACACAGCATGGACCGGTCACTGCCACAGGCTTTCAACAGCTTGTAAACGGTAGATGTTAAGGGGGAAAAACTAACAAGAAGGGGAAGGAAAAAATGTAGATCTTTTAGAATGTGTCTGAACTTAAACAACTGCTAGTTTAACACAAGTAGATACAGACCAATGTATATGGATGTATGTGCCCACAAAAACCTACAATAAACACAAACACTACAAAGAAGAAAACACAAAAACACCACTAAAGAAAATCCACAGAACACAAGGGAAGAAACAAAGAAATGAATGGAGGAAAACTACGTGCACGAGCGGAAACCGAGTAATAACATGGCAGTAAGTACATGCCTATCCGTAATTACTTCGAATGGCAATGGACTAAATGTTACAATCAAAAAACACAGGAAGGCTGATTAGGTAAAAAACAAGAACCATCCACATGCTGCTTATAAGAAACTTCCTTCAGAGCTAAAGACACAAACTGACAGAAAATGAGGGGGCAGAAAAAGACAATTCATGTAAACAAACGACAAGGAAGTGGGGGACAGCAATAATGATAGAGGGATACAAATACAAGACGCTAATGCACTCATTCACACACACGTGCCTGTACGTGAGCCCCTGACTCTATGAAGCTGATCTGAGCAGGCATGGGGAGAGGGCCTGACGGGAACACAACAGCACCAGGGAGCCTAACACTCAACTCATCCAGGGACAGGTCAACAGACAGACAAACGGCCACAGTCTGATTTAAGAGGTTTTCACTGTAAAAGCATAATACCACAGAATCAGCACAACAGAAACACACACCTCCCTAATCCCTGAGGAGGGAGAGACAGGAGAGAAGCTAACATTTTAAAACTCCTGCTGGCAACTATAACCCGTCTGTGTAAACACACGTTTCAGTTCTAAAGCTAAGGGAGGATCGTTCCCCCACTGGGAAGATGTACAAAGCGTGGCCCACAGAGCGGAAGGATCCAGGGCAGCACGCGCGGCTCCCAAGGCTGTTCACAGGAAGCTGAGGTGGAAGGGCTGACCCCACGGGCATTCTGAGGTCACTCACACTTGGGAGGCATCAGAGCATAAATACACCTGAGTGCTAAAAATACTCTCCAAGGTGCAGAGCCCACGCCTGCTACAAGTGATGACTTCTGACCTGCTGTGAAGGGAGTCGGACAGTGTGTGTGAGCTCCTCATGAGAGCCCGGGGGAGCACCCTGAGGCTAAGAGACAGGAGAATGACAGATTCTGCCTTCCTCTCAGGGGCCTTCCCGTCGTGACATCACCACACAAACCCAGCGCACACGGAGATTACAGAGATACCTTTCTCTAAGTTGCTTATTAGAAACAGACTGACAGGACACTTCAACCTGCTCTATTTGTCTGTCTTAGTATTAACACAAACAGCTGTTCTACCAACAATCTCTGGTTTCTCAGGGTTTCCTGGAAGTTTGCACAGCTTCCTTGAACCCAACCATCCCTTGAGCAGACAAGCTCTCCTCTTCTGGATGTTTGCTGTTTCTCCTCCTCATCCTCCAGAGGTCTGTCCTGTTTCCTCTGTCTAGCCCTCAGCAACGGCCTTCCTTCCAGGTCTGTATTACCTGCACCAAGTCTCTTGCATGCCCAGTGACACCGCTGACTGGTTCTCAGTCACCAAGCTGGCAGCTCCTCCCAAGACACACAAGTGAATCCGGCTTCCCCTCCAGATGTCCCTTCACCCTGCAGACCCACAGTCATCCAGCTGCTAACAGGGTGTCATCCTGAAGGGCTCCTCTCCTCAGAAAAGCCCCGCCAGGTGCTGGCTCCCTTCCTTTCTCTCCTTATGGCCGCCATCCATGACCGCTTAGTCAGTCAGCCCTTCCAGGACTACACTCGCGTCTGACGCGGGCGCCCGCTTCAACTGCAGCCCCCTCACGTGGACCCTCTACTCCATTCTCAGAGCAACAGTCCCGATTTGAGGCCTGGGCTAGACTGGAAGCTTTCTACTGATAAGCCCCTAGCTTGCACTCTTCGCACGTTTTTCCTAAAACTTTTACATTTTTCCTTTCTCATCTTTGTAGTTCCTTTCTTCTTTCTCCTTCTTTTGCAATGCATATATTTTAAAGTCATTTCAAATCCCTGCTGGAACAAGACAGGATAGGTCTCAAAAGCCACCTATTAAATTATTTATAGAATAATAAGTCTCTCAGCCCCTAGTTTTCTCAGTCACCGACACTACAATTCCCACAAAACACATAATGAAGACTCAGTTCGTAAGGGCCCTAATCGTCACAGGAAAGGCTCACAACGCCTCACTCTAAAGCACCTCAATGTGACCCTGTAGGAGAACCAGAGGTGACGGCATACCAGGTCGGACATTTTCAGCAAATGCCACATCAGTGACACAGCCTTCTAATACAGACTTTCTGAAACAAACGATCATCTACTATTTCCTAACAAGTGAAACTACTCAATAACTAACTTGTGACTTTACCACACTTATTCGCACACATCAGGCAAGTCACTAGACAACACTCGAGTCAAGAGCAGCAGCGGGCGCGGCACGCGTCAGGCGCGTCCCCAGACGACGATGCACGTCAGGTGCGTCCCTACACGGCAGCACTGGCATCAGAGTTAAGCGGGCGCGGCGCGGGGCCCGTCAAACACAGCAGAGGGAGCGGCCCACGTCAGGCGCGTCCCTAGACGGCAGCACTAGCGTCAAGCACAGCAGCGGGCACGGCACGCATCAGGCAGATCACTAGATGACAGCGCGCGTCAGGCGCGTCCCTAGAAGACGGCGCCCGTCAGGCGCGTCACTTCGGCAGCACTCGCGTCAAGTGCAGTAGCGGGCACAGCACATGTCAGGCGCGTCCCTAGAAGACGGCGCCCGTCAGGCGCGTCACTTCGGCAGCACTCGCGTCAAGCGCAGTAGCGGGCACAGCACATGTCAGGCGCGTCACTAGAAGACGGCGCGCGTCAGGCGCGTCACTAGACGGCAGCACTCGCGTCAAGCGCAGTAGCGGGCACAGCACATGTCAGGCGCGTCACTAGAAGACGGCGCCCGTCAGGCGCGTCACTTCGGCAGCACTCGCGTCAAGCGCAGTAGCGGGCACAGCACATGTCAGGCGCGTCCCTAGAAGACGGCGCGCGTCACTAGACGGCAGCACTCGCGTCAAGCGCAGTAGCGGGCACAGCACATGTCAGGCGCGTCACTAGAAGACGGCGCCCGTCAGGCGCGTCACTTCGGCAGCACTCGCGTCAAGCGCAGTAGCGGGCACAGCACATGTCAGGCGCGTCCCTAGAAGACGGCGCCCGTCAGGCGCGTCCCTTCGGCAGCACTCGCGTCAAGTGCAGTAGCGGGCACAGCACATGTCAGGCGCGTCACTAGAAGACGGCGCCCGTCAGGCACGTCACTTCGGCAGCACTCGCGTCAAGTGCAGTAGCGGGCACAGCACATGTCAGGCACGTCCCTAGAAGACGGCGCCCGTCAGGCACGTCACTTCGGCAGCACTCGCGTCAAGCGCAGTAGCGGGCACAGCACATGTCAGGCGCGTCCCTAGAAGACGGCGCCCGTCAGGCACGTCACTTCGGCAGCACTCGCGTCAAGCGCAGTAGCGGGCACAGCACATGTCAGGCGCGTCCCTAGAAGACGGCGCCCGTCAGGCGCGTCACTAGACGGCAGCACTCGCGTCAAGCGCAGTAGCGGGCACAGCACATGTCAGGCGCGTCACTAGAAGACGGCGCCCGTCAGGCGCGTCACTTCGGCAGCACTCGCGTCAAGCGCAGTAGCGGGCACAGCACATGTCAGGCGCGTCCCTAGAAGCCGGCGCGCGTCAGGCGCGTCACTTCGGCAGCACTCGCGTCAAGCGCAGTAGCGGGCACAGCACATGTCAGGCGCGTCACTAGAAGACGGCGCCCGTCAGGCGCGTCACTTCGGCAGCACTTGCGTCAAGCGCAGTAGCGGGCACAGCACATGTCAGGCGCGTCCCTAGAAGACGGCGCCCGTCAGGCGCGTCACTTCGGCAGCACTCGCGTCAAGCGCAGTAGCGGGCACAGCACATGTCAGGCGCGTCCCTAGAAGACGGCGCCCGTCAGGCGCGTCACTTCGGCAGCACTCGCGTCAAGCGCAGTAGCGGGCACAGCACATGTCAGGCGCGTCCCTAGAAGCCGGCGCGCGTCAGGCGCGTCACTTCGGCAGCACTCGCGTCAAGCGCAGTAGCGGGCACAGCACATGTCAGGCGCGTCACTAGAAGACGGCGCCCGTCAGGCGCGTCACTTCGGCAGCACTTGCGTCAAGCGCAGTAGCGGGCACAGCACATGTCAGGCGCGTCCCTAGAAGACGGCGCCCGTCAGGCACGTCACTTCGGCAGCACTCGCGTCAAGTGCAGTAGCGGGCACAGCACATGTCAGGCGCGTCCCTAGAAGACGGCGCGCGTCAGGCGCGTCACTTCGGCAGCACTCGCGTCAAGCGCAGTAGCGGGCACAGCACATGTCAGGCGCGTCCCTAGAAGCCAGCGCGCGTCAGGCGCGTCACTAGACGGCAGCACTCGCGTCAAGCGCAGTAGCGGGCACAGCACATGTCAGGCGCGTCCCTAGAAGCCGGCGCGCGTCAGGCGCATCACTAGATGGCAGCACTCGCGCCAGGGATAAGTGGGCGCGGCGCGGGCCCCGTACCCGAGTCTGGCCGCCCGTCCGAGCTCCGGAACTCCTGCATCCTCCTCTCCAGCTTCTGCTGCCGCCGCCGCTTCATGACCACCTCGGGGTTGGAGATGGTTCGCGTAAAGCTGGTCTCAGGCATGTCTTTGTAGACCTCGGCGGCGAGGCGAGAATTCTCGCTGTGGGGAGGGGGAGAGTAACAAGACAGACCAGGTATTACATCAGAGACAGGCACGCCGCTCTCACCGGACTCACACGGCGCGGGGCCCCCAGCCGCTCCTGAACCCCGAGCAGCTCTGCCCTGCCCTGGTCTAATTACGACAGATAGTTTCTCTCGGTACAAACTAAACCGCTGAACTAGGCAGAAACTCCTAATTAAAATTTTATAGTTGAGTTTACAGAACTTAATTGAGTATTCATTAATAAAACTAAAAGAAAACACATTTCAGTTATTTCTACAAGGTTTCTCTATCTCAAAGAGATTAAATAAGTGATACAGCATTTCAACCACAAGAAATAAAGAACTGAATATACTTTAGCAAAAATCTGTCTTCAAATTATGTATGCATGCTCAGTCGCTCAATCATGTCCAACTCTTTGTGACCCAGTAAGTCTTGAAGAACTCACATGGCATGATTCTTCAACAACTGAAAGACTGAAAAAGGAAATAGCTCCCGAAGTTCCTACAGTGAGTCAACTGTATAGAATAATGAGTTGAAAACTAAATATTTAGGTAAGACTAATATACTTGACTAAATTTTGATAAATATAAAGATGTCATAAAAATCATAAAATAATTTCATTAAATCAGTCAAGCTCTGAATCAAGTTGAACTTAACTCATTTTAAGTAGCTTACTTTCTTAACACAAGTAATTGATCATCCTGTACACTAAATTATCAGAATGACTACAGCCTAAGTTTTAAACTCTCCTCTTCCTTGATATTTTTCACATGTGAGCAACCTATGTGTACAAGTTCTTCCTCTTGCATAAATACACTGAGTAGAGCCTTACAATGTAACATACTATACTCAAGTTCATGCTCATCACACAGGCATTTCTGCCTAACAGATTAAGATCTAAACCGACTCTGATGCAATCCACAACAGGCTCCAACTCCACTCTAAAGTAAACATCCTTCACTGACAAATGGTTAACATCTTTAAGACACATGGAACACTTAGAATCAATCAAAATATGGGAAAAGACTTGAAGAGGTCACTGCAACAGAAGCACATAAACGGTTAACAAGCATGCAGAGACCACGGCCTTGTTAATGGTAAAGCAAGCTGCCTTCACTGATGCTCACACACACTGCAGGGATCAGACACTGCTCTGTTACACTCGGCAGTTCTAAGGGAGGCATGAGGGGCCCGTGGGCTGGAGACCCTTGTCTGGCAACACAAGCATGCCACAGTGTCTCTGAGCCATTCTTCCGGAATATTTCCTCGGGAAACATTCAAACGAGTCCTCAAAATTGTAGAAACAAGGACATTCGCTGGAGTGGATGCAGTCAACACCAAGACAAGGAGGCGGCCTCGGAAAAAGCACCTGATGATGGAATGAACTGACTGAGCTGAAAACCCATGAGGCTACGCCGAGGCCAGGAGACTCCGTGAAGAGAAGAGGCCGGGTTCTCCTCACGCCTCCTTTCTGTTACCCCCTCGGCTCCGAGGCCAGAGGCGCAAGTCCCTTCAGACAGGTGAGCGCACCTGTGCTGGGGCCAGTGTACACTTAAGGAAGGAGAGGGGCTGGGTGGGCCCGATGGTGCCTCTGACCTGAGACGGGGACACCAGCTTTTCTCACCAGTCTTGCCAACCTCCGTTCAGGTGTTAAGCGTATCCGAGGTGTCTGAGAAACCACTGCTGCCTTAACGACCAAAACAGCAGCGAGGGAAGGGAAGGCAGGCAGGGATGGTGAGAATCTGACCCTGTGGTTCACCGGGAAAGGCAGCCCTGTTCGCGGGGTCCCCACTCTAAGATGAGCAAGCATCGCAGACGGGCAGCGTCAGCAACACGTGCTGCTCAGCAGACGCCCGGCTCCCCTCGGCACGCCGGTCACTGAGCTGAAGTCACCCCTCCCCCATTTATCTGGGAGTTTAAGGAGACCTGCTGCGTTAAAAAACATTTGGCTTAGAACACAAAGAAACAGGAATATTTCTGAGATTAACTTACATGTCATCCCCAGGGAAAGGTCTATCATCTTTATCAGACGCCTGTCTCACTGCCTCTTTTTCTCTCTTCTTTTTTTCCTTCTTTTCCTTCTTTGAGAGAGTTCTCTTGAAGTTCTGGATAACACCTTCTTTTTCCTGCTTTTCAGGTCCGTTACTTTGAGCCTTCTGATAAAAGCAATATTATCACTCCACTGCTATGACACAGAATCACACAGAGCCATCTATGGGGATCTAACCACATCTCACACGCTACAGCCGAAAACAGCCACTGGGGCAGGGAAGGCCTGGGATGACAGATGGTCTTTGTCCTGACTGTGCCGACAGGTATGTGAGTGTACTGATGCACACTTACATACTCAAGATCTCATTTCACCGAGTGAAAATTTCAGCTAAATTCAAACCAATAACCAAGGAAGCAAGCACATAAGAAAACCGAAACCCAGTAAGAAAACTGGGATGGGAATCACACCAGCTTATTTATCATTTTTAATAAATAAAAATCCAAATAATTAGTAACAAATAAATGGAACCTAATGGAAATACTGAAATAATCATTTGAAACATTATCTACCTTATAGATGTTTGCTTTAAGTCAGAAGAAATGTCAAGAATAGCTCTAAAAAATTGGCTTTTATGAAGCAAAGTTGTAAGTATTATGTTTATACAAAAACTTCTAATTTCTTTTCCAGATTTATTTATTTTTTTTGCTTATTCTTAATTTATAACATGACCTGCCTGCAGAAGACACAGAAACAAATTATTTTTTATATGACTTAACAGGCTGGCTGGTAAAAAATAAAAAAAATAAAAGATTATTTTATGGGGAAAGAAAACTGCCTTCAGCTGTGCCAGCAAGCACCTCCGTCTCTGTGCAAGCTGCCTGGGCCCCGTCCAGTCGTCCCGACCCTAAGAAGGGCTCCACTACCCACCGAGTGGGACCTGGGGCCCCACCAAAAGGCACACCAGCCGAAATCATGTGCTCAGTCGCTCAGTCTTGTCTGACTCTTTTCGACCCCACGGACTGTAGACCGCCAGGCTCCTCTGGCAGAAAAAAGTTGTCCGTTCTTATTTCGTACGTGTTCATTGCAAAGGCGACAAGTCCCGGGAGCACAGCTGTGTGTCTGGATCTTCCACATGGGACACTGACGTCACACAGACACTATGAAAACTGCTGCCAGAAGCAAACATCAGCCCTTTCCCCAGAGGAAAATTAAATGCAAGATTTTTCTCAAAATACCCTTAACCTCTGCCTTTGTTGTCACCTGTCAACACTGAATTCTAGTCTGTAAGAGGCCACCTGACTTGAAATAGAATTATAATCATTTTAAAGCTATATCTGTATTTCACAGTATTCCACATGAAAAGAACAGCAGCACGGGAACTCCAGATGTCCTACTAGCCGAGAAAGTTTTAGACTCACTCTGTTACAGCACCCAAAGAAACTCAAGGAACTTTACGAAGTTTTAACTTTCCACATAATAATACGAAAAAGGTCTTAAACATGCCTTACTATTAAGTTGTATCTGAAAGTTCACATATAAATAGGTTTTTCAAGTTTTATTTTCCCTTCTGATTCTTATTAAAACATATTTCGACTTTATAATTTGGGGGGGAAAAGACCTGAAGCTGATTCCTTGATCATGAAGTCTCTGAGTGACAACAGTTTACGTAATCCTTTGAAAAGGAGAGAATAATACTTGGGATTATTCCGTGAAATAAGAGGATGAAGCTGGGCTACTCTTACAGTACTTTCCAGGAGGAAGGTGAAAGCGCAGTTTAGGGAGAGAATCAAAGAAGCGAATGAGCCCCATGACCCCTGATCAGAGGCAGCCCTGGAACAGCATCAGCGAGGCCCCAGGCTCTCACCTTTGCAGGAATGGCATCGTTCTCGTTCTTAAGGACAAACCGCCCCTCTCGGTCATCTTTATTCCAGTTCAGCTGCACCACCAGGGGTTTCTCATCTATATCCAATCTTCTTTCTTCTTCACAACATGAAAAGAAAAAAGAACAAAAAACCATGGCTATTTAATGGCACTAATCAATACAACATTACAACATTCTGATATACAGTAAATTTTAGAGACAAAAAAATGTCTTGTAACCTTCCTTACTTTCTGATAGGCTGAGTGTAATTCAAACTGTGGAGTGAGCATTTCAATGACTAATTCAGGATTCTGGTGCTACTGTATGTCTATACCTACCATGGGTCCAGTGCCAGAGATGGCCAGGCACAACTTCCTGACAATATTTAGAATCTAACCAGGAAGATATGAGAAATACACACAGGCTAGGAAAAAACACATGTAGGGCCTTGCTATGTTTATTTCTGTAAATCACGTTCTCTGACATACAACTGGAAAACAAGACGTTCCACTGATGGATGAGACTCCTCATATCAGCGTCAAGTGCCGACGAGACGCAGCCCTGCCCCACCAGCATCTGTCCTGGCCTGAACCCTGCACTCCTCCTCCCACTGTGTCCTGATTCCTGCTCCAAACGCTCCGTCCTCCACCCTCACACCCCTCCCGCCAGCAAGCACCACTGTTCTCCATGTAGAGGTAAAGGGCTAAGTTCAGAGTGTCCGTCCTTCCTGGTTTGAAATCTGAAACACTCCTGGCAGCCCCCTGAGGCCCCCACACTTGACCACCAGGAGGTGAGAGCTGGCGAAGATTACGCCGGTAAGAGGGCAGCAAAGATGGGCAATCACTGTGGTACAGCAGGCGGGATCGGCCAGATGGATCCAAAGATTCACAGAGGCTCTCAGTAAGCGTCACAGGTCAGCAGCGCCGTGAACTCCCAGAATACAGGACAAACTCTCAAGTATCATTGTAGCAGCAGAAGATATGAGAACAGAGTGATAAATCAGAGGTTGGGCGAAGAAGCTTGAAATTCCTGCTTCAAACCAAAATTACCAAGTTGCTCAAGTGGCAAAATTTGCACTGGGTTGAAATCCCTCACAGCACATTTTTAGAGAACTAATATTCAGGACAATTAAGTCTCAATTGTAAAACAGCAAAGAGGGAGCTGCCCTGAAACCCATGTGCCAGACAACTGCATGAAGCTAAGTCAGGGTCCTGCTACAGACTACATCATGTGTGCCTGATGACTCCATGCAGATACAGTCAGGGCCCTGCTACAGTCTACAGTCTACATCACGTGGACCTGACAACTGCATGCAGAAACAGTCAGGGTCCTGCTACAGTCTACATCAAGTGTGCCTGACAACTGCATGCAGAAACAGTCAGGGCCCTGCTACCGTCTACAGTCTACATCACACGTGCCTGACAACTTCATTCGGATAGTCAGGGCCCTGCTACAGTCTACAGTCTACATCACACGTGCCTGACAACTTCACGAGGATACAGTCAGGGCCCTGCTACAGCCTACGGTCAACATCACACGTGCCTGATGATTGCTTGCAGAGAGTCAGGATCCTACTACTGTCTACAGTCAACAACATCACATGTGCCTAACAACTGCATGCAGATACAGTCAGGGCCCTGCTACAATCTACAGTATCTTCTGCTCAAGTTAAAACAGCAGAAGTCTTTAGTTTTCCAACTGACTTCACACAAGAAATTCTAATGTGGAAAAGGGCTCCAAGTGGCATTTCCATGGTACTGGGCCAGTGCTCTTTCCCCCCACCGGCTGAGGTGCCAGCTCACTAGACACATGTCACCCATCCAGGGAACACGAGCTGTACCTGCCAGACGCAGCAGGAACCACTGGTGCCTGCAAGGCTGAGCACTGTCTCTCCTGTGGGCGTCCCATTCTGCGTCAGGTGGCTTTGCCACGGCACTGTGGAAACCAGGAGATGGAGGTGCTGCCTCCACCCAGGACTGGGGCAGGGGGCGCCCAGGAGACATGCCCCCCATCAGGGAGCAACAGTGACTGGGAACGGAATGAAATCACCAGTTTTCCTTTTATGTCTACTATTTTCCCAAATAACCAGCAAGCTGTTAAGAACATAAATCTTTATGAACTTGTCTGGATCTACGCAATAAAATAAAGTGTTAAGTATTTCCTTTGGCCTGGGGATGCCACAAAAAGTTCCTGACACATTACGGGCTCTGTAACCCGAAAAAGACTGAGGCCCTGCACCAGGGCCTGCTCCTCTGCAGACTTGCATCCACGGCCTCCTCCTCTCTGAGGCCCTGCTGGAGCCACACGAAGGTGCAAGACACAGGCGGGCCAGCCTGGCTGAGCGTCAACAAGGGGACATGGCTGGGGGTAAGGAACGGACACTTGCTTCCTTACACACCTTCCTGGTGTCTTCATCCTGTACAAGTAACATATCTTTTTAATTAAAACCAAATCTGGCAAAGAAAATTTAAGGAAAAAATATTCTTTAAAAAAAATTAAGCCCATTCCATTTTTAGATCTCAAATCCCAACCACAGATGTCACTCCAAAGACCTCACGTGGTGGTGTTCAAATGACCAACGGTGCAGAAAGAAGAGTGCTAAAGATGAGAAATATCATCCTCCTCTTTGTAAGCTATGTACAGAGATTCTGAGGTGAAAGGAGAACTCAGCCTCAGAGAAAACATCCAAAACTGGGACCATCCTCTCCTGTCAGATTTACTCTGGGTACGATGTATGCAGGTGATTCCCTAGTGAACTTGAAAGGATGACGAACAAATATGGCCCGCCTAACACAAGGCTGGTAGTATGTGGTGATACCTGAATTTCACATACTACAAAAATCTTAGCCCAATTTCAGACAGAGAAAGCTATACTTCAGGAAGAAAACTAACTAAATAAATAATGTTCAAACAGGTTTTGTGACAACTTATATAGGTATTAAAATAAGGTTTGTGCTATCTGCAATTCTTTATTTACAACATTAACTGGATTTTGCTTTTTTTTTTTTGTAGATGACTCAGTATTTCCAAAGCACTCATAAAAATTTTTAAACATTTTTACATTCCTAATCAGCTCAACCTAAATTGCCATGCAATATACAGGATATATTCAGAAGCTTCAAACCTTAAAACAAGGAGAAATTAGTGACCACATAAAGAGTTTCCTCACGATGCCTGTTCTTCCCAAGAACACGGTTCCTGTTCCACAGGACAAAGATACTACAGCAAGACTTATGGGCCATACTCACAAAACAATGGGCTACTTCTAGCTGTAGCATGGTAATCTACAAATAGAGTTACACGATGTATTTCTCCAAAATCAAGCAGCCCCATGTATCATCAAAGTATGTGCCAGACCTGGAGAATTCAAGTATGCAACACTGCGCTCCTTATCTCTAAAGAAGAAAGCAACTCCCCAAACGCTACCTGCTAGGAGGATCTCACAGACATACTTGAGCTAGGATCTCACAGACAAGACTCGAGCTTTGCCATCTCTCTCACTACTCCCTCAGAATGGGATGAGGCAGCAGGAAAGCTGGGCCCCAGGAAAGTGAGCGTCTCACGACGAGGACCACGGCCCGCGGCCCGTCCTGCGCACTGACCTCCGCTGACGTGCACCTCGTAGAGTGAGTACTTGGGTGACGACAGCATCCGCATGTCGGGGCGGAACTTCTCGGCCAGCGTCTCCAGCACGTCCTGGGTGGTGGCGGTGCTGGACACCCGGATGCATTTCGTGGCGAAGTTCCCGGCGGCTTTATCTTGAAAATAAAATCTCATCACTCCGTGGAACTCCAAATCCTGAAAGGAAAATGAAATGATACATCTTTGAAAAAAACGATACCCTATTAAAAAAAGGTGTCTTCAAATTTAGTCAAGTGACTTGGGATGAGCTATTTACAGGCTGCCCCCCGCTGCGTGGCTCAAGCGTCAGGTCCGGCTGCAGAGCACCTGTGTCAGCAGCTGCCCACTCGGACCGGGGCCCTCAGCTAGGGCCGGGCACCACTTGTTCAAGTCCTTATAACCAGCCAGTGAAGCAGACGCTATGATCAAAGCCCAGCCTCGAGATCTGGCCACTAAAACTCACAACGTCTTAGTATCCCATTCAAGCAGGATCAAAGCCAAATCCAGAATTAAGCCCGGATGCACTGAACTTCGCACTCCAGCACTCTTGCCTGGAAAATCCCATGGACGGAGGAGCCTGGTAGGCTGCAGTCCATGGGGTTGCGAAGAGTCGGACACGACTGAGCGACTTCACTTTCACTTTTCACTTTCATGCATTGGAGAAGGAAATGGCAGCCCACTCCAGTGTTGTTGCCTGGAGAATCCCAGGGACGGGGGAGCCTGGGAGGCTGCCATCTGTGGGGCCGCACAGGGTTGGACACGACTGAAGTGACTTAGCAGCAGCAGCAGCAGCACTGAACTTCAAGGTCTATACCTGTCCGACCCTGAGGGCCCATCTGTCCGACCCTGAGGCCCATCTGTCCCGAGATTTCAAAGGGGAAACGCTAACCCCAACTCCAGCATGAATGTGAATGAATGGAAAGCCACCTTGGCGGAATGTAACTAAGTATCTTCAGTGTGAACTACTTGCTCCAGATCAACAGGCACAATGTAGATTTTTCTTAAAATCTTTTTGATTTTTTTAAATAATCTTATTTCCAGAGAAAAGTACAATGGATGCCAACCAAAGACTACTTCGTGGGAGGGTGAAGCCCACACACAGGACCTTGGGAGGCTCCTTCCCAGGGCTCCTTTGCTTTTTCAATCAATTACAGCGACACTCTTAGGCAACACTCTTGCCAGCACCACAATAAGACGACTCAGGAGTTCAACACCCAAGGGCTGAGGCCTGCTGCATCACAGAGCACCTGTGTTTGTCTGGTGGGTCACACTTTACCAGATGATGCTGTGTACCCCGGGGCTCCCTGGACAAAGCGCAGCTCCCCGCAGACCTCCTCGGACTCTTCCAACCCCAAGGCTCCCTGCACGGTCCCCGGCACCAAGAGCACCTCAGCGGGAGTCCTCAAGGCTCCCCTCCCCTCACCCTGACACGTCAGGTCTTCCCACCGCCGCGAGCATCCAGAGCCCACCCCCACCCTAAGAGCAGGCCGGGGAGCCCCCCTCACCCTCCTCCTCACAGACGTCCCTGCGGCCTCAGAGACCATCACAGCCAGTCCTACCCACGTCCCAACCCGCCAGCCTGCCCTCACGGAGAGGCACCACCTAACGAGTCTTCACCTGAAGGAAAGTAAGGGACGTGGAGCATTAGCGTGGGCTTAACGGTCTATTTGAAAATTAAATGGGACAAAGACACCATCAGGCACATTTCCACCCCCTGGGTTCCTACTGTGTCCGCCTGACTCTGCTGCGGGCCGCCCGCCCCTGTGTTCCCCGACCCGGGGTAGGAACGCAGGGATGTGTGGGAAGGACTACCCGAACCACAGACGCCGGGGAAGCCGGGCACGGGCGCAGGGTGGCAGCTGAGAAAGCAAGTCAGCAGTCGTCCGTGTCTGGCGTGGGCCAAAAATCAGGCTGATAATCATTTTAAAAGAAACGTCTCTATTGATGCTTTTAAAGAAACAATTCTCCAGGCTCGATCAAGCCTAAGTAACATAGATTATTAAAAACTTCCTTTCATCTGATTTGCACTAAATAAGCACTAATAAATACCTAGCAGTTCAGTTTGCCGGATCTCCTTAACATTACACAGGAACACCTGAGCAGAGCCGTTACTAGCTGAGTCCCCTAATAAAGGAACACATTAGCTTTCTGCTCAATTATTCAGCCAGTTTCGGCCAGTGTGTGTAAGTCTACAGAATTTTATCAAAACTGAGAAGACAAAAAAAATCAAGTTCCTGAACATTAACTTGGGTGGGCAGTGACCAAGCTAACACACAATAATAATTGTAACTAACATATGTGACAGGCCATTATGTGCCAGATACGGACGGTCTTCAGCATTTAATTCCCCAAACCAGGAGGCAGGTGCCACCATCACGCCCACTGCGCAAGGGGGGAAAAGAAGGTCCAGGGAGGCCAAGCATGAGCAGCCAGCACACAGCCGCCAGGCGGCCAGCACCCCTGCCCCCGCCGCTCAGGCCCCCGTCCCCCCCAGAGCTGCCTCCTTGCCACCAGCCCCTCCAGGGCCGGCGGCGCGACCCCCCACCTGTGCTCCGCAGCTGGCACTGCAGCCCGATGCGCAGAAAGGCGGGACCACCTAACAGAGCGGGTACTGGGTTCCTTTCCTCAAAGGTCACTTTTCCTGACAGAAAAACCGCCTTCTTTTTGCCTAAAGGTATATCCTCACCTTCACATAAATTCTTCCCTGAGAAACATCACCGACGGTCACAACGGAAATGAATACTGCGTGGAGTTGTGTTACCACTCTTGAAACAGAAGTGTTCTTGTGTTACCAGAACGAATACAAGAAGACCAAAAGGGAGAGAGAGAAGGCTCGTTATCAAATTACACACACAGAGTCAAAACAAGGAGCAAAGACGTACAGATGGAGGTTTGCATCTCAATATTTTACCAATACCTCACTGGTTAATGAAATTGATAATCAATCGGCCTTCTTATCCGAACCAGCAGAAACTCACCCAGACAACCCCAAATCTCCTTCTGTTCAAGCTACCGAGAACCACCTGTTCTAGAGCTTACACAGACTAAGAACCAGGCTCTGTTCATGTTCTTCTCACCACTTCCAGCATTTCTAGGAAAACCAGGTCCCAGCCTGCAGCCCATCAACGCTACCTGCCAACAGGCGGTCACCTTTCCAACTCCCTCGTTCACAGGGCCACGACTTTATCTCACACACACACCTTAGTCCCAAGGTTGCTGCCTCCAAGACAGCTGTGTGCCTTCAAAGCACAAACATCACCGTGCATAAAGCCATCGGTCAGATGATGGCCGTTTGACTCACGCTGTTAAAAACAGCAGTAACATTTAGGTAGAGAATGGACGAAATACCTGATTATGGGATTTTTTGGAATTGTACTTATATAAATACTATTTTTTGAACTTGTATAAACTACTTCTTGAACTATTTTTTAAACCAGTACTGAAGAATACTTTTTAAAACTATATGCGTTTCATTACCTGTAACTTCTATACGACAGATACTCCCGAAGGCTCAGAACCGTCTGGAGCGGACCTTCGCCCACCCCTCCTGGGGCAGGCGCCCCTCCCCGGCTCCCTGTGGCAAAACCTGCCGCGGGGCGCCTCGCCACACAGCGCAGCACTCTGCGGGCACTGGCTTTGCAAAAACAGAAGGGGTGAGGCTCCCCGGGAGGGCCACACGACGGACGGCTGGCATTTCTTGGCACTGAAGTGTTTTGCAGTGGAGGCAGGCACACTCTTTTTTCAGACATAATGCTACTGCACACTTAACAGACTATAGGACTATGTGAACGTGACTGTTATTTGCAACCAGAAACCAAACAAAGTGGTGAGCCTGGCCTCACAGTGGCGCTCTGGACCGAATCCGCTCATCTGGGGCGAGCCTGGGGCGTCCTGAGTGCTGACCTCCGACCCGGCCGTCCTCACCCGGGAGCACGATTCACAGCACACGCCTCACGGGTCTGCGTGACCCAATGATTCTGGTACAGCTCCTTGTCTGAAAGCAAAGGCACCGTCTCTAACACATCCCAGTGCACGCCTTCTCAGTGTGGTCCAACTACTGTTCTCCTGACATCACCAGCGCAGAGCTGGAGCAAGCTCACTGATCGCGGGAAGAGTCACCTTTCAGGGGAAGATCTCAGAGTTCATACAAGTTCTCTGGTCTAAAAAACCAACCCCAACACACACACCCCACAGAGAACACACGCCGCAGATAACTGCTTTATGAACTCAAACAAACCACCCTGTATCCGACCACGTAAGCGTTATAAGTAAGACAATTCTATGCCAGAAAACAGCCTGCTGTGAAAACCCGTTGCAAACATGGTTTTCAAAGGCCTGTTATGGCCGCCAGCACCGTCTACTTACAACTGTCAGCTTCTGAGGCAGGTTCCCAGTGCGCTTCTCTGGGAGACGGCAGTGGAAGCGGAAACCTACCGAAACCTTGAGTCAGCATCACAAGGGGGTGGACCAGTGAAGTTCTCCCCACAGTCCTCTGAAAATCTTTAATCTCTGTATTTGAGTAGCTACCACACTACATGCACTGGGGATGTGAAAGACGGTAACAAAGGATGCACTAATTAAACCCAAGTAACAAAAGAGCAAAAATCACACTTGTGGTTAAAGATGACGTCTTCATTCTACTGTGACTCGTAAGTACTGCACTTGCACAGAAGTAAAGAAGTGAAGTAAAAGTGAAAGTCGCTCAGTCATGTCCGACTCTCTGCGACCCCGTGGACTATACAGTCCATGGAATTCTCCAGCCCAGAATACTGGAGTGCGTAGCCTTTCTCTTCTCCAGGGGATCTTCCCAGCCCAGTGATTGAACCCAGGTTTCCCGCACTGTGGGCGGATTCTTTACCAGCTGAGCCACAAGGCAAGTAAAGAAAACACTCTTCAAAAAACCACCTCTCTAGTCTGGGGGTTCTACCCAACTTTGTCCGGGATCCTTCAGCAGACTGGTGAGGCCTATGCCACTGCTCTCAGAATAAAAATGTTAACTGCATAAAGCACGGAGGATTGCAAAGTGAACAATCACAGTAAAATGCAATTATTAGGGTCTTCCTGGTGGTGCAGTGATGAGGAATGCGCCTTGCAATGCAGAAGACACCAGACAAATCACTGGTCCAGGAAGATCCTGGGCAGCAACTCCTGAGCCCACACTCTGGAGCCCGGGATCC